GGCTGGGATAGTTGCAAACACGGCATCAAATAGGTTCCTTGACGTCAATCGAGTTGTGTTTGACATTCCTCTTGATAAAAAATAAAAAATAAAAACTGTTTTATATATACGTGATAAAGGACAGCCAAAAAAGGAAGAAAAAAAAAAAAACGAAAAGGAGAAGGAACATATGTGCAGAGAAGAGAAATAGAAAAAAACAAAAACGCACTGTAAAAAAAAAAAAAAAACCAAGCCCTCAGTCCGTGTGGTGATGTTCTTTTCCGCTTCTTTTTTCTTTTTTTCTTTTCGTCACCCCATAGTTGGGAACTGCCTTTATTCCTCCACAACCAGAAGCGAGTGCCACTGAGCGAATGCACATGTGTGTATATATCTACAGAGAGCGGGTCCTCCACACCCTCTCTCCGTCAGCATTGTTTCCCTGGGGTGTGCTCGTTCCCCCTCCCCACCATTGCTTTTCTTTCACAAAAAATAACAACAACAAGACAACAACAACAAAAAAAAAGATCCGTAGGGAAAGGGGCTTCTATGTTTCTCTTCCTGGCCTCTCGTTTTTTCTTCCTGTGCTTTGCCACCTGCGGAATGTTGGAGGCGGGGAAGTAAATTGTCATCGCCTCAGCAGTCGTGTCAGAACTTGCTCTTGGGCCTGCAGCCGCACCTCCAATGCCTCGCGCTCCATTGCCTCTACCTTAAGCGCCGCCTCAAGACGTCGTATGCGTAGCAGAAGCGCCTCCGTCTCCTCGGGTGAGGAAGGGGCAGTCAAAATGCCTGGCAGTGTGGCATCGTGGGTCTCGCCCTCCATTAACACCCGCACCCGCTGCTGTAGGACGGCGTTTTCAGCGGTCAGATCCTGCACGAGCTGCCACAACTGCGCCACCTGCTGCGAGGACGAGGAGGAGGATGAGGAGGCAGGCGTTGACGTCATGGCGAGAGCGGGGCGAGCAAGCGGAGGGGAAGAGACGGCATTAGGGTGGTGTTGCGCACCGGTGGCGTGCGTGGACGGTGGTGCTTCTACGGGCCGCTGCGTCCCTGAAGGCACGGCGGATGCAGGCGCGTTGTGGATGACACGTGCCGGAACCGGGGATGAAGTCTCAAGCACCTCAAAGTTCGGTTCCTTCACAGCCGTCAAATCCCGCGCACCTTCGCTTCCCACCCCGTTCGGCACAAACCGCATTGGAGGAGGCGGAGAGGGAATTGGCATGCCTACGATTTCTAAATAATGTGTATATGTTCGCAATGAAAAATGTACGAAGGCCACACACACACACACACAAAAAAAAAAAAAAAGGAAATAACGCACTTCCTTCAACTGCCACCTACCTCTCTCTCTCTCTCTCTCTCTCTCTCGCAGGGCAAAAATAAATTTAAAAAAAGTCAAAAGCAATCCAAAGCACAGACACAGAGACACACACATACATAAATACTTAGATACAAGCACACACAAACAAACAAGAATAAAAAATAAAAAATAGGTGTAAAAAAAAAAAAAAAAAAGGAGAATCCACTCCACGCACCTAAGCCCATTGCATCATACAGGAGAGGAGATATATGCATACATGCAGGAAGGTGCAAGAAGAGAAGAGAAGAGAAAATAAATATAAAAAAAAACATCCACATACACGCACATCCACATACACGCACATACAAAAAAAAAAAAAGAAAAAAGTCGCAACTAACACGAATCCCCATTGACAGGAAGGAGTAATGAGGCTTGATGTTACGGTCCAAATCAAGGCAATCAGCAAATACGTCATCACGTCCTGACATTCACTACCACTCCGACAGCTTTAAAGCATGGACGCCAGAAATAGGGCAAAAAGGAAAAAAAAAAAAAAGAAAGAAAGAAAAAAAAGAAGAGAGTAAACGGAAAAAAGAGGGAAAAGGCGGAAAAGCATCTTGCGCCCTCTGTGCACGTCCTCCTTCGCTTCTCCCTCCCCTCCCCTTTTCTACTATCAGAAAAGGTTCTTGACCCTCCTCTTCATCCGACTCACTAACCCGTTGAAGTGCGGAGTCTCTGTGCGGCTCCAAGACTCGCCCACTGACGATGCCGGCAGCGCCCCTGAAGAGAGAGATGATGAATCGGAGCTTGCCGTCAGGTTCGACCCCTTATCTAGCGGCAAAATCGAATATTCTCCTCCGTCCGTTGAAAGAGGCAACGGTGGACCATCATCACGAACTGCAGGAAACACCTCAACACTGGATAAAATGCTGGAAGCGTGAGTTTCTCCGAAAGTGGAGCTTTCACTGGCAAAGGCAGAAATGCGGCGCTGCACTGTACCAGCGTCCTGCCCCAAGGAGCTCACGGTGGCGGTGTCTAGCAGCGGCGAGCCATCCTCAGAGGACGGAGGGGAGTAACTAAAGCATGGCAGCGGAAAGTCCTCCATGGATGGAAGCAGCATGTCCTCAAAGAGTTTCACCTTGACGACGTTAGACATGACCAAACTCATGTCTGGCATAAGCTTCAAGACGGCATTCAGTATACCATCATGCGAGGCGACCTCCTGCGTGAACTCCAGCCGCAGTTGCGGTGGACGTGGACTACCAACCCAAATTTTGGTGGACGGCGGTGGCCCAATGCTCAGTCTCATATGATTCGAGAGTTCAAGAATTTTAATGTTAAATATGATGTCTGGAACCCGCACGCCTCGGTATGTGATGGCAAAGCGAAGGCTGAACTTCAGTCCGCCACGATACAAAAAGTCAAAGTCCAGCTCAATCTCCCCGTTAGGGGAAACACTCGGCTCGCCCAGCCCGCGAATCAGCGGAATCTCACCCCCAATCTCAAGTTGATCCAGCAGAATCTCCCCATGGATGTGCTTTGGAAGTTTACGGGACACCCGGTGCAGCTTTCGGCGCAGTTTCCCAATAAGAAGATCATGCAACCCGCTCGTTCGTGTATTTTCAAAGTACAGGCGGGCCACGACGAGGTTAAATACATCCGTGAAGGGAAGATGTTTGATAAACATGCGCCACTCCTCGGACTGTGGCGTGGCTTGAAGCAAATTAAACCAACGCTCCATCTCACGCCGGGTGGGAAGCTTAAAAACTACGGCTGTCCAGTCGCCAAAGCACGGTTCGTTATCTACATCCTCAAGGTCCAATTCACCCATGCACATCAAACCGTTTTCATCCCCGTAGATGTTTTCTCGATTGTTTCCGTCGTTATTTTCCTCAAACCCCTCTCTGGAATAATGATCCCCATGACGATGACGGTGTTGGTGTTGGCGACGGCCACTCCCCTCCCCTTCCTCCTCTTCCTCTTGCTTACGCTGTTGTCGACGTTGCTGACGTGACATCTCCTTCATAGGATCCTCAATAAAGAGCGGAAGTCCTTCTTTACGCCGCAGCACAAGACATTTCCCCCGTATGGGCGCTTGTCGCTTGGTTGTGTCTGTGTGACGATGGTACTTGGACAACTTCTCCAATGCGCTGCTAACAATGGCGGTGTTAAACTTCCCAATCAAATGCTCCGCATCAACAATCGTTTGATCACCATCCTTTGACCTATGACTACTATCAATTTGATATACGGAAATTGTTTTGCCAAACAGTACGGCACGAATAGGGATGGCGTTGCCCACAATGTCATTGTCATAGCGTGCCATCATGCATATAGCTTCCACCTTCCATACGCACAGCTCATCGCCGCAAGTGTTTCCAACACGTTTTTGAAGCCTCATCTCCTTTTGCTCCACAGCACTTTCAATCATCACCCCCGCCTTCACGAATAAGAAAGAAATAAGGAAAAGAGTCGTTGCCGCCCCTCCAATGACACCGCACACAAAAATCAACCAAGATGCCATCTCACCTACGGGAAGAGGGGACGGTGTACCTTTCAGTCTCTGCCTATATATATATATATATATATATATATATGTGTGTGTGTGTCTATAATGTGTGCGTGGGTGGGTCTATTGGTTGTCCTCCCCTACCCTGTTCTCTGGTTATGTGCCCTATTCTTCAACGAGCCACTCGATGCTCCCTACCGTGAAAAGGTGGAGGAAGGTGCACACAGTGGCAATGTAAACAAGGAGGTGGTCTGCCAACAGATGGCTGCACAAAAAATACGCACACACGCACACACCGATCCCCTGCGGCAGTAAACCCCTTTCATGTTGCGCCCAACGCATGCAAAGATGACAGCGTACACACAAACACACACACAAAAAAAAAAAAAGAAAAAAAAAAAGAAAAGGAACACAACACCATCAAAGACAGCACGGTACTGTCCTGACAACCCCTTTACATGACACACAAACAAACATCAAGCCACACCCCACCCCACCTCTCTGTCTCTCTTTCTCTCCCCCTCTTTTTTCCTCTCATTGATTCACATGCAGTAAACAAACGCTCACGAAGATCACCAAGAAAAAAAAAAAGAATCTGCAAAGAAGCGAATCATCCAAAGTTCACTTCACATTTCTGCCAGTGGCTGCAACCAATTTTTTTTTTCTTTTGGTGTGTGTGTGTGTGTGTGTGTGTGTGTGTATCACGCCCCTCCCACCGCTCACTTCACTCTGCATGTATATATATATATATATTTATTTATTTATACAAGTCTACATACAAAGCTAAAAAAAAAAAAAAAGAAAAAAGAAAGAAGTGAATAATGTGGGCTGGCCGTCTCATCCACCCCGAACGCCATATATCTTGCACACACACACACACACACAGAGAGAGAGGGAGAGAGGTGGGGGAGATGCTCCCTTCTGTGCATGCGTATTTGTCCCGCTATTGTTTTCTCTCTTATCTCCCCCCCTCCCTCCCCTCATCAAACTCGGCAGCCTCCGTTCACAAGCAAAAAAGAAAAAGAAAAAAGAAACAAAGAAAAAAAATCATGATATTTCACGCTAGCAATGAGATAGTGTCATGAAGATTCACATCATTCCGGAATGTGGAGAAAAGAATTTATGAAGCAACGCAGGAAAAGGAAAAAGGGACAGAAGCTCACTTTTTTTTTCTTTTTTTTTTTTTTTTTTATTTGCCGCTGATGAAAAGAAGACTCACTTCCAAAAAGAACCCCCAGTAAGAGATTCTGGCATTCCGCGAACGCGTTTCACAGCCAGCCGCATCACATTACGCGCCTTAACTTTTAGCCGCAGCCTCCGCCCGTCCTCCGAGTTCGGCGGTAATGAAGCAATGTTCGAAGGCGACAAGAGGACTCCTTGACTGAGTTCACGAAGAGTGGCCGTTGTTGCCAGCACGCTACCACTGACATTCACAGTACTGCTGCTATCGCCATGGCCCATAGAGTGTGTACCCTCATCCACGGATGCTATTACTTTCAACGCTGGGGTTCGGGCAGGGCTGAAAAATTCGCTCTCCTCTTTTGTGTTGCTCCCAAAGCCGTCGATTGTGGCTTCTTCCAAAGTTGCCGATGCCGGTGGCTCCTGTTTGAGGTTGACTTGACCCCGGCTACGTGCCACGGCGTTGTGTCTATCAAACCGCATATCCCACTTCTTCTTCTGTGACGCATTCGGTGACGACGGCGGTGTCTTTTCTATACTCGGCAGCGGGAAGTCATCCAGGGCAGGAAGGCCCATGTCATGCATGAGGTACAGTTTGATGAGGTTGGATGCGATGGGGCTCAGGTCCGGCAGCGAAATGAGGATGCGGTGCAGAAATCCCCGGCCGGACTGCATGCCTTGATGCACCTCCAGGCGAATATCCGGTGGTGAAAGGATGCCAAGCCAAAACTTCTTGCTGGGCGGTGGTCCCACACTAACACGCATACGCGCCGAGAGGTACTTAATCTTTACGGAGAACACAACGTGCGGGATGCGAATACCGCGGTAGGTGAGATTGAGACACAAACACAACGTCGCCCCGCCGCGGTAAAGCAGATCAAAGTCAAATATCATCTCTCCACCGGCCACAATCTTTGGAGAAGAGAAATTGCTAAAGATAGGGACCTCCTCCCCAATGAGGAAGTCATCCAAGAGGATCCGCCCCTCAATCTCACGTGGGAAATTCTTCATGCTCAATTCATCAAATTTCTTCTGCAACTTTGCTCCTATAAAATTGGTCAGTGCCGTTGTGCGCATGTTCTGTCGGAAAAGACGCGTAAGAACAAGATTGAATGAATCGGGTGTGGTGATTGTCTGTAGGTAGTCCCGCCACTGCGCGGCCTCCTGTTGTCCCTCGAGTAAGCTCTGCCACCGCTCCTGCTCCCGCATGTAGTAGAACTTCACAACGATAGTGTGTTTATTCCCGGGACGAGATTCCGCGTCACTCTCCGCCACTGCAAGGGATCCATAGACCTTTTCTTGGTTGCTACTGCCGCTGCTACTCTTAACAATCCCGTTCACACTTAAAACGGTGCTGTCACCCACGTTGTTTTTGGCACTTCGCGTCATGCCTGAGTTCGAAGCGGTGCCACCACGAAAAGACGCGTACGTCACTGAGGGAGAACCTTCCCTATTCTCCTCATCGCCCTCAAACAAAGGCCCGCCGTCGCGGGGACGGATGTGCAACACGTGTCCGTGTACCGCCCCTGCATTCCCCCCGCGACGGCTGCCACCCGGCAGAAAAGAGGGCTGCACAACGATGCGATCGGTTCGCACACGACCCCTCAACCGTTCCCCAGTGATGACACGCTCGTGGCTGCCAACCCCGTGCGAGTTCTGCACCTCGTATACAAACAAGTACTTGTCGTGCAGCACCAACCGGCAGTCATGCGCCGCGCCAAACACATTGTGATCCGTTAAATAAGAGAGTCGGCACACGGACATGTGTCGCGCAGGCGAGACGCCTGTCGTATCCGGCAGTGGTGTTTTTGAGTCCGCCGAGTACAAAGCGCTCAACGACGTGCTGCTAATGGCACTCTCGTTGTAGCTCGTCTGCCTAAAATGGGTGGCGGCAACGTCTTTTCCAGAAAGGTATGCGTACAAAAACCACAAGACTTTATTTCCACAATGCACAAATTGTGTAAAACTTTCAAGGCCGTAAAGGTAACAGATCGGCACGGCAATGACGCCGGCAATCCAACCGTACAGAAACAACATAAATATTTCCAACATTTCCTTCCTTTCATGCAGACAAAATATATATATATATATATATATATATCTGCAAACTAAACTAATAATAAGAACAGCCACTATATATATATATATACATATATAAGTGTACATATATAATCAAGGCAAAGATGGAAAAAAAGAAATACCGGCAAGTGAGGAGCATAAAGCGTAAGAATATATATTTATATATATATGTGCGTCGTGTAGCAACTGCAATGAAGGTAACTCCCCTTTATCACGATGTCCACCTCCCAACACACACACACACACACACACTACGTAATAAATATATATATATATAAGTACACGCAGATTCCTCTCTCACCTTCTCCTCATGGATGTCAATAAATAAACTGCAAAACAGGAAACAAGAAGGACACACTCGGTTCAATGCTGTTGATTCAAGCCACACCTTCAAATAAAAACTACAAGGGCAAAGACAAGCCCTCGTTTCCCTTCCCTTCGTGTGGGAAACAAACATGTACTCCATAAACGGAAAACCCACTTATCCATGTATGTTGAACCAAAAACAAAAAAATAAATACACAAAAGGAGAGAGACAAAACCATCCAGAAACGATCCAACAGAAATAGAGAGAGAGAGAGAAAAAAAAAAAAATGAAAAAGTCTCCCTGGTCGTGCGGAAAAAAACTTCAAACAGCAAAAAAAAGAAAAGAAAAAAGGGGGGAGGAGGGAAAAGGAACAAGGAAACACAACCTAATCTCTACACAAGGCAGAACTCCCCATTTCCAGACAGGAAAGCATGTCATTTAACTGCCGATACCACTTGTGTTGCCACCGGCGGGACTGCAGTCGCACCATTTTGTCACGGGAACCACACAACTCGCCAACACCTCGCAGCAGCGGCGGGTACCGCCCCTCAGCACATGCAATGAAATTTCGCCACAATAATTTCATTTGAACACAAACTTCACGGTGAAGAAATACCTCTGCGGCGCGTACGCAACGAAGGTACGCAACATCCGCCGGGACTCCCTTCGAAAAAGGTTTCTGCCTCCTGTAAACTTCGCCTGCACAAGCTGTTCGCGTCAAAGGTAGAAACCATTCTCTTTCCCTTCCGAGGTTCTTTTCACTCGACGCAAAGGCCGCCGCGCTGCCGCTGGTTGTCATTGCTGGTGGTTTGCGGTATTCCGCCAGGTTTGGCATGTTCGAGAGAAGTGGAAAGTACTGCAGGGATTCGGGGAAAAAAACGTTCTCTAAATCCATCTCGATAGAACCCTTTGTTACCCGCATTCTTCTTTTTGGCCCAGTACCGGAGGGAAACAACAGCAGCAGTGTGGGCTCCTTTGAAAAATCCGCCATCTCCAATGCCATACGGAGCAGATAATTGTGCCCCTTGACGACAAACGGGTAATTGCCACTGAGTGACTTCCTCCAGCTGCGGACGGCATGTAGCAGCACCACAGAGATCCGCTGTAATTGGTGCATAAAGTAAAGAACACCACGGCGGTAGTAACGTCTCTTTTTCACCAACGCCCCAATTCGAGACGGCACCGCAACAGCATCATCTGCAAACGTGACGGGCCGCCGTGGAACCACAGAGGGCTGCAGTTGCCCCGGCAAACTCCGTCGTCGCGGTAATCCCATGTGTGAGCCACGCCGTTGCGTCGTGTCTCCATTGCTCTCGTCATCCATTTCTGTGGAAACCGCCCCAGTGCCGAGATCAGACGCTGCCATCGCCAAAAAATCCCGTAATTTCGACACGATCGTCTCTCGTTGTTCTACGGCGTCCAAAACGGCCAAAGTCTGAGCCTGATGCTCCAGAAGAAGCCGGCGTAGTTGCATGATGTCAGCAACGGCTGCTTCATTCCGTCCTACAGCCTCCATGCCTCTAACAGAATTGGCAACATCGTCAACAGCCCCAATCGGGGACGGCCGACTTCCTAAGAATGTCTTTGCTACATGCTTATAAGAGTTGGCGTTTAAGCGGTTCGAGACACAATGGCCAAATTTCGACCGCTTCTCTGCTAACATCCTCTTTTTTTCGTGGTTGCTCAATGCTTCATGGCAGACGGGGTGCCGAGAGTGCGTGCCTCCTGTCACTGGGGTAAAGAGGGGGCCTACGGCGGCGTCATTCACGCCAGAGTCATCATCATGATTGCATGCCGGTTTGACGGTAGGGACCGACGTCACGCATGGCGAGCGTGTCTCCAGAATGTCCGTAGAAAAACTGCCTTTCTTTGTTATATTCTCATATAAGTTGCAAGGTGTTGTTTCACACGTCTTGACGGCATCTTCTCCTGATAAAGATGTAGATAATAAGCTTGTCTTTTCTCCCCTTCTTCCTCCATGCTCCAAAGGAGATATGATGTATTTCTCCAACACATCAACATCTATTGTTGGAAGGCAACAACTCCGCATCAGTGTGCGTACCTCCTTCACAATTTCCTGTACGGCCAACGCCGCACGAAGACGTAAAAATCTCTTCGTAAATGCATCCCGCTGCCTCGGCGCATGTGAATACCACGGCATGGACGAGATGTTTACATGCCCCTTCTCCGTCGCACACCATGCAGCCACGCCGTTATCCATATTCTCGCTATGGCCACGCTGGGCTGTGGCACGAGGCGCCTCTCGATTGAACTCTACGGACATTTCATGTCTCCTCCTCCGCCTCCTCCTTCTTATGCTCTTCTCTGACGCAGCGGAGATGTCTGTTGTCGCATACTCGGGCATTGCCTATTCCGTCTCCTCGTGTTGTTGCTGCTGCTGCAATGCTCTCTTCCCCTCGCCCTCACTGTGCAGCAACGCCGATATCCGCTCAAATGGGAGCCACCGTTTTTGCCAATCACACTCACCCCCACCCACCACAAATATATATATATATAGGTATAGGTATATATGTACAAAAAACAACAAAGCTACCACCCACCCATTCCAAAAGAACAAAAAAAAAAAAAAAAAGATGCCACACATACATACACACAAACAGAGAGGGAGAAGGGAGAGAAAAAAGAATTGCAAGAGAAGAATAAACAGAGCGTAAAATGTATTTTCTTCATTCTGCATGTGTAGACATTTAAGTGAGCCCGTAGAAGAAAAGCCTGAAAACTACAGGTGCTCCTCTTCACAATGATAATAAAAAAGGATATATATATATATAAATAAAAAAAAAAAAAAAGTTGTGTCAAAAGAGGCTCGACCTCCCTCGAGTTTGCAAACATCGTGTGCGGTGGGCAAGGATGGACCACACACGACAACATGCCATTTTTATCAAAGAATGAGGCAAAATGACTCCGATCTTCGGTGGCAGTCTTGGCAACAAAAGACGGGAGTAGATGGCATCTCCCACATGCTTCTTTTCAAAATCTGCAATCGTGCTATTTGTCACGGCCGCTATGAGAGGCGCCTCAGCACGGATTGGGCTTGTGGCATCCTCCATGCGAATAGCAAAGAGGGCAACTTGCTCCAGACGTTCAATTGTTTTTCGATTAACATGACAAAATGGTGGGTGACGCTGCGGGTAAAAAACACTCGTGTTTGCAATGCCATTAATGTAAAACGCGCTCCCTTGATCAAGAAAGATGTACCGCGGTGTGCTTTTAGAGGATTGCTCACATACGCGTTTGGCCCGTGCGGCATAACAGGGCAGCATAGGTGCACATGCCGCCACCACATTTGTGTTGTGCCCCCGCCATCGATCATAGTTGGCAATAATTGCATCAAATGCCAATTGATCCCAACGCTCACGTGTCATCAACTCCCGCAACACTGTCAGCTTCGTCTCTTCTTTATCTCCACTGCCTATGCTTTTGTTTTCCTCACAACAATTTACAATCCAATCATCATCGTCCTCATGACTGTTTTTGCCGGTACGTTTTTTGTCGTCATGCGCCCCTCCCTTCGCCCCTTGATGCAGTATATAATCCCCAAAGATTGAATTCTCTGCCTTATCCACGTCCCAAGTCCAAAGCTGTACCGATGCCAGAATACATCTCGGCTTCGGCATCCCAAGTGTATTTAATAGACGTGGATCCTGACACAATGACGTGGCCGCTTTCCCCCGCTTAGAAGTAAACACCGCGGTTTCCATCCAACGTACATAGAAGAACCCAAGCGTGGCGGCGGCAGCTTTAATGTAATCCACAGGGAACTCCACCCACGCTGTTGGCGGTACACGCCGAAACCCAAGGACTCGGTCCATATGAAACGCCACAGTCTCGCTCGCCGGCTCCAGTACAAATCCCTTCTGGGAAAGTTTAACCACTGCCGTGATGTTGCCGTGACGAAAGGAGAGAAGTAACTTAATCGTACGTCCGTACGAAAGAATACTTGACATGGGCTTCAGCGCTAACCAGTTTGCAGGGTTTTTAAGGTACGCCACGCAGGCAAAATCCTTGCTCGGGGTGTAGTCCACGTCTGTTGGGTCGCAAAATTGCAACAAGCCAACATGTCTCTTCAGCACATTACGGATTTTCACATTATACTCAGGAAGACGTGCTTCCTTGGCGTAACATGCTTCAAGCTCTTCAGATGGCTGTGGCTTCGCGCCAACCTCCACAAATTTATTCTTGTCACTATGAGTACCATTTGAAAGCTCGGGTAACAAAATGCCATGATTTTTGTATGTCTTAATAGCCTTAAATTTATCCGAGCTCTGCGTCACGTTTTCCGTCGTTTGATTCAGTAACACGGTATACTCCTTCCTGGCCCATGACCAGTTCATTTGGGAAAATCCCTCGGGAAACACGCTTGGCTCCGGCGAGATCTTCGGTAGGGTGTCCAGCGGTTGACATCCACTTAACAGTAAACTCAGCGATGGTGTATTCGCATTTTTCGCCGCTCCCTTCCAAAGCGTCCCTGCCCAAGGATGTGGAAATTGTGATGGTGGGGCTATCAAATGACTTTTGCTGCGTCGACCCCGCCCCTGAGTTTTACCCGTGAAATGTTCATAGTTGAATTTCGTGAAGTAGAAAAGCAACAAATTGATTAATGTAAGTACCGTCAAAATAAAAAGCAGACGCCGATTCACAAACCGCGGCCAAAAGCCTATTCGACGTTGCAGTCGTGTAAAGCCGCGTTTCCACGGGTTAAGAAACATGTGCAGCAGCAGGAACTAAACCAAAACACCAATCAATAACCCCCGCCAAAAAGAAAAAAAAAAAGAAAAAAAGAAACATGAAGGAAAAAGAGTAAAAAATATAAAATAAAATAAAATAAATGCGTGCATAAATGAATAGCAAGTGCATGGCTCTCCTGTTTCACGTCATTTTCTTTCTCGCTCCTTTTTTTTTTTTTTTTTTTTTTCTCTCTCCCTTTCATGTGTGCATGCGTGTTTGTGTATGTGTGTGAGTGTGTGTATGTCTGTTTATTTTGCCGCCTCTTTCCTCAGCGTCAGGTACATATACGCCAACCAACTTATTCACCCGCTCATAAACCCAGCAAGCGACGAAGGCGTTGATTCTCAGATTGTAATTCACGCAGGAATCTCTTTTGTTTCCGCAAAGGCAACTCCATTGCCTCGAGACAGCGAGTGATGTCCTCACGCAGTGCCGCATACTCCGCGCGCCGCTCAGCAAGTTCACGCTCAGCCATTAGCACTCGATGTGCCAATTCATCCGCGGCTCTTTGCATGTTCATGACAGCCTCTGCAGTCATGGCTGTTTCCTCTTGCCGCGTATCTATTGCGTCCCATTCCCGCTGCCCCGAATGATTCGGATGCAAATGCGGCTGTTGTAGTCGTGGCGACCCGCATGACTGCTTCCCCTCTCTTCTTTCCTCTATTTTTTCCTTGCTGCCTCCCCTTCCAGCTTTCTGCATAATCTCCTGCCATGAATGGGTGATTCTCTCTAACTCCATCAACGGGGATTTATCTCTCCTCCCCGCCCCTCCTCCCATCGTCGAACTGCTCCCGCTGTGAGTAGCGTCAAAGACATGCGTTGTTTCCTGTTTGGTCTCTCTTGACACACGACGCTCAGAAACCGACGCAGATGGTTCCACCTCCCTCTTGTCTTGCCGTTCGGGGAACAACCAATCCTCTTTTCCTTCTCCTGCCTTAGCCCGTTCTTCTTCTATGCGTCGATGGCGTCGTCCCCCTATGGCGGGAAACACCTCCTGCAGCCGCACCACCTGCCCGGCATGTGGGGACGGTGGATGTTCACTGCTCTCCACAAATGACGGTCTCGTCCACGCCGGTGGGGATTCGTCGGGCGGGCTCCAGTGAGACATCGCAAGTGGATGCCGCCCCTTTATTTCCTCCCCCACCGTTGCCTGCGTACTACTAGGGGCCAACGCAGTCTCCTCCACCCAGGCGTCTACACGTGCGGCATACGCCGTACCACCGCTGTGCTGCATCTCTGCCATGATCGACAACGTTGATGCGGCATCACCACCCAAAGCAGCGCCCTCACCACCCTGTTTTTCTCTCCCATTCTCAACGCCACTATCGACATCAGCGGTGGTAGCGGCTTGCAACTGCGGCGCAGACTCCTCTGCAAGCACCATATCCCATCCCAGCGTGAAGAGCGGTCGACGCCCCAAATACCTTCCAGGAGAGCTCAAATCATTATTCAAAATGTCACTTGCCACCTCTCGCCGCATCTATGGCTCTCCAGATGCAGCCATTAATGCTCGGAACGGGCCCCTTGACCAAACCGCCACGACAGAAAACAGCGCCTGGCCCGTGTTTCAGCCGTCTTCGTTAAAGTGCCGTCGAAGAAGAAGCGGGAAAAAGGCAGAAGAGAAGAATGCGGTGAGTGTGGGAACCTCAAAACAAAGAAGAAATAAATGAACAAAAAGTCAAAAAAAAAAAAAAACGGCAATAAGAAAAACAGAAAAAAGGGAATCAACACCCACTGTGGGATGCATCTTTTGTTCCTCGCATGGATCTTCGCTTTTTCTCTATTGCCTCCCCGTGTGGATGACATCCGACATGTAACACCCCCCCGACCACGCATAGACGGATTGAGAAGGCAGCCAAAGGGAGAAGAAAGAATAATAATAATAATAAATGTTGTATACATACGTAGAGAAATAAAATAAAATCCCCCAATGACTTTCGCTAAAGAAATCCTCTTCCCACTCTCTCTCTCTGTCTCTCTCTCTCATTGACGTCCGCAGAATCCAGAGATGTCAGTCTACATTTATATGTGTGTTGAGGTATATGGGTGTTTCTACATGAATACACGACTTCTCCCCTTCTTCTTCTTCTTCTTCTTCTCCCTTTTCTCTCTCTCTCTCTTTCTCTCACCCCTCCCCCTTTTTTATTTCACTCCATCACCCGCTGCCAAATAAATAAACATACATACATACATAAAATACATAAATGGCAAATCACCTCGGACCCAAACAATAAAAATTAACAAAAATGAGAAAATAAAATCATGAAGTTGTACAATAATAAAAAAGAAAAAAAGAAAAAAAAAAAACAATGATGATCACAGTGCTGATAACTATATTTATATATATATGTCGTATGGCAAACACACCACTGTACTCTAGACAAGCATACACACACACACACACACAGAGAGAGAGAGAGAAAGAGATAAACAGGCATGCATACATGTATGGGTGTATGCATGTCAAAAAGTTCCCTTTTGTTGTTGTTGGGCTTTGGCTTCTCTTCCTCGCGGCTCAAAACCGCCGTGCATTTTAACGACAAATAAGTCTTCTTTCTTTTTTTTTTTTTTCTTTTTTTTTTTTTTGGTTTTTGTTTTTTGTTTCTTTTATTTTCCGTTTTATTTGTTTTTGTTTTTGTTTTTTTCTTCTTCCTCTAAATTATTTGCTCCTCATTTTTCTTTCTTTCCTTCTCCATCCAACAAACCGCAGTCAACATATTCCACACACACACACACACACACACCAATTGGGCCCAATTTTGTTTCTGTTTGTTTTTGTTGTTTTTTTTTTTTGTTTTTTTAGTTTACATGTTCATTCGTAATTTTTTTTGGCTCGACTCCGAATGCCGGGAGATTTTGTGATGCCCTTCCCCCTACCCAACGTATGTGACATATGAGTCTCTCTCTCTCTGTGTGTGTGTGTGTGTGCGTGTTTGTGTGCGCACAACAGCAACAGCACAGCCGATAGCGGCATTCCGCTTCATTTCCCTATCTCTCCGTTCTACTGTGGTACGGCATCCGCATTCTCACTACCAGAATCATGACTTTACAATGATTTGGAAGATGTCACAGCCACGCAGCACCTGAACGAGGAAGTTGTGGTGCTCGCACAGCACGTCAACGTACTTCTGCAGGGCGGGGTTCACGGTAAGCTCCTCTTCCGGCAAATCCACAAACTCCTCGCGAGCCTCGTGTTGGATTTGCATCGTGCGGTTTGACAGCACCTCCCGCAGGTGGGACAAGGAGTGAAGGGAGTAACCAGCGACGTCAAGGATCATGTCACCTGCCTGGAACTGCAGATCGTCCTCCTCCACCTTCGGCAGCGGGCGTTCGATGCTTGTGACCTCAAGATTCTTGTTGATGCTGCAGCCAAGAATGCCCTCAATTGCAAGATTGGCGCTGGGCGGGTGGTCCATGTCCTCTGGCACAAACGTCATGTAGTGAAATGGCTTCGCCTGACGCGGGGTACCAGTCACACGACGACGGCGTTGGGGACTCTCAAGGTCCGCCATCGCAGCCTCGGCGGCCAAACGTGCAGCTTCCTCGACGAGCACATCATTCAGTCCTGAGTCAAACAACTCCACAAGTACCTCCCACTCGTCCTGCTCCTCGCTCAATACCCCTTTGCGGTAGTACTGCTCCTCATTGCTCAAATTGGTCATATCTTTCCGCTCCTGCCGGCGGCGCTCCAGCATGGCCCGGTTACAATGCATAATGCTCTCAAGCATAAAGACATGCTCGTCAAGCTCCTTTAGCTCAATCTCGTTTCGAGCCGCATCCTCCGTCGTGAAAACAAACTCCCGCCGAAACAGGCGTCGACGACGTTCCTCATCACTGACAAGATGCGTGCGTTCGGCAACCTCCTCCGCAAAAAGAGCCTGCCACGCTTGCGGTGAGAAGAACGCCGCACGCGGCACACCCCCGCTTGTAGGTGTCTTGCCTTCGCACACAATATCCAGCCATTCCTTCATTTCATCCGCAGCCAAAATCATACGTGCCGTTCTCTCATCTCCGACGATCGCTTCCACCCTGTCCTGCAATACATCAATAAGAAAACTGCGCATATTGGCATAGATCTGCCTCCGTTGCTTTGTCTCCGCCTCTATAAGACGCTGTCGACAGCACCGCTCATCCACCTCTGTCTGTGATGCAACACCCACCAACACACGTGGGTTCATCATGAGATCAAGCACCAGGCGATCCTCACGCTCCTGATCTGCAACACGCCAACGACGCTCCCTTTCTTGTGTAAACATGCGTACAAAAGTAAAGTTGCGATTTTGAGCCCGAGCCAATACCTGCAATTGTCGCGCGTAACCAGCCTCCACTTCAGCACGCTGAACTTGTTCCTCTACCTCCAGTGCATTCTGTAACACCGCGATAGGTTTTTTATGGTTCCAATCAGTTTTACAACCCGCGTCTTGGCGTTCTTGTGCCTCTGAAAGGACAATTCGACTGCGTCGTGAATCCTCATCCCGCTCCAACTGTCCCAGTTGCTGTCGAAGACGCTCTTGTTGAAAGAATTTTTGTTTCCGTTCCCGTTCACGGATGCGTTCCTGTTCACGTTGTTGAACGCGCTCCTGTGTGATTCTTTCCAACTCACGCATTCTTCCATTCATGCCTGTCATGCTGCCCTCCGTTGTAATGTCCCCGTCTTCCACCGAATCAATTTCTTCATCCGCAACGCGCAAGTAAGAAAGCGAGTTGGTGTGATTTCCCCTCGGTGTGACTGCTCGAGAAGTACCCCTTGACCCATGACGGTTGCCGCGGTAGAATTGGCCTAAAGCAGCAGGGGACTCGGGAAAACAATGCCGGATTTCGTAAAGCCGTTTCAAGAACAAGAAAGGTTGAGTAGTGAAACGACGCTCTATCGTTTCACGTGGTAAATGGTCACGGCTATGGTGAATCTCCGCCGTGATGCGCATCCCTGGTTGATCCAGAGAAACATTTGTGATGGTCACAAGACGGCGCGGTAACTTCAGAATTAGGCATGTGTCTATTAATGCGCAGAAGCGCACATCCTCCTCTCGCACAGGGTACAGTAGATGCCACTCATCTCCATAAATGTAGCGATCCAATATGGTATTAGAATATTCCACTTCCGTCAAAGCCTCTGCAGGTTGAAAATGGTGAAGTTGCTGAGACGATGCAAACGCCAATTGACCGCTTCCTGTCAGTACGGTGGACGGTCGGCTCATGCGAGATAATTCACTTCCACGATGTTTCTCTGGATATGGTGCATGCAAAACATCAGTGCTGTCATTCTTCTGGAGAGGGTGCTGCTGTCCAGTTCTAAGAATTGGACTCTGACTACGGACGGGAATATCGTTTTTTTGTGGTTCCATCATGTTGCGCGATGAAAAGCTATGGCGCGGCGCATTCGCAAGTTCATGTGAGGCAGCCTCCAGCTTCTTCTCTGCCTCATTACGTAGACGTAGGGCCTCCTGCCGATCCTGCTCTGCCTCACGTTGTAGTTTTTCTACGGAACGCAGACGTGCCTCAATCTCACGAAGCCGTGATGACTCTTCTGCAATAGTTGAAAGTGCTACGCGACGTGAGGAACGAGGTGAAACACTTGTCGGTCGGCTGATAGAGTGGCTCAGGGAGTGGCTCAGGGAGCGGCTCATGGAGGCACTTCGAGAGCCACGGCCACGGCCGCCAAATAATTTCGCCTCCTCCACAAGGTAGGCCTCGTGCACCAACTCCTTATGCAAATACTGCATAAGGTGAAGGCGGTGATGCATGAACTTCATCACATTGCGGAGGAACCTCTGATGTTCCGTGCGGGCCCTAGACGAACGCTGTGTCACAGTCAAATCGCTCGGGGACTGGTAGGGAAATTTACCGACAGGGTCGTCATTTTGGCTTGACGCTGGTGCCACATGCATGGCGTGAGACGAACCCGGCGTGCTGGGAACTGCATTTGGCCCAAGCGACGTTGGCCGACCAACGGAGCCTGGATGTCGTGTACGCCCAAAGTCGTCCCCAGTGCGTAAAGAACTGGTCGAGTGTGGTGTTTGTGCATGGACGCTGTTATTATTTAATGATTTTGGCATCAAGACAGCGTCAGGTGGCAGTTCTCGCACGCTATCCATTCTAGATCCTTGTGGTGTTCGTAACTCACTCGGTGTCCCAAGCTCCCGGCGACTGTTTGTGGGATTGCTGCGTACGGGAAGCCCCTTGGCATTTTGCGACCCCTGCATGAAATTAGAGCCATTAAGAGACGCATGCGGTGTTGGAAGTTCACGTTGACTGGCTGTTGGGTGGCTCCGGTTGGGCAGAATGCGACTGTTTTGGCTTTCATGTGGAGTGCGTAACTCACTCGGTGTCCCAAGCTCCCGGCGACTGTTTGTGGGATTGCTGCGTACGGGAAGCCCCTTGGCACTTGGCGACCCCTGCATGAAATTAGAGCCATTAAGAGACGCATGCGGTGTCGGAAGTTCACGTTGACTGGCTGTTGGGTGGCTCCGGTTGGGCAGAATGCGACCGTGTTGGCTTTCATGTGGAGTGCGTAGTTCGCTTTGTGGTGTTCCCAATTCTTTAAAACTCTCACTCGGTCGGCTCGCCGGTATTTTGGAGGCCTGGACCAAATACGAGTCGCCTCTCGGAGACCCCAACTCCATGGGTGAACTTCGGCAGCTTTGCATAAATTCGCTGAGGTCCCCTTTGGTCACCGTGTAGTCCTGCGTGTTGCGGCTGCGTTGGTTAGGGCTTCTGTTACTTGCAATGGATTCATCAGCTGCGCGGACCGAGAGAATCTTTTTCGGGATCTTTTCTGCTGTCTGAGTTTTATTTCCGGCGAGGCGCGTGGAACGCATATACTCCGCCGTAATGTCCTCTGCGTGGCGTGCGAGAAGTGCCTCGACGCAGCGATCGTAATCTTCATCACTGGGAAAATCGAGACGCAAATTTCCCCATCGTGCCGGATTGTCCAGTCGCTGGAGCTCATCGCCGGTCGGTTCCTCCCTGGACGATCCGGGAAAGAGGCTGGTGGACGCCGTCCGTGCGCTGACGGTGCTCCCGTCCTTTGCGGGGACAATTCCAGCAGAAAGGGCGGCGTTGATAAAGAGATGACCAGAGGCGCCCGTCAGTACGAGCGAATCTGCAGAGGTAAGGACCGTACTCGGCACCCGCGCAAACCTTATGAGTGGAACTGAGCAGACACCAACAAAGAGCGGCTCCTCATCACTTGCCTCGCAAAGCTTAAACACAGAAATAGTTGTGCGCGTGATGGTGATGCTGCCCGGCAACACAACCGAACTTCCATCAGGCGTCATCTCGACGCGTAGGTTCACAGGGTAATCCTCCTGCATTTCCCTTCGTTGCCCTCTATTCTCCTTTCTCTTGTTGTTGTTGTTGTTGTTGTTTGCGTCCGTGTGGCAGGCAGCCTGCGTGTTCTCTCCGAGTGAAATAATGCCACTACTTTCGCTGGAGCCGAAGATGCGATCCGAGGACGCGGTGAAGAGTTTCCGCCGAGTGTCCGTTTTGCCTTTTCAAACACCACCGCACCCTCTCCCTTTTTTATTCTTGTTTTTTTTTTTTTCTTTTTTTTTCCCTTTTTTCTTTTTTAGTTATTTTGTTTCTTTCCTCCTGCTTTGATGTTCTTTTTGTTTGTTTGTTTGTTTGTTGTTTTGTTCCTTTTTTTTTTTTTTTTTTTTTTTTGATTCTCCCCCCTCTCTCGTGTATGTGTGCTCTCAGGCCTTTCCTCACCTCGCCCACTAAAACAGAGAAGAGAAGAGAGAAAAAAATAAATAAATAAAATATTAAAATAATAAAATAAAAATTTTTTGTCCTCCTCCTTTTTTTGTTGTGTTTTTTAAAATACGCCTCCCACGTTTTTTTTTTTTTTCTTTTATTTTTTTATTTTTCCCCCCCCCTCCCACAGAAGTGCGCACACACACACAAATACACAGACAAGCAGGCAGAGAGAGGGAGAAAGAAAGTGGCTGCAGCAGCCGCGAAAAAAAAAAAAAAAAAAAAAGAAATACGCCGGCAATTTATATTTATATTTATATAAATACATACGTACACATACACACGCAGCGAAACAACATCCGCTACATCCGTACGAAAAAAAAAAGAAAAAAATGAAGGGGACATTGCCTGCTTGAATTCATTCTTCCCTCCACGCACACACAAACACATTTACATGCTCATACACATACAACCGCACTTTACAAATTTTTTTTTTTTTTTTCATAAGAATCGAAAAGAAGAAGAAGAAGAAAAAAAGGCCAAATCGCCAGCAAATGAAAAAAGAAAAAAAAAAAAAAAAAGGGAAAGAGAAGTGAAAGGTATTTGCCATTCGCATCCTACCCATCAGCACTCCCCTTCAAGAGCAGCGCACGGCGGCACAGACGGGGCAGACACCGCACGTCAATGCACACTCCGCACAGACGGACGTATGGCCGCAGGTAAAAATAGTATTACACTGCAGTTTGGGGGCCGCCGAACAGCGACTGCAGAGTCCCTTCAACATCCGGCCATTCAATACCTTTTTCATGCGCTGCCCTACCTCAGACAGGAGCTCACACAAGACAAACACATCACTATCACTCATTAAAGCGACATCTGCCGGTTCCGGTGCATAACGCTGCGTAAAAAGAACCTTCTTCAGCTGTAACTTTTCCCCTATAATGCTTCGCATATGAGACTCATTAAGACGTTGTTGCTCGCGAATATGCTGCTGAAATGCCGCATCCTCGCGCATTGGGGGTGTTCTTTCGTGCACAACGTAATCTTCCTCCCTATTGGCATCCCTCCCGCCTTTTCTATCCCATGGATTCCTGCCTGTCGCTGAAACTCCAGGCATTTTTCGGTCCATCTCTTTCTTTAGCCGCTCCCACTCACGACGCATTTCATGAAGAGTTTGCTTCGCCTCAAATTCGTTCAGAATGTCGTTTACAGGCGTGGTAGTTGACGCAAAGGCAGAAGCGTCCCCTTCAGCATTGCTGTCGTCACTGTCATGATCAAAAATGTCCGCATAATCCTCTTCGATATCATTGGTGAAATGACTGTACGTCCTGCTTCCTTCGCGGCCGTCTCGTTGTGTTTGTCTCCTCGTGTCTCCATTGCTCTCACGCGCCTTACTTCGAACACCTTCACCCTGTTGACGGCCATCCATGCCACCATTCACTTCCGCAGTAAATGAAGAAGAGTGTGGTACGGGCCTCGTTCTCGGCGCCTGTTGGGGTTGTTGTCGGTTTTGTTGGTATTCCGAGGGAAATGTTGGTGGCGGGGCAGCACCGTTCTGCGTGGAATAACCACTAACCGGCACGCGATCACCGTGAGCACGGCGCCAGCGTTCATCTGCTCTCTCATACATTTGGGAGGTTCCAAATCGAGTACCTCCTCCATAATTTCCGGCGTTAAATTCGTTCTTGTTATTATTGCTGTTATTGTTGTAATCATCACTACTATTGTTATTGTTTGCTTTTCTGTTACCGGTCTGAGTAAAGCACTTTGCCCTTGAATAACGCTTGTCAAATGTAAAACCTCCTGGCGGGGAACCAAAAAGTTCTTCCTCTGTAAAGAATGGGGTTGTTTCCTCCGTGGTGTGTTGATGCCTCGCGTACTTAAAGCCGGATCCTGCATTGGTGTAATGCGTCTTAAAGGTAAAAAAGGCCGCTGTGGGACATGCGCCAGGTCTGCCGGCACCGACGCCTGTTGCCGTACTTACATTCGCCGAGTCACGTCCGCCATTACGGCGAAAGTGTACACAGAGGGCCTCATACGCCTCATTGACCCTTTTAAACTGCTCGGTACCGCCTGGGTTACGGTCCGGGTGCAGCGCCAGGGCCTTTTGATGGTACGCCTTCTTCAATGCCGCCTCGTCGCAGCCACGCGGGAGCCCCAACACCCGAAAGTGGAGATCCATATCTGGTACTCAGAAATACACGCCGGAAAAGGGAGAGAAAGAGGAACGAGAAGAAGGGGTGGGGGGGGTGGGGGAGTGGGAGGGGTAAAGAATTTATATAAATAAAAATCTACGCGCACGGAAAGAAGGTGGATAAGAAGGAAAAAGGCGACAGTAGTGAGCCCCTAACTATTTATATTTATATATTTGTTTTTTGTTCTTTCTTCTTCTTTTGTGTGCCGCCGCCACCACCACCACCACCCCGCCACCCTCGTCTCGCGGAATGACGGTCTCTCCTGCTACCTCAAATCTAAAACTACGGGAGCGACCCTTTCCCCCCTCCCCACACACACACACACACACACACCGCCTCTCGCCTCCGCAGAGAATTATGATTCGTGAGTAACGTACACTGGAGGGGTGAGAAAAGAAAGAAAAAGGGAAATGCAAGCACATTATACATCACATACACACACAGACATTCAAAGTAAAAGAAGGTGAGAGGAAACACAAATAAAAATAAAAATAAAAAAGGCCCCAGACGTCAGAAAACACACACACACACACACAAAAAAAAAAAAAAGCAGGAAAAACAAACATTTCAGTGCAGCATCCATCCATCCATCCATCCGTCCCCACCATTCAAAGATATTCGTGTCGTCATTATAAGAGATGAGAAGGGGTGGAAGGAGGAAAGGACAATTTCCCCTCCCCCTTCTTTTCTTTTCTTTTCTTTTTTATTTTTTTTCCTTCTGCTTTTCATTCATCCCAGGAACAATAAGGAAGCACACACACACACACACAAGAAAAAGAAAAAAAAAAAAAAAAAAGAGAGAAACGCAGCAGAAGCACCCCTATGAGGCTTGAGGGCATGCCACCAAGGACAACAACAACAACAACAATAATAACAATAATAATAATAATGATAATAATCATAAAAACCGAGAAGAAAGAACAAAAGAAAGAAAAAAAAAAAAAAGGAAAGAGGGAGAGAGAGAAGAGGCTTTTAAACTCCAAAAAAAAAAAAAAAAAAAAAAGAAAACCTCTTGAATCGGTAACATTTGAACTCACACATGCGTAACCGTAAAACTATACATGACCAATGCGCCTGCAAACATACATACATAAATACATATATTTATGTTATAAGCATGCATGCATGCATGTACGTACTTATGTATATATCTGAATTTGGCCCGAGTAACGTTGCCAAAAATGAATCATAACCATCCATGCACACACACACACACACACACACACACACACACGCAGACAGACAGACAGATGGAAAAAAAGGGAGGGAAGAGAAACAGAGAGAAGGTGGGGAGAGAAAGAGGAGGAAGAGAGAGAAAAACAAAGAAAACAAACACCTTTCGAAATATAACACCAACAAAGACAACCCACCCACCAAAAAAAAAGAAAAAGAAAAAGAAAAAAAAGGAGCGGACAAAATATTTTGGCTCAATGAGCGCTCATCCCTTTTGTTGTTGTTTTTTGTTTGTTGTTGTTGTTCTTTTTTCTTTCTTCTCAAACATTAACACATGCACCCCCTCTTTCATGCTGTGCGCATATATGTATGCCCCTATATGTGTTTACTTGTTTGTGTGGGGGTGATTTATAGTTTATCGTCTGTCCATTACACCCGAAGCCGTTCTCGCACGACAACAGGCACCGAGCCGCGGAGAACGTCCATCTCCAGGCACTCACAGCCGCTCTCCAGGGCCTCTTGTACCCGCTTCACCAGGGTATCAATGTCTAACACGGGTTTGTTCTCACACCCAAACAGATAATCCCCCTCACGTATGGAATCGGCATCCTTGTCGTTGCCGTCTGCTACCGACGCCGGTCGCTGCACCTTGACGCAACTCAGAAGCGAGTCAAATTCACACGATGGGAGGTGAACAGCAAGGAACTGTTGCGGTGTTAACACTTCCCTCTCTGTTGTACGCCTCATAGGTTTTATGGGAGCGTTCCTTCTTATTAGGTGAGAGGAACGTGAACTCGTGGCGGATCTTAGAAGTGGCCAGTCAAACTCATGGGTGAGAGTGCTTCGACGCGCCAGCAGTCGGTCCGGTAGAGGGCAAGAATGCGGCAAGGGACGTTGACTGCTGCGGCCAGAGGAGAGGGTAGGAGAACGGTCAAGCATCCTGATTTCTGAGTAACCCCGTCGGCCGCTATAGAGGCCACTTTGAATTGGTGTGTCATGAAACACATCATTCGGACTGGGCGACAAAGAGAGGACTCTGCTACTTTGTTGTGAAGGATGGCGTCCAGAATTGAGCCTAAAGGTTTCGCTGCCGCATAGTAAATAGTGCCTATGTGTCTCTGGCCCCCTCTTCTCCCCATGCCTTGCCGGCGGGATGGGTATTGACTGCTTACGAATAAGTTGCTTTTGCATCGATCGTGTTGTAAAGCCATCTGACGGTGTTGGAGAAGGTGATGTTTGGCCAGGACACAAGACATCGTTTTTCTGCTGACCTCTCGAAGACTGTCGCCCACAATTACCCACGGAGGATGGCGGAGAAATCATTCTTGGGGACACACATTGCATGGCGGACCCAACGGATCGACTGGAGCTGGCACCATTGTTCTTATTTTGTAAATTGGATATCGAAGAAAAAAGCCGTTGCCGTTTCGACTGCATGGACTCGTTGGAAACTTCCCGTCGCCGCGGTGTGGAACTTTTTGGAGTTTCTCTTCGTTGTTTCAAAAATCCCTTTTGGAACTCAATTTTCTCTTGTATGAACCTCTTGGGAAATGCCCGCCGCAATTCATCCCTCTTCACATGTGATGCATCAGAACCGCCACCGGCAGCACCGTTTGCGGATGCCGGTGGCGCAGCCCTCAGAGAGTTATCAGGCCGACGGGAAGACAGGACCCTGGGAGATGATTTCGACAACAACACCCTCTCCGGGACAGCTGCAAACATCTTGGTGTTAGGCTGCCGTGTACCGCCTGAAACTGGGGCGCAACTCGACGGACAAATTGTTCGTACACCTCTTTTCTTCTCGCTCAAAATTGACAATTTCTCTTCCTGGCAGCGGACATTCCTCCAAATGCAAACAGGCGATGTCCGTCGCGGTGCACGAGGTGAATTTTGAAGGTTATTGCTGAGGAGCCACCTCGGGCCTTCCATTTTTTGTTGCTGTTCTTTTGTGTGTGTGTGTTTTTGTGTTTTTGTGCTTCCACGACGTTAACGGCGGTGGTGGTGGTGGTGGCGGTTTGATTGAACTCGGCAGTGAGCAGTCACTTCTCCCTCCTCCTCCTCCTCCCCGCAGAGCCGCACAGAAACAAGACCCTGCAGTAAACTTCAGACCGACAAAAGAAAGGAATAGAGAGAGAGAGAGAGGCGGTGTACACGTGCTGTTCAGCCTTGCTGCTTCCCTTGTCTCAGAGAGCCGTCTGCGTGTATAATGTGTGTGTACCCTCCACACGGACACTGCGTGCCTCTCTCTCTCTCTCTCTCCCTTTCTTTCTTAATCTGAATGTAAAAAAACGTGGCCCCAAACAATTTCCTTCGTAATTATGTCTTTTTTTTTTTTTTTTTGCGTGTGTGTATATGTCTGTGTAATGCGATGGTTTGTCTTTTTTTTTTTTTTTTTCCTCTTCGAGATGTAGTGTGTGGTTGCACGTATCTCTTCCTTGTGGCAGAAACGAGGGAGGTGAAAAAGAAAGAGCAGCGAGAAAATCTGTTCTGGCAGAAAAAAATACAAGGCGCATAACGGAGGGACCCACAAACACCACAGAGACAACCAGAAATACAGACGCATACGGACAGACTCTTCACCCACGCATATTGTACACAACCCACACATAGACACACGGATCCACCAGCTCTCGGCAGCCTTTTCTTCGTCTCCCGCTTCCTCTCGTTCAATGTAAAGGCCAAGGCGGTTCAATGTTTCTTGCGGGCAAATGCACCAATCTCCTTAAGGGTCATGGTGCGTCTATGCCGGCGCAACCAGCCAACCGTTGTCGTGAGTGTCCCCTCATCACACCCGCCACCAATGTTACCACCGTGGTTACTACTACTGCCACCGCCGCTGCTGCCGGCATTGTTGTTGATGCCCGCATTACCGCCGCCATGGCGCCGCATCCAGGCCGCAAAGCGAGCGGGATAGTCGTCATCCAAAAGATCCATTTCAAATGGCACGCCCATCGTTGGTTTCGTCATGACAACGTCAGCAACCCCGTTGGGGTCTTCGCCATTGCGGGAAAGCGACGTGGAGTGAGGCTTCTCCTCTTCCTCCTCATCCCTCTCTTCCTCTATGTTCCTGTTGCCCTTTTCCTCAAAATCATCTTCCTCATCAACGCCATCGACATCCTCCTCGTCCTCTCCCCGCTTACGCTTCACACCGGCTTCAGAGTTCATGACGCCCGAACGTGGCGAAGATCGATTTGGCCAGCGCTGGGCCACGAGGGGAGCAAAAAGTGTGCTGCCGGCAAATACATGCAAGACGGCTAGCGGTGTGGGGACGCTCGTGTACCATCGAGAGTACTGGAGAAGCAAGTCGCGATGTGCCTCGGCCAGCCCCTTCACACGAAGAATCCGGAGGAGTTCGTACTGCACACAGATGCGACGGCAGAGTGATTCGCGTAGTGCCAATGTCATCAAATCCATCAGGGATTCCGCAATAGCCTGCTGCGGCTCGGCGGTTCCTGCTCTTGTCTCTGCCAGATTGCCACCCCCATCATCAACCGACGCATGTGTCTTCCGCTGTTGCTCAACCAGTATCCGGTGTGCCTCGGATGGAGAAACAAGTGACAGACGATGTGGCTCCCCGTTCGGTACAATGCCAATAAGAAATATCTCGTCGAGGAGCGCATCGCACGTTGGAAGCACACACCCGCAATCACAACAACAACCAGCAGTATCAGCGGCAGCAAGAGAAATAGAATGAGTTGCTGTTGCCATTGGATTGGCATTGGAGATATCCCGCTGAGTTGTGAGCTGTTCAAGCACCGCATTCAACTCATATGTAATTGTCATCAGTCGTGCAAAACACAGCACCCACTCGCTCCTGTCATTTCTTAAAAGCCGCTCCTGTTGTAGGCGACAAAAACGATGCAGCTGCTCCCGCACCGCTCCTGTCAGTGTCGACGGTGGCGTTCGAAGCCTTACCACCCGTTGCCGTAAGTCATCTACGCCATCACCGTTCCCCTCGTCGGCGTTTTCAACGGCTGTGCTAGACGTGTGAGGGGCATCATCGTCCATGAAAAATGGCGGTAGGTGATAGTAACGTTCCCGTACCACACGCTGTTCCTCCCACAGCCCCTCCGTGTCTGTTGTGTACCCCACACCGCCTGAATGCCACTCGACCAGTGCGCCCGGCGAAGCCGTGGGGGAGGAAATAAAAGTAGGTGGCGCCTCCAACCTGCGTAGGGAATCGTAATGCAACTCTGAGGCGAGAGCAGCGGCGTGTTGCAAGGAGATCGCCCTGGCGGTGGTGGGTGCGTCGTCAACGGGGAGTGGCCACAGAGTACAAGGCACTATTTGTGAAACAAGTCCAAACTGGGCATGTGTTCGCGGTAGTAGTGGAACCAAGTTGCACATCACGGTCTCATCCACGACGTGAACAGGCACCCTCGAGGCTGACGAGGTGGAAGATTTGTGAACCCCCCCAACGCGATCGGTGCTGTTGCTACCTTTGCTGCCGTTAAGCATACGCTCTTCCCGCAGCCATGCCACGGTCCCAGTGGCGGTGCGTGTCAGTGGCGCCAGATGCATGGTGCCGCGGCATTCACCTTTACCGTTCCTGTCAAATGCCTGCTCATGACGTTCTTCTTCCTCCCCCTGCTTCACAACGGAGTCCCTGCCGTCCGCCTCCTCTTTTGGAGAAGACACAGGCTGCAGATGATCTGCCGAGACGCATGTCACACCAGTCAGCCAAAATGCCATGGAGGCAGATTTTGACAACGTGTGTGTATCGTCGTGACATGTCGGTGGGGGAGAAGCGTTGGAGCGGGGGCTTCTCATTCCCCCCGTCATCGCCGCCGCCCCCGTCTCTCGCCTCCTCAGACGGTCCAAAGCAACAGACACGCACACCCGTCAGTCCTGTGACAAAGGAATATGAAAGCAAACGTTTCTGTAGACAAAATTCTCTTCCCCTCTCCTTTCGCTTGCTCCTTGTTGTTGTTGTTGTTGTTCTCCACCTCGCTCTTCAACATTGTTTGTTTGTTGTTGTCGCACAATAAAAAAATAAAAATAAAAGCAAAACAGAATTGAAAACAGAAGCACGTTGTAGCGCATTGAATGCGGTTCTAGAGGCAATACAACCATGAAAGAAAAAAGCTGAGTAAACACATCCCATCCCTCCCCTCTCCTCCCTTCTTCTATTCCCCACTCCCATTGACGTCCATCCACATCATGATGTATACAGATAATACTATAAATACTTGCAGAATACACTGCACAACGAGAAAAGGAATAAATGGGAACTGTGTGGCAAAATGGTCTCTTCATTCTCTCCCTCTCACTGTCAAGTTTTATACGCACACTTTCCTCTTCTAAATAATAAAAATAAAAATAACTAGTACTTTCCCATTCCCACCTCACCCGCAAGTTACCAAATTGTCCCTTTTCAGTGCTTTTCACACGACTCTCCCAGCATCCTTTTGGGATTGTTGTTGTTGTTTGACACTCCGCGCTCTGACGCCCAGTCCTAAACCCCATCTTTTCCCGCCCCACAGTACTTTAGTTTACGTGCGTATGTGCAAACAAATATGTCGTTATTTTTCGCCGTCTTGCCCTTCATGAGAAGAAGATGATGATGGTGGTGAAGTGGAACCATCACCACCATCACTACTCTTACCGCTATTCGAGGAACTTTTCTTGTCAGAATCTCCTTTTTTTGCCTCCACGCCGTACCTCTCTTCATATTTGGCTATAGACTCCTTAAATGACTGATCCCATGCTGACTTACGCCTTTTCTGTTCCTCTTCCTCCTCCTTTGTGTCCTGCTCCTCATACTTTTTGTATGGTGCCTCCTTTGGTGTCTGTTCGTAATGACTTTCTGGATGAACAGGAGGCCTTCCTTCATTATCCTCAAACGTGATGCCGTCGTTAAATGTGACCTGGTACGGGAGTGGCTCCCCTTTGGGACGATTGGATGTCCACAAGTGTCTCCACTCCGCTCGTGGACCGTCTCTCGGCTCCACAAATTCACCCGCCTGCACTAAATCATAGTCAGGATCCTCGCTGGGGTCCGTTTCCTTGCCGTGTTTAATCTGTTCCCTGAACCGCGCCTTGGCACGCTCCACTGCCCCTTTAAAGTCCTGCGGTCGGATCTTCCCAGGGTACGACCATGGTTCTTGTACCACCTCTGTCCGTTTGACCATCTCCCACTCCTTGTCTTCCTCTTCCATAATACGACGTAGCACCTCCTCCTCCTCTTCACTGCAGCGAAGTAAATGACCTTGCTTAAAGCCGTAGCCCTCTGCCCGACCATGATGATCCTGTCCATTAAGGTAAATGTGCGAGAAGGGGTATCGCGGGTATGCCTCCCACATGCCAGTCGGTCCCATAAAGTCATAACGGTACTTGTAGCGGAAGGTGCGATTGCCGTGCTCATCCACCGTTTCGTCCCACTTTAAAATCTGCTGCGGTGGTCGTGGAAACATCTCTGTTGGGTCATCCGGGTTCTTTGGCTGCCAGTCCTTGATGCGGAAAATCTCATCCGCCTCCATATACCAGTGACCCACAATGTCTGAGGAAGTGTTTGCAACATGCCAGCGAAACGGTGAGGTGTGCTTCGTATTGTACAGCAACGGGTCGCAGTACGATCCGGGCACCATGCCGTACGCAGAGAGCGGAGCAAAGCACACCTGCTCTAATCGCTGCTGGTGCAAATAGCCCTCACTCCCGGGACTTGTCCATTCCTCGTCCCATGTATAAAGAACCCACGAGCGGTGACGTATCTGTCGCCAAAGTCGCAGCAATCGGCCGGGTTTAACGTTTTTAAATGTCGTCGGTGGGGCATTGGCGTCGTCTTCCTCGGCAGCCCACACACGCAGCAGCGGTGACACCCGAAACAGCTGCGGGCGGCAGACTCGCATCATTGTTCTTTTTTTTTTTTCTTTGCTCCCCCTCGTCTCCTCACAGATCCTACTTTTTGTGGGTGTTTTCGCTTCGTCCCCAACAACGCATTTCATGACGCCAAGCACAAAAAAAAAAAAAAAAAAAACAGGGAGAAAGAGGGAACGCGGATTGTTCCTCCATGCATAGATGGCATAGACGGTCCACCACGCACGGCACTCCATGAATGTCATTACAATTCAGCCACAATTCCCCCTTCTCCCCCACCACCACCTTCACCAGTCACATCAGCCACAGAAAACTAAAAAATAATAATAATAATGAAACAAACAAAGAAAAAGAAAAAGGGTATCGGGCTTGTCGGCCCCATCAGACTAAGCAGCCGCCGGCAGTCACACAGCCGTAAAGAGAGACGGATGGAAAGAGACGGCCATGCACGGTCCTCCATTTCTTTTTTTCTTTTTTGTTTTTTCCGCCGAAATATTCAGCTCGCAGACCCGCACAGCCGCGCCGCTGTTTGGCTCATTTCTTCAACCACGTATTCGGCCACCACACCAAAGGCGACAGGGAGCGGGACATCAACAATCGCAGTGTTTGTGGGGAGTGCTGTTGTTTTGTCATTGCCGCCATGAACTCCCCTTATAGACGTAGTGGCGGTATTTGTCGGAGGAGGAGGACCAAGTTGCAGGATGGCACGCAAAGCGGAAGAGTTTGCCACACGCTGAACCTTCTCCCGCAGCCACTGACCCATTCTTTCCTCACTAAAGCGATAATAGTGATCGCCACCAACTGATTTCACATCGCAGAGGCGTGAAAGCACGGTGTGCGACCGCATCTCCTCCACCACGGGGGTCAATGCAGGGCACTGCGCCATTGCCACTCTCCAACCCGGCCATTCGGATGATCCACCGCCTCGATTCTTCGTCGCGCCCATAATAATGTCCTCCGGTGAAACAAACATCTCCTTCTTTGCGTGGGTGGCCACTTGACGAAGTGCAAGGAACGTGACATCAAACGGTGTCACGACAAGAAGCTCTTCATTTGGCTCCACAATGTCGTTCACAAACCACGTCTGGCCAAATCCCCCAAGTGGCAACTGTGCCTGTACCTCATACAGTACCACCCTCGCCGAGTCGTCCTTGACGTCGCCCGGCTTCCTCTCTATGGTTGGTGGGCAGAGAAAGAGTGCTGGTCCACCGTGGCGCGGATGCGGTAGACGCACAAAATCGCAGCCTGAAAGAAGTGACACTTCACATGCCGAGGGCGGTGCACCACGTACTGCAGGAGAGGAATGTACCGCCGGCCTGGGTGAGGCGTTATGAGTCAGGTATGCATTATCCACAGTAGTGGAGGGCGACCGTTCTATATCTCCATCCTCTGTGTATTTACACGCTGTATGCAGTGTGGTTCTATTGATATTATTGCACCCGTTGCTATCATTGTTATTATTATTATTATTATTATTGGTGGTGGTGGTGATGACAGTCGTAGCGTCATGGAGCAGAACACGTGGCAACACCATCATGTGCCTCGAAAGCACATTGCTTGGAAGTGCGACGGTATGATCGGATGCATCGTAACGCACATTACCAGCAGTCCACGCCCCAACATCCACGGGGCCACACGACACGCTCTGACTGCCTTCATCATCCAGCTCTAGTCGACGCCGCGGGGAGCCACCATCAGACGAGCAGCAGGAAGAGGGATGACTACCACACCGCAGAGCATCCTGGGTGCTGCCATGTCTGCTCCTGCCGCTGCTATTAGTGTTGGCGGTGGCGGTGGCGTTGTTTTTGTTGGCACATAAGGAACTTGTCAGGCGAGCCCTCTTGGTTGCCCTCATTTCTCAGCGTCAAAGGGCAAATGCACCCAAAGCACCTACGCCTGAAACAAAATCCCCTCAGCAAGCACCACACACACACACAGAGAGAGAGAAATAGAGAAAGAGACCGCCTTCACGTGGAAAGACGGAAATTGTAGCTTCCCTCCCCAGAACCTCTAAAAAAAAAAACGGCCTTGTCGTGTATTGCCTTCCTTTTTTTCTTTTTTTTTTTTTTTTTTGTGTGTTGTTTTGTTTTTTCCTTCTCCCCGCCTCTGTCGCCCTGTCTGTGTGCAGAAATAAACGTATTTTCTTCTCTTTTTAAACAAATGCCCACGATCCATGTGTGTTTGGTGTTCATATTGCGATGTGAATGCACACAAGAGGGGAAATAAATAAATAAATAAATAAATAAATAAATAAATAAAAGGTAGCAAGTTCAAAAATATAAATAAATATAAATATTTGTTGTTGTTGTTTTTGTTGTTGAAAGGGGGGCAATACGCCCATTTAAAAAAGCAGACCACATCAAAAGAAAGAAAAAAAAAAAAAGCCAATAGATAAATAAACGGTGATGCGTATACACACGCTATAAATATGGCCTCTACATTCGTTTCGGGGAAAAAGATGTCTTTTTTTTGTTTGTTTGTTTGGAAATCGCGCCCCTCTTCATATTTCTCTCGCATCCACAGAAACGCCAAAGAAGAGGGCGCATGCACTCAGCATCCAAGAAATTTCCCCACTTTCCTTCCACTCTTTTTTTGTTTTTGTTCTTGTTGTTTTTGTTTCTTCTTTTTTTTTTTATTATTTTTCCTTTTCTTCGTCCCCCCACCACCACCACCCTCTGTGCATGTGCCATCGGTTACTTTTCTTCGTCCCCCCACGGCACGATTCATGTAATGTCCTCCACTCGACTAATTGTTGTCATCGTGACGGCAATGCCCCACTGCCCTTTTCTCGCCGTCTTCAAAGAAAATATGATTTTATGATTTTATTTTTTTTTTTTCGTTTTTCTTTTGTGGCGGGGGAGGGGCGGAAGTGAAGTGAAGTGAAGTGGTGCCCTCCGTTTATTCCTCTCGAATGCATGCAGGCTGCGTGTGTGACGACCCTCCTCCTCCTCCTCCTCCTCCTCCTCCTCGGCTGCATTCACCGGTGTTCACCGACAAGGAATAAAAGCAAAGCACACATAGAAGCCGAGAAAGAGAAAATAAATAAATAAAAGAAAATCTTTCCAAAAAGAGAAGAAAAAAAAACAAAACACACACACCGGCAGCAGCAGCTGCTGCTGCTGCAGCTGCAGTACTCACCTCGCAGTAAGAAATGAACGGCCTATCCATTCATTCCGCGCATTGATAGCAAAGGGCTAACATTAGGCTCCTCCCCCCTCCTCCTCCTCCCTCGTGCAACTCTCATCTTTTGTTGTGTCCGTATTTGACACCTGAAAAGAAATAATAATAAAAACATATATATATATATATACAAATGGAAAGAGAGATGGCACATAAATGGCAGGTAGAGTCCAAGACCAATGCAGTCATTGTGGTGTACTTAAAGGGCCTGTTCACCGCAGAGAATCTCCTTCATAAGCCTCATGTTTGCGCGGAAAGACCACCACGGGTAACTGAATGACGTTGGGGTGATGCCCTCAACCGCAAAGTCACCGGCCCATGCAAGGCTGTACCCGACAATGGGCGCGCTGATGGCATACGCCAGCGACCCACGCTTCACCGCTGACAAAAACAAGAGGAAGGCAGCAAAAACGGTCCCGAGCACATGAAAACGGCGCGTCCAAATATGCATGTGTTTGGAAAGGTAATAAATGTAAAACTCCCTGAAGTGGTAAAATTTAACATCAATCTTCAAACTCAGGCCAACCATCTTTTTTTTTTCTTTTTTTTTCTTTTTTTTCCTTTTTTTTATGGGGCTTTGAGCGTGTGTGTGTGTGTGCCTGCTTTGTAATGGGAGAATATCACAAGTGACGCGTGTGCTGCTGGTCACGAGTGGAAAAAAAGATAGTCGTGTCAACAATGAACAAAAAAAGAAAGGGAAACACAATAGCCTTCATATACACATATATATGTATGCATACAAGGCCTTCACTGCAAATAACATTGACAATGAAAAGAGAAAGAGAGAAAGAGAAGCAGGACAATTGCATGCCTTCTCCCTCTCTCACTCTCACTCTCTTTCTTTCTGGTTCAAAAGGAAGGGGGTGCCCTCAATCATAGCAAGAGATGTACACACCGGAAGTTCCCCCCCACCCCCACTACCACCACTACCACTGTACATAAATTGGCTGAGAAAAGCCGGAAGGGGTTGGAACACGCATGAAATACAAAAAAAAAAAAAAAAAACTGACTAGCTGCCATTCGGTCATTTTGCTTTTCCTGCCCGTTTCTTTCCCTTCTTGCTCTTTGTTCCCGCGCCGTCCCTTTCCTGCAGTTGGTTCACAGCCGCCTGCGCGTCCGCAATAGCGTTGCGATACTCCTTCCGCTGCAGCGACCACCGCTGGCAATCCTCGTTCAGTTCTTTAAGCTGCTGCCGCTTCGCCGCCTCACGCTGTGGGCCGTTGTTCATCATGTCTTCAAGCTGCAACTTGAGTTGGCGGTGTTCCTCCTCTACTTTTTCCCGCACTGCCACCTCCGCCGCAAGCCGTTCCTTCGCAGTCTCCATATCCACCTCCAGCTGCTTCTTTGCCTCCTCCAACTCCGTGTCGAGCCGCTTCTTTTCTTCCAGGCAACGTGCCTCTTGTGTGATGCAGTTTTCAATTGCGTCTTTCATGTCGCGATCCTTCTTTTCGGCGTCTGCCATGTCCAGCTTAAGCTGCGCCTCGAGTGTCTCCAGGGCTCGCCCCAATTCCATCTTCTTCCTCTGCAAGTTCTCCAGCTCCGCGCGGGCCTCATCGAGTTTGTACATTTGGTAGTGAAGATGTATGACGTTTTCCTCAAGCTCGTCCTTCTCCATGTTTCGATGGGCCTCACGGTTACGGGAGGTGATTTTCTCAATTCGCAGTACGGTGTGGTGGCCGATGCTATTCCCCTGCATCCTGCAGCGAAGCAGGTGGTGGTTGCTCTCCAGCAACGAAGCAAATGCCTCCGTGGCATCCTCAGTGAAGTGGTTTTCGGCAATGTTGAGTCGCAGCAGCGTCTTGTTCTCCACGAGAGAAACACCGAGGGCTACCAGGCCACGTTCGCCCATCCACGTGTGGGCCAAATTCAGTGAGAGCAGCGTCCGATTGGTTTCCAGCATGCCTGCAAAGGCGCAGGCGCCCTCATCCCGTATTTTATTCCCCTCCAGAGAAACTTCTTTTAAAAAGATATGCACACAAAGAGCCCGAGCCAACATGACAGCACCTTCCGAGGTAATGGCGTTTTGGTTTAGATGAAGTGACTGTAACGCGCCGTTCTTGTTTAAGGCACGGCATAGAGCCTCAATTGCGTCGTCATCAACACCGCAATTGTCCAAATGGAGACGCAACACCAGACGGTCCATAGAAAGCGCAGAAAAGAGCTTCGGTGCAGGCATGCCACTCTTTGGCTGAATCAATGGGTTATTGCTCAACAAAATGGTGTGCAACCCCGATGTTTGCAGCGCCCCTGCACGATTCCAAACAAGTTCACCGAATGCGTCGCCCACAGCACCCGTGAGCGCATTACCTGAGAGATCGACAAACGATAAACTGGGACTCTTCATCGCAGCGTGAATGATGCGGAGAGCCGCATCTGTGGTAAGCCGCACCTCACGCAGCTTCAGCGTCGTCAGCGTCGTCGACGTGCTGATTAACTCCGAGAGTACATCAATGGGACGTCGAAAGGGACCGCCGATATCACCGTCTGTCTCTGCCACCCCCTTTCCAGTAGCAGCCGCGCCAGTAGCAGAGCCAACAAGTCCTTTGCCGCTGCCGAATCCCAGGGATGACTGCCATTGCTGGCTACGGCGCGCTGTGGGGAGCATCGACGGCCCAGGGCTCCTTGGCGGCGGTGCGACGTTAAACTCCACTGCCCCCGTCCCACCGTGGATGTTGGGAATGGCGTCAGGGATGCCAATTGTGCTGCCGCTGAGGTCAAGGTGGCGCAGAGTGCGATTCCGCAGACACCCCTCTAAGAAACTTGTGGCGCTTGCGGCGTTGATGCGATTGGCGTATGCGTCCTTTATGGAGGAGCCCAGAATAAGGGTCTGCAATTTCTTGTGCGCGGCGACGACGTAGCTCAGTGTCTGTATGCCAGGTGGTCCAATGTCGTTGGCGCCAAGGTCGAGATAGACAAGATTGGGGATGTCGCGAATGAGGTGCGCCACCATCTCGCACCCGCTGTCGCGCAGCGTGTTGCCATGCAGATCCAGGCGTGTCAGTGGGGATCTGTGCAGCAGCGCCGCGAGACTCGCCGCAACGTTTGCGCCCAGGCGTTCTTTACGCAAAATAATTTGACGCTCCCCAAAGCCGCGCTCCACCACCTCACGAAAGAGCTTGCGTGAGTCATTGCTGTTCTTCTCCCCCGTGTCTTTGAGCCAGGCAAGGTACAGGTCACCAAACACCTGTTCCTCCGAGACACCAACGGAGGCAAACATTTATGTCTACAAAATATAATGAGCGTATTTATGTTTGTATTTGTGTAATGCAAGTGTGATGTACGTCTTTTCTCGGGTGTTTCAGGCAGCAGCCGCAGCCGCAGTGGAAATGACAGGCTATACAGGTACCACCACTACATTTGCCAAACACACACACACACACATGGGCACAGACATAGAGGCACGCAGGAAAAAAAAAAAAAAAAAGGGAGGATGCATGGAGAGGGAGTGAAAGCATGTTTTCGTCACGGTGTCTCTCATATTATAAGAGACAAGCCTACAAAGAAACAAGCACAGAAACCAAAAGGAAAAAAAAAAAAACTAAAGATATATAGATATGGATATACGACATAAAACAACAAAAAACAAGACTACAGCCGATATTGAACAATTCTTTCACCCTTCTTCTCTATTCCTCCACGGGAATCACGCTACCCTCTGCAGTCATCCGTCTTCTCCTTTGGTCTTTTCGGACTCCAAGCGTTCCCGATCCTTTGGTGAGATCCCAAGCCGACGCCTTACGTACCGCTCATTTGCCCCTCCCGTCATCACAATCGTCTGTGACCGCAACGGACCAAACTGCATGTGGAAATCAGAACGCTGGGATGATGGCAGGGCGTGCTCCAAATTTCGCACCTGCTCACGCTCGGCAACACTGACATCAATAATGGGTGGCAGCGCAATTTCAGTGTCGGGGAGGTCGAGGTACGACCGCCGATCCAGTCGGAGATGTGGCGGCAAGAAGTCGTTTGCCGGGAAGGTGCCGGGCTCCAGCAGTTGTTTGTATTCACCCCACATGACGAGGTACCTGCAGCGGCTGTACGTCGTGCCAAAGCCGGATCGACGGATAACGAGCCACACCATAGCAATGCTTGTAAAGCCGCTCCACAGAGCAAGCATCACAAACTTGCCACGATGCTTCACGTAAACCTCCATTTCCCCCCTTTTCCCCCCACGGCAAACTACACACAAACACACACACACACTCCACCCGCCCACCCCCGCGTCTCCTCCTCCCCTCCTGCCACACACGCACACACACAGAGAGAGAAAAAGACAGATAAAGACAGAGCGAGAGAAAGAAAAAAAAAACGCCTGGCATCACCAACACCACAAGAAAAATAAATAAATAAAGAAAAAGCAAAAAAAAAAAAAAAGGTGCAACCTTGTTGTCGTTTTTGATGTGAATGCGCAAACAGAAGAGGGAAGCTCGTAAAGTGAAGAAAAGCTGCGCAAAAAAAAAAAAAAACAAGAAGGACACCGACAACGTACTACAGTCTCTACCAATCCTTACGTAAATACACGTGTAGTCTAAAGTGTTCTTCATGACTCATGTCACCACCGTCCATAATTCCCGTAGTGTCACGCCCGTGCGGAGCCTCTCAACGGCAAGGCCAATAGAGGCATCATACTCGGGACGGCGATCCGTCCCCTTTTGTCCCACATCCGCGTAATAAGCGGCGAAGGCATCCGTTTCCACCTGCGTCACGACATTCTCACCGTCCAGTTTGCGATGCTGTGACGAAAGCAGCGAGAATGGCCCATCACCCCCATCATCGTTGATGTGTTTCATGTTGGCGTCCCCCTCCTCTCTGGGCGGGGCATCCTCCAGCGTGACGGCAATGCCAAGAACGGGGCGCGCGGACCATGCCTTCCACAGTGACACGCATTCACGAAACAACCCCCGCAGTCGGTCCACAGGATCCACACGAAAGCCAATCAGACAGCTCCCAGCGTATGACGATGTCTCTAACAAAATCGCCGCGCCATATTTGGTCGGCCGCATACGAAGCGCCGTCAGCTGCAATATCGGAATCGAAATATTAATATGAGGTGCGTGTTGGGCAAACCAGACAATGCGCACATTCGTCGTGAAGAAGACCCCGATGATTCCCTTATCTTCACTTACATTTGTCACGCCCTCCAATCGCGTGAAGAGTTGCTCGCCAGGAAGAAGAATGACGTCCCCATCGCGCACCAACGAACTGCGCATACGCAACTCACGGTACGCACGGCTCGACTCGTATGCTCGCCAGACGGTTGGGACAATAAAAAGTTGGCAATTCTTCCGCATCAACTGCGTGAAGACAAACTCATAACGACTCGAACCAAATCTCGAGGTGATGTAAAGTACCTCCGTGGTGCCACGTAGCCGCAAATTTGCCTCCCTCACCTCGATGCCCTGGATGCCATAGTAGCCGACGCTAAGATTCTTGTGCGGATTCACTTTGCTCTGCCAAATGCATCGCAGATTTGTCACGTAAAGCACTCCCTCCTCACCGTTGTTGCCCTTCGTGTCCTCCACTGGGCTCAATTTGGACAGGAGGACCTCGCCGCGCGCCGTCTGCACCACAAGCCCCTCATCCGGGAGATTATAACGAAACTCGCGGTCAAACCAAAAAGTAAACCGCTTCATGACGGTCGCGTGCAGATCCGCATTGGAAGAAGACATGTGAGCGTTTGTTGTGCCCTTGGCTCGACCCTTCAGTAAATTCCGCCTCTCACGGCGATACTACTCACGCCGTGCGTACCACAGCCGGCCTCGCACGCAAAGCGGAAAAAAAAAAAAAAAAAAAAAGACTTTCCCCCATTCCCCCTTTAGGGAGATCCCGCGGCGTAAAGATCCGAAAAGGGAAACTCGTAAATAGAAAAAAAAAAAAAAAAGCAAAAATTAATAATAAATGCCGTGTCGTAAAGTTTTTTTTGTCTTTTCCTCTTTCCTTAAATAAATCTGATAGCCCGCATTGCAGCAAGACGTGCCTCCAGACACCTCATGGTTTTACAACCGTGTCCCGGCACGACGCGGCTGCTCCGGGCGCCGGTCGATGCCGTCAGCCCCCGCGCCAACAACCACGACACCGCGAGGGAAACATGGCTGGGTGTTGTCTTCTCCCGACAATACGGGGCAATTGGCCCTGGCAACGCGATGGGTTGGCCGGCACCGCCAGGGGGGCGCACTCCGGTTGGGCTCTTTTTGCTATTTTTCCTCACTTTGTTTTTGCTTTTGTTCTTTGCTCGTCCGCGTTTCATTCTCTTCTCTCCCCTGTCAGAAAAGGGTGCTGCAGGAGGATAGCCGCCGTGCCGCGGTCCCCTGGCTCTGGTCGAAAGCACTGCGCCATGAATTCCTTTGCCTCCTCACTGATGTGTGCGGGAATAACTGGATGATCCTCCGGGTTGTTGGCGATGTGGTACAGCAGCGACGGCAGCTGTTGGACCCCTAAGTGTGACCACGGTGGCCGCCCGGTAAAAAGCTCCGACATGGTCGCGCCCACTGCCCACAGGTCGCTACCGCAGGAAAAACGTCCGGCACTGATGGCTTCCGGGGCCAAATATCGTGGCGTGCCTGCGACAACCGTCTCTACAGCAGACGCCCCCTCAGCAACCAGGCGGCTGAGACCAAAATCCGTCACGCGCAGCTTTCCTGCGTGATCAATAAGCAAATTCTGTGGTTTGAGATCGCGGTGAATAATGCCATTTTCATGTAGGCACTGAAGAGCCTCCAAAATCTGACGCACGTACGACTGGACAAGGTCCTCATGCAGACCCGACGCAAATGATCGGTCAATGGCTTTCATGACATCACACAGTGAGCCTCCCGCAGCCCACTCCAAGAACAGTCGGGCGTGTTGCTTTCCAACATGACAGCCAATGACACGAATAATATTTGGGTGACTGACGCGGGAGAGCAACTCAAATTCAGAGCGCAGTTCTTCCGCCCTATCGCCGTCGGTACTCTCTTCCAGCCGCACCTCCTTCACCGCAACCACCTGCCCCGTGTTCAGATTAAAACATTTGTAGACACGACCACATCCACCACGCCCAAGCTGTGAAACCCGCTTGTATCGCTCGCCGGTCGTCGTGACAAACATCAGTGGGGAATTCAAAGACGACGTCCGTGTGTCGAAGTCCTCATCCCCCGCCTCCCCTTGATGATCAAGAGAATCCCACTCCAGACCATTCCTTCTATTGTCATCATCAAAGCAACCATCATTGGCCTCTGGCAAGTGTGCAGTGGGTGACGGGATGCTTTCATCCGTGGTTAGCCTCAAAGGCTCCTTCTGTGACAACGGGGTATCATCCCTTCTTGCGTTGTGCAAAAGACTAGAACAACGACGCGGCCTTCGCCGCAACTGCGGTTTTCCCCCTTCCCCTCGCAGCACGCGCCCACCACCCGACATAATCGAAGACAGACACTGTTGTCGGTATTGCCATAACCGCACTGCAAGAGAGAAAGCACACCCGACAGACAACACCCCTACAACCATCGGCACAACCCCCCAACGGGCGTTGGAGGATGCAGGAGAAACCGCTCGCGACAGAGGGTCGTGCAGCGAGACAGTAGGGGCCGCCGAAGCAGCACCAGAGACTCCACGCGGCACACGACCTCGTGGAATGTTAAGATAAAACACGTCTGACATGCTTAGAGCCCTAAAAGTCTCAGAAGCACGCACACGCACACACTTCCACCAAAAAACAAATAGGCAGAGGCGGCAAAGGAAAAGCGTTAAGGAAAAAAAAAGGAAACGAACAAAAAAAAAACAGGACAAAAGAAAGAAGGCGCACAGATGACAACAAAAAAGCAGCCGACATAAAACCAAGGAAGCAGCAACCAAAACAAGAACAGTCACGTGGCTGCGGCCTCCTCCGCCCACTCCCCCTATTCTTACAGAAGGGAAAGAAAAAAAAAAAAAAAAAAGAAGAGACAACATCCCCTACAAAACACACACCTCAGAGAGGATTCACCGCGCATGCATACACTACCATTAAAACGCACGCATGCAAAAGGCATACGCCACCAGCAGCCGGGATCTCTCGTTGCAAAGTCACGGGGTGGCAGTCCTTGAAAAAAAACCCGCAACCGCCAGCCTCCTCCTCCCACGTGGTGAGGGAGGACGGCAGCAGGGAGAGGCAACGAAATAAAAGGAACGGCACTCGCTGCTTCCCCGGCGTGGTATCGATGGGAAATAAAAGTCAATAATAAAAGGAAGCAGAGCGGCTAAACAAGCCAAACCAACACCCGCTTGGCTCCATTGGGTCGCACATCCCTTCACGCAGCTTACTAGAAAGGAAAAAAAAAGAATAAAGAAAAGAAAGGAAGAAGTTCACACCAAACAGACCAAGTGTTAAATAGAGAGATGACAAGGGAAAAATGTTGCGTCACCTCTTCATACAAAAAAAAAAAAAAAAATCCCAACAACACCAACGCAAAATGCCCCCCTACGCATTCATGCGTGATGCCTCCATTCACCAGTAGGTTCACCACCAACAACGCGGTCAAAAATGCATCAAACAAACAAAAAAAAAAAAGGCACCACTCTTCCACAGAATCTTCTTTTCCACTTTTAAGAGGCGCCAAATGCAGCTTTCTGATGTTTTTTTCTTTCCTTCGTTTTTCGCAAGGGACAAGTCTTCTTTTTTTTTTTTTGCGTTTTTTCTCTCCCTCGTTTCCTCCTGCGTATGTCGGTTGGTTTTCCTGAAATATCACAATGATGCTAAATGCCTTCTGCAATTTAATTTTGGTTTTTGTTTGTTTTTTGTTTGTTTGCTTTTCAGAAATCTGCTTTTCCCCCACACCCCACACACACACACACACACACACACAAATCTCAATATCCCGCCCGTTTCATTGATGCCGATTACGATGTCCACTACTACACTTCTTCACATAACATATTCTACCCTTACCCCATCATTTTTCTCCTTCTTTATCTACTCCTTGTTTAGCTTGTTTTTGACTATTTTTCCACCGGTGGCAAGGGAAACCCAGGCGGCGACAGCGGCGGTGATGGTGGTGGTGGTGGTGGTGGTATTGGTTGCAGCAGCGGTAGATGTGTCACGCAACCCATTGGAAAGAGACGGCAAAGAGCAGCAGCTATCGTCACATGATGTATATATCCACAGACACAAACAAACGTAAATGCACATGTATGCATGTATATATATATATATATACAGAATATAAATTCATCGCCAAAACTCATTCTTTCCTACTTGCCCTGTGGCGTCATTTTCCTTTCATGCTACACCCGCCGCAGCCACCAATACTACTACTACCACCACCACAATTATCACCGATGGCGTGGCTTTGATTACTTATCAGGACTCGGTGGCGTCTCCATCACCGTCAGGGCCCCTTCTTTGCCTCCTAAATTTTGTTTGCCAGTTTCCGCCATTCCTTCATGTTCTTCACAAGAGCCTGATGGTCTGCGTTCTTCGTGAGTTCGGCTGCGCGGGCGTAGATGTCAAGAATGCGATCATCGCCATTGTACTCGTGCACCACACGTGACCACTCCTCCAGCTGGTTGAGATCCGTGCATGCCTTGATCGCCTCGGGTGTGATGTGTCGCGACGGGTCCACGTCGTCCAGAAGCTCATTTACCACCTCCTTCAGGTCCTTCTCGTAGCCAGAGGACTTGGCCTCGTCAGCATACTCCCGCTCAACATTTTGCACAATGTTGAGCATCTCGCGCCGCGCCGACGGGTCATTCGCGGCCACGGTCTGGAAGTCGTCAAAGTACACAATGTGATACTTCTCTGGCAGCCAGGCCGTAAGGCGGGCGCCAATCTCCGCGCGGTCGGCGGGGTGCAGCTCGGTGTTGACATTCCAACGCGTCTTTTCACGTAGGGAGTTGGGGGAACCACCAGGGAGGATATCGAGACGGTTGTCCTCCGCCAGCTCGTTGGCACGGATGCACTTAACATACTTCATCTCCGCCTGCACGTGCTCCTCGTCAAAGATGCGGGCAATCATTGTGTTCTCCAGCCGCTCATCAGAACTGCTCTTCTTCTCCTTCAGCATCTGCTGGGCACGAGCAACGGTGTTCGATTGCTTCTCCAGTCGGAATGTCACCTCGTTGCCAAATTCCTTGCGGTTCAGGTGACCATTCAAACGGTCCGCGTCAAACAAAAGGCACTCGTAACTGCTCGCAAAGTCCACATGTGGCAAGACGGACTTGGCAAACGCCGTTTCCTCCTCGGTGCGTTCCCGCTGCCGCATCCAACTCGGAGGCTCTCCAGTAAACTTGTAGTTGTGGCTGTCGAGTTCCAACGCATGGCCGTACCAGCGGTCGTGATCGTGACGTCGTTGCTGCATAAGTGGCTGTTTAGTCATGGCAGCAAAAGCCGTCGTAAGAGAGCGACGAGATAACATTTCCTTATTTGCTTAGATGCCTCTGAATGTCTGGCGTATATTTTTATTTATATAAATATATATATTTATATTTATATTTAACTATGCGTAGAAACAAAAGCCGGATTCGAACCCTTACAATCAGCGCACAGATAAAAATAAAATAAAACAGAAAAAGAGAAAGAGAAAGAGAGAAAGAAATTGGTTCCCACCATCGTCACCAATCCACAAAACGACATCCATTTGGAGGTGGGGACTGCCTTTTCCCCCATCATGAAATGTAGGACGTTGCCGCTGTCCTTCATTGGACCTCTCCTGCATGAAAAAGCCCGCAAAAAAAAAAAGAGTTGTTTTCTTCTTTTTGGTCAGAACCCATGCCGCCCGGTCACACCCGGATATTGATGATGATGATGTCCCGCCTGTGCCGGCCCAGAAGTCATTGCTTCCGGAGGCAAAAATCCCTTTTTTGTTTGCTTAAAGGCCTCCTTGCGCAGCTTCACTCGGCACGCCGTGTTGCATTGTCCAATCCGAACACGTTTGCGGCATCGTGCTTCATTGGACGGGGGTGCGGCATGCTCTTTCTTTGCTCTCTGAAATGCCTGGGGGAATGGGCGGTCCCGTTTCTGGGCATTTCGACAGCACCCTGAATGTCCTGGATCCGCATTCCAGCATCGTTTTTCACTGTCCCGAGGATCCATTTGACCGAGTGTACGCAGTCTCCCTGCCAACTGGCAAGATTCCATGAGCAACTCCTCCCCGCGAATGGCGCACGCCCAGGACGCACCGTTCCCCTCACAGCTTTCTGCATGCCGGGATCTGGCGCAGCCGGCGTCGGAAAGGTGACCCAAGACGCATCCAGGAGCTGTGGCCAGGCGTTGCATCCATCATGCATTCCAATACATCGTCAAATGGTGCGACTGCAATCCTCCGTACGAATCCCTGCCACCCACGGATTCCCCGCTTGGGCCCCTGTGAACCGAGTGACAGCTCTAATCCCCCTGGCACGTCATGAATTTGTATGATCTTTCGATTGTCTCTGCCGTATGGGACACACCCCAACTTCCCGTGGCAGAAGCGGTGGAGACTTGTGACGGGCCTTGCGGAGTGCTGATGGTCGCCAGCTTGTTGTCCCATTGATTGTCATGAGCAAGTCCCGCAACGGCGCCAATCGGATGGCGCACCGCACGGAACTGCACGTGGGCTTCTGAGCTGCACGCCAATATTTTTTAGCCTCTAAGTGAGCCCGGGCACACTCATATGAGCCAGTGCAGCGCCAACTGCCTTCCTTCAAGTGCCGCCCACTTGCTCCAAACAGCGGTGTGCCTCTTCCTCTTAAAAAGAGCTTCGAATGGACTCAGGGTTCCTCGGCGCTGTGATGGCAGCGACAGAGTGTCGCAACGAGGTGCAATTCATGCCGTTGTATTGGCCCCGCCTTGCAACGAATTCGCCGCCCATATGGTGGCTCAATGGCGGGTTATTCGGTGGGCAAAAAAAAAAAAAGTGGAAAAAATGCCGTTAAACCCCTCCGCCCATCTCCGCTAGAAGAAACGTAGCAACAAAAAAAAAACACACACAGAAAAAAAAAAAAGGCCAAACAAACAGCGCAGACGAAATGATAGAAACGACAGACAACAGGCACATACACACACACACACACAGAGAGAGAGAGGGAAACGGAGATCCATGCCCTCTCCCCCCCTCCTCATTTCCCCCCCCCCCCCTATCAAGCACACAAACATACAAAAATACAACACAAAAAAAAAAAAGAAAGAGAGACACTGTCTAAACAAACAGCGCCACCAAAAAAAAAAGGAAAAATATGACAAAGTTTGAGTTCTATCTTTTATTGTACCTGTATACCACAACGTGTAAATAAGAGTGAAAGGTGGTGAGAGTAAAAAAAAAAAAAAAAAAGAAAATAAAAGAAAGGTATGCGCCAAAATGGCTATATATATGTAAACACATACACAAGTGTATATATATATATATATATATATATATATATACAGACATCTTATAGAAAAATAACGATACGCTTCTTTGCGTATATGTACATGCATACATACAAATCCCCTTTATATATATATATATACAATTACAGTCATGAAACCATAAAAGAGACAAAAAAAAAAAAAAAAAAGGAGGTTTGTTGTAAATTCTCACTTACGCTCTCTTTTCTCTTATTTTCACGTAATGGTTAAATATTGCTACTTTTTTGTTGTTGTTTCCCCCCACCCACCCACTTTTTTTTTTTTTTTTTTGCTGCACCCTTCTTCTTCTTCCTCCTTTTCATCTCTTCGCTTTCTTTTTTTTTTTTTTTTTTTTGTTTTTATTATTTTTTTAGATTCCTTTGCAGTTGTTTCATTTCTTTTGCTCTTTTATTACCCCGTTTCTTTTTGTTTTTGTTTTTTTTTTTTCTTTTCAATAAATCGGTTCGACCGCCGCTTGTTTTTCTTCCGACTCCTCCAGTGTTACTACGATTATGACTACACGATAGCCATTCATAAATCCTCCTCTCCTTCTTTTTTTTTGTTTGTTTTTTTTTTGTTTATTTTTTTTTTTTTTTTTTGGGTGGGTGCTTCCTCTTCTCTCCCACACACAAATTTTATGTGCGGCTCCCAAGTAGTTTGCATCTCGGTGCCTCCTCCTCCTCCTCCTTTCTCTGCATACATATGTATATATATATATATGTATATACACGTCTGTATCATTTGCACATCGAGGAGAAGCTTGAGTTCTTGAGGTAGTTTCCAAATAAATTGACGTCTGCGAGAACAACGGCGGGAGAACGTGGCATTGCCTGCACATCAAACACTGCCGTCATGAACAAAAAGTGTTCAAACATAACACCAGATGGCGGTGCCCGCTCTGCCAAAAATTCGTAGATCTTCTCCTTTTGTTGCTGCGTCAACTGCTTCCGCATCCCGCGGCCGAGCTGTGCAAGGCCCAACATGAACTTCTCCTTCGGCAGTGCTCGGTCCTTGGAGGTCACCTTAAAAAGATACGGTAGCTGACTGCGGCCTTGAATGACAACGCTCTGCAGCTGCTCCATGGCCCCGAGGTCCCACCGCAGGGTGTCGGACAACGGGTACGCCGCCATCTCAGAGAGCATGTTCACAAACTTTGGTCCATCAATGTGGCCGGTGCCGCCCTCATCTAAGTAAACAAATAGTTGAAAGAGTTGTGCCTCACTCATTGTATAGTCAATAGCACGAATGACAGAGCAGAACTCATTGTAGCTGACTTGTTCCTTGTTAAACGCCTTAGCAACATATTGGGAACGATGATTTGCCCGTTGCTGCTGCGTCAAGTGATGACATGCACTTTGGATCCAATCATTAAGCCAAAGTGGTTGAAAAAAGTTGTGAAATTTCACCAGGAAGTGTGAGTACCAGACGCGTGTATTCTCGTCGTCGGCAACGAGGTACCCTCGCAGGAAGAACCACGGAAGGTCTAAATTCAGTACATTTCGCATCGCCTCCACCCACTCAATCTTCCACACAGATCCCTTGCGTGTGCGGTCAAGTTTTGCAAAGTAGGCCAGAAGTCGATGTCGTCGTTGGTAAATGCGCTCACGCAGGACACGAAGTACGTCATCCCTCGCCCGCCGTCGCAGGAGAAGTTTGGACTGCGAGAGTGTAGCGAAGGATGAGACCCTCCCTAATGTCGGCGTAAATGTCTCGCCAAGGTCCACAAGCGTCTGCACCTCCACATCATCTTCCGCCACCTGATATGTATGAAAGGAGGGTTCTGGATTATCCCCAACAAATACAGCAAAACTGCCAAAATTTGTCTCGGGCCCATCGTAGTTACTTGCAGAAAAAACAGTCAACAGTTTTCCATCATGGTGCTCTTCATACCCCCGTAGGCACTCCTCGTGTGAACGTATAACGAGTTCAAGTCCATTGTTTTGCAAAAACTCCTGCGTGACATCTGCGCCAAATACAACGCCCGCCCCCCGCGGACTTTCACGCCACCCCTGCAAATCCTCCACCGGATCGGACCATAACAAATCCTGAAAGATTTCATCCTCCTCTGGTTGTGAGTAATCTGGCATCGGAATCTGCCGAAAACGCTGAATTCGAGAGATGTCTTCAATATTTACCCCCTTCCGGCGTGGCAGCCCTCCATGCACGACAAACACTTTTTTGCCAATGATGGTGGCCAGTGGGAGGGCGCAAAAACAACGTTGCACAAGACGAAAAACGTTCCGATCATATTTAGTGCTTACTTCTACATCAAACCCATATTCATCATTCATATAGTCACACTCGTGATTACCACGGTTCAGTGTGACGTATTTTGGACATGCCAGCATCAGCGAAAAGAGAATCAACAACACTTCTACACCATTGGCACCACGGTCCACAAAGTCTCCATTAAAAATGTAATATGTACCCTCATTCGGCATCCCACACTCCTTAAGTATATGCAGGAGGTCCGCCAGCTGCCCATGAAGATCTCCAACAACAACAACCTTTGAGCCTTGATTGATCCTTCCATTTGATACACGTGCCCCAACAGGGGGACTAAGGCGCACAACATTCGGCATCGTGTTCAGGTGACTCATGGCATCCGTGAAGACACGCCAGGCAGCGGGGTATGGAAGCAATACATGATCCGTGAGGTCGTTGATAAGTCGTTGAACGACTTCAATTGTAATAGGCTCCGCCATGCGGGTTGGGAAGTAGTGGGAAGAGATGGCAGGTGCCACAACTGGCGTTTGAAGAATGGAACGTGAACGCCGTGGTTCTAACACGTGAGAATCGCTCACCTTATCGAGTGCCTTAAATATGGCAAAACCCTCCTTCTTGAGGTTCATCTCCTTGGAGGTCAGACGGAAAATGGCCTCTTCAAGATACGACTTTGCCTTCGTCCAACGCCATAGAAGTTGCATGCGGGCCACATTGTAGCTAACAAGTGCGACTGGGGCAGCCCCCCCACTTTTGTTTTGGGCTCCCCCCTTGACATACCGTGCCAACAACACCTCCGTTGCAAAGGGACCATGCATAATAGGGACACGTGTGATAAAATTGTCCGGGCACCACTTCATGATGCGTGTGATGCACAGTTCTCCACAAGATGTGCACTTTTGAGGTTGGCATCCGTCCCGGTGTGCCTGAAGCTCGGTGGCAAGCAGATCGGCACCACACTTGTAGCACAGTGCCCGCTGCTTCTTGGCACACTCCTCAAGGTGATTATGCAGCATCCCCTGCTTCACAATCTGCCGGCACCACGAGTTCCAGCAAGTCACCTCACGCTCATCGCACATGACAGTATGCGCATTGTACTCTTTCTCAGGGATACGCTTACCACAGAAATGACATGTAGGCCAGTGCACCTGATCATTTGCGCTCCCGCCACCATGGAGGCCATTCGCCGCCAGTACACCGGTAAGACCGACGCGGCCTCCTTTACCGAGCTCCGAAGCATCGCCACCTCCTCTTTCCGAGGACTCCTTTGTATTCGTACAACCCATAAAAATAGACCCAAACTCACTCGCAAAAAGACAAACACTAAAATGCAAATCGCTCAAAAACAATGCAATTGACTACTTTTTCCGTTATTACTTCCCTTTTGTTGTTGTTGTTGTTGATGATGATGATTTTGGTGTTGATGATTTTGGTGTTGATGTGTTATACCTTTTTTTCTTTGTGTTTATATGCGTGTGTCTTTATTTCTTTTCCTTTGGGTTCTATATATATATTAATATATTAATATTAATATGTACACGTGCAATACTATACACTTGGCCTGGGGTGGGGTATATATTTATATATTTCTCTTCTTGTGTCTGTCAGTCCCCTGAAAGCCTTTTTATTTCCTCCCTCTCTTCGTGCTTGTTGTTTTTATGTTCCTTTCTTTTTTCTTTCCCCCGCCCCTCCCCCTGTCTCTCTCTCTCTTTTGTCGGCGCACTCCTTTGATGCGCCCTACCCCACCACCACCGCCACCACCCACGAGCCCCACCCTCACCCTGCACTCCGGGCAGGCCCCCTTTTTTATGCCTCCTCCTTCTCCCTTGTCGTCCCTGCCGCCGTCTCCGTACTTCTTCCTGCGTGTGCGCGTGCGTCTGACGGCGTGTACAAAACAGCAGCAGCAGCAGCAGCAACACGTTGGTGCTACACACACACACACACACACACAAAGAAAAAGAAAAAGAAAAAATAAATAAATAAATAACAGAAAAGAAGGGAAGAAAAAAAAAAAAAAAAGAAAAGCCTAAAGAAAAAAAAAGAAAAAAAATATATATATATAAGTATATATCGTCGTTACATACACAAGACAAAGAAGAAGAAAAAAGAAAAAAAAAGAAAGAGCAGAGAATGAAGAAGAGTCACGCCGCAAAGTATAAAAGAAAAGGCAGTCGTGCATACATACACACACACACACACACACACATGTATTCTACTATCCAAATGCACATATAACAAAAAGCTTTTTCGGGTCAAATCATTTCACATATACGTAAAAATGTAAAAGAACAGTCACTTGGCTGCGGCCTCCTCCGCCCACTCCCCCTATTCTTACAGAAGGGGGAAGGAAAAAGAAAAAAGAAAAAGAAGAGACAACATCCCCTACAAAACACACACCTCAGAGAGGATTCACCGCGCATGCATACACTACCATTAAAACGCACGCATGCAAAAGGCACACGCCACCAGCAGCCGGGATCTCTCGTTGCAAAGTCACGGTGCGGCAGTCTTTGAAAAAAAACCCGCAACCGCCAGCCTCCCCCTCCCACGTGGTGAGGGAGGACGGCAGCAGGGAGAGGCAACAAAATAAAAGAAACGGCACTCGCTGCCTCCCCGGCGTGGTATCGATGGGAAATAAAAGTCAATAATAAAAGGAAGCAGGGCGGCTAAACAAGCCAAACCAACACCCGCTTGGCTCCATTGGGTCGCACATCCCTTCGCACAAACTTACAGCTGAAAAAAAAAGAGGAATAAAACTAAATAATTACAAGATGTCTGCATATATATATATATGCACCCTGTATTTGGCGGAGTAAGATCAGCATAAAGGAGGAGAAAGGGAAGAACAAACCGGCAACAAATGACTGCATGTTGACACCAAAAGTAAAGAAGACAAAAGAAAGAAAAAAAGCCCACCTTCTTCCCCCTCCACACACATCTCCGGCACTTCCTACAGAGACACACGCTCCATTTTTGTTGATCTCTCCTCTCGCTTCATCGCCCTCATGCACGTAAGTATAGATGTGACGCAGGAGAGTGCCATTTTTCTTTATTCCTTTTCATTGTTTTTTGTTTGTTTGTTTGTTTGTTTTGTTCTTTTCATCTCGTCAGTCGTACTAATTTCTTTACCTCCTTTCCCCTCCCCTCCCCTCCCCCGCTGAATGGAGTCACTTATTCAACTTTGTATATACATACATATACAAGTGCGTACGTGTAGTTCATGCATTGTTTCCCGACATCTGCCTTAATGTATTTGCTGCTCGCTGAAGCAGTGGTCGTGATGTCACTGCACGGAGAAGATGAGGTGGACAACTGCTGGAAGGAGAAGGCGAAAAAAAAAAAAAAAAAAAAAAAGAAAGGTACAAAGTGAAGGCAGGGGAGATGTGATGGTGTCTCTCACCTGCTCAATCCACTAGGATGGTTACCTTGCGGTTCTTCCGTCCTGACGATTGTTCGCGTTCACTGCCTTTTTTCTCCCCACTTGCTCCGTCACCATTCTTATCGGTGGTGTTCGTGTCGTCTTTCCGCATGGCGCTGCTTGCGGGCTGGGCCTTCCCGTCAAACCCGCGATTCCCCGACGAATACAACGACGATGTCTTCAAAATGCCACTCGTTGGCGGTGGCGGTGGCATCGTGACGGACACCGAGCCATCCAACGAAAGCGGAGGGCTGTGCGCGCGGCCGCTGGAGCTGAGGCTCATCATGTGCTGCCCTGCCGTGGTGTAGTGGAAAGTAGGCATGGCCGACCCGGGGCTGCCCTCACGCGACGAGGACCTCGACCACACATTCGACGCCGGAGACGAGGTGAAACCGGCACCCCCCCGCATAGTGCGGCTCCCACCACCACCACCGCCGCCGCCGCCGCTCCCCCAAATTGTGGATGCGGGTTTCCTCAACGGCGACGTGGACGGTGCTGGCGGTGGCGGCGATGACAGCGGCAGACGGCAGTCCTCCAATGCGCTCAGTCGCTTTGCCGCCTGCATCCGCTCCGACATGATCGACATCCCTTCGCCCAGGAAGAAAGCGGGCGGTCTCTCGGAGTTCACACTAGGGCTGAGGGAATCCGTCACGGACGGTGACGGCATGGGAGTATCGGGGCCAAACAGTGCAGCGCGGCCCGGCCCCAGCACTTCCGTCACGTTGCCGCCGCACGGTGTCCAGTGGGAGCCAACCGTATGCCCTGTTGGACGCTGCTCCCTCCGCTTATCCATCCGGCCAAGGAGAAACTCCGGCTCCGCAAGACCGCCGCGTGCGCCAGCACCGTCAACGCCTTCATCAACACTGTCCCCACTACCGTTTCTATGGCTCTTGTGCGGAACTGCGACAGCCTTTCCACTCATGGGACGCTGCAGTACGTCGTCGTCGCTGTCGCTGACATCATCCAGGCGTGAGCGGCGCTTCCCATAACGGTGTGGCACGGAATTATGAGAATTTACCGTCGCATCGCCACCGTCACCCTCATCCTCCTCATGGATGTGATGACGACTTCCCTCACCTTCCCTTTGTTTCTTTTCCTTCTTTTCCTGCTTCTTTTTTCGCTTCTCCCTTTTTTGCTGCTTTCGCTCACGTCGCTCGCGAAGCAGCTGCTCATGACGCTCGCGTGCCTCCGCAATGCGGCGCTCCTTTTCTACCGCCGCCGCCCGCCACTCCTCCATCTCTGCATCACTGGGGTCTATTATAGTCGTTGTCTCCGCTCCTTCTCCTGTTTCTCCCTTTTTCTCCTCTTCGTGTTGCCGCCGTTGCTTCACCTCCCGCTTCTGTAGACGGTAGGAGCATAACTCTTCCATGTACGTTGGTGCCACCTTCTTTTTTTTCTTCTTGCTCTTCTTCTCTTCGTTATTTGCCTCCCCTTCACCTGAGGCGATGATCACGGCCGTATTGTGTGTGCCGCCCTCCCCACTCAATCGTGAGGGAAACGCATGCGAGGGGATCTCCAGCAGCTGCCGCATCAATTGTCGTGAGGCAATCGTCCGTTCATCGCGTGGGCACTCACAATCAAATTTCTGCAGTGTTTTTGTGTAACCGCGGCGGTGCATAAACTCTCGCAGAAGTGCCTGCGCCAATGCATCCACCTGCTCACGCACAGTGAGGGATGTAATGGCGTCCATGCTCACTGCGCCAGACTTGGGCCGCCTGCTGTTGTCCGCCTGCCCTCCAAGCTGCTCATCACCGCGAGCACTTCTGTTGCTGTTGTTGTCGTCGCTCATAACACGCAAATACGCACACGGATACTCCTCACACCCACAATTACACACAAACACAAAATAAAATAAAAACCAGCAGCAATCTCCTGCTTATTCAACTCTCTTCCAGCCCACAAAAACAAAAAAAAAAAAAAAGAAAGAAGAAGAAAAAAAGAAGAAAAAAAAACCACACACACGCAGAAATACAGTAAGCCACGGCCAAAAAAAAGCAAAAAAAAAAAAAGAAAAGAAAAGTGAAGGAGAAAGGGGGCGTATAACGGAAATGAATGCATGCATGCACGCACACACATATATATATATATATAGCCAGACAAACACTGACGGTAATGATAACGAGAAGAGAAACGCAAAGAAGAAAAAAAAAAAAAAAACGCATACACACACACAGACAAATAAAAAGGAAAAAAAAAAACAGGGAAAATAATCCTCACAAGAAATGCCACATTAAAAAAGAAAAAAAAAAAAAAGAGAACATCATCGCCCAACTCCGCTTCTTTTCCCTTTCTGCATGCATGCGCACCTCTCGCCCTGTTTTTTTTTTTTTGTTTTCTTTTTTTTATGTTTGTGTGTTTTTGTGTACTTCTTTTTTTTTCTTTTTTTTTCTTTTTTTCTTCTCTCTTCTCTTTTCCCTTCTTTTCTCGAAGAAGGTGAGAGTTGTAACTCATTCATTCACACATGTACACGCATTGCATTTCCTTTCTTCCTTCCTTCTACTTGCAGCTCCTTCTTTCTTTCTTTCTTTCTTTTTTTTTTTTTTTTTTTTTTTTTTTTTCATTATTGCAATACAACATGCGAGTTTTGTATCTTTTTTGTTGGTTTCTTTCTTTTTTTTTTTTTCTTTTTGTTTTTTTTTTTAAATTTCCACCTCTCTCTCTCTCTCTCTCTCTTTCCCTCTATATATAAATATATAAATATTTTTTTCTCTTTTTTTATTCTACCTCTAAAACAAAAGTAAAATAAATGTATACATGCCTGTTATATATATGTGTGTGCATGCCTGTATGTATACATACATATATATATATACAGCGGATTGCCGCCACTGCTGTCATCATCATCATATATATTTTAAAACAGAAGCAGCAATATATGTACACACACACGGATAGACAGACACACATGTAAGTAGGCATTTATGTATCTAAAATAAAATGTTCCTTCTCTACACCTGCACACACACACACACACACATAGACGCTATATATATATATATATTTCTCTCACGTGCCGCTCATTCCCTATACACAGACCGCCATACGGTGGTGTTTAAGTAATTGAACCCACGGCGCCAGTTCAGTGCGTCAGGGTTGCGCTCAAACTGTTGCCACTTTTTCCGGCATGACTCGCGTGAGTATTTCTGCGGGCACTTGAGCGAGAACCGCACCCATTCCTCAAAGACGTGGTCCTCGTTGCTGAAGTTGTGCAGTGCGAGGCCTACACGGACCCAAATGTCATAACTCTCCGCCGAGCGTGGCGGCATACGCCGCAGCTTTTCAATCACCATCTTGAAACGACGCCATTTGGCCCCCTCCGTGAGGTACAGCGAGACGGCGTTGCCATACGCATCAAATTCCACCGCCTGCGCCTCTTTTGGGCCCAACACATTTCTCGCACGGAGTAATTTAAATTGCCGTGTGGAGTCCTTCACAGTGTCTGCCTTCTGACTCCCTGTGATGGGCGCAAAGCGGGTGCCAAAGGTGCGCTCCAGTACCTCCGCCTCACTAAGCGTATTCAGGTACGCCGACATTTCATTGAGTCGACGCTGAAGTGCCGTGTCTTGGGCTTTGAGCATCGGGACAAGTCGCTTGCCTTTTTGACGCACGACACCGCCGTTGGGTGAGGGGGCAATTTTGCTGCTGAATGCACAACGCAGCATGCCGTTCGCGCGGTAGCATTGCTCGTCCACGACGGTGCGTCCTAACGTCGTGTTCACTTCATCCGCAAGGAGCCTCACAACACGGTAATCCTGAAAGGCAATAATTTTCTTTTGCTTCTGTCCCTTCTTGACCTTTGCCGTCTTTTTATTATTATTATTATTTCTCTTCTTCCCCCTGGGTGATCCCTTCGTCCCCGCCAAATCCGCCTCCTCATCCTCACTCTCGTGCTCGTTCGCGTCATCATCTCCCTCCTCATCGTCTGCTGTCGTCTTCTCGTCCATTGCACCCATGGAACGGGCGTGTACATGATACGACACCTTGTCGGGACTCGGAACCTCGTTCGCCAGGACCAGAAAGGACGGTTGATGAAACCCAATGCCCTCCAGCCGCACCTCCAAATAGTTCAGCATCTCCAGTAGTAATTTCTCCCCCGATGCGGGTGTCTCATTCGGCAAGTCAACATCGGCAAAAAAGTCGCAGGGGACATTCTCACGGCCACAAATACTGTGGAAGTGCCGCATGTGTGGAGGGAAGGCCATAAGTCGCTCTGCCACAACGAGAGCGCAGTCGTTATGTGGAGTCTCTTCACTCCGCGGTGTTGTGGAACTCTTCGCGTTGCTTGCTAAGAACTGCGGGCCGGATTCAAAGCGGATAAATGAAAATGCCCCGGACTTCGCTTCCTGCCTCCCCATTAATATGTCCTCCGGTCGTGCAACGGCCAACAACTGATCGAGGCGGTAACTGCGCGTGATATGCTCATGAAGTCCAAGAAACGGATTCGTTAGCCCCGCAATGTTGGTGTGGTAATTGTTATTGTTACTGTTATTGTTATTATTACTATTATGAGAATTAATGGTGTTGTTCAGTGTGTCCTTCCCAATGTCGACATCGTACTCGTTGTTGTGTTTGTTGTGATTGTGGTGGTGGTTCGTGTAGCCGTTTGGAAAGGCGGCGGGAGTGTCGACGGGATCGTGTTCATTCTCCATGCCCGCCTCCTCATCATCGTCTCCTTCTCCTCCTTCTTCTTCTTCCTCTTCTTCTTCCCGTGCGCCCCTCACACGCCTTTCCCTCCTTGCCGCGTCAAGGGGGTGACTCGCGTTGGTGACCCGCAAGACCTCCTCTGGCGGCGCCGAGAGCGCCGAGAGCGACGATGGCGGTGACAAACCGAGGCGCCGCGGCTGGCGTTTTCGGTGCTGCGAGGGCGGCAACTGCAGCCCGCCTCGCAACGGCAGCGGCATCATCCCACCGTCATTGACATCGGCCTCAAAGCTGGCAAAGTCAATATTTGGCCGCGTCCTACCCAATTCGCTCATCGTGTCGTGACGCATGTCCGCGCTGTCGTCCGTGTCCTCGTCCCCTCCGACCTCTCGAGCCTCCCCGGATGTCGCGGAGGCCAATGCCTTTTTCCCCACACGACGTCCGTTACTAAAGGCACGTAAAGAGGCAAACAAAGAAGAAGAAGAAGACGACGACGACGACGAGGCAATCCTAGCGCATTTCAATAGGCGTGAAAGCTGCAACATCTAAAGAAAAGAAACAATGCACCCGTCAATGTTGTCTTGGCCTCACCTAAATATACCCGTCTCTCTCTCTCTGTCCCTCACTGTATATATGTATTTGTGAGAGATGCTGCCAAACTGTGGGCGTATATGCGGTTGTATGCCTGATATTCGTACAGACAGAATAATCCCACACGCTCACGGATCGAGAAACCACAACAATAAATAAATAAATAAATAATGAGACAACGACGAAAAAGGGAACGAGCAACCAACCAACCCAACAAAACAAATCAAAACAAATTCGAAAAAAAAAAAGTGAGTAGACGAGTCTAATAACGCCTAGTCAAATGATGATACGCTTGTATGTATATATATATACCGGGATGGCTTTTCCTTCTAAAGTTCTACTTCTTCTACCGCCTGTACTATCCAAAAACAACAACAAACAAAATACGTGATGTGTGTTGCGTGCGGAAAATATATATATATATATGTAAATGTATATATTTATCTCGAAGTGTGTCGCGGGGGGGGGAGAAGAAGGAGTAGGAGGAGTGAGAAAAGTGAAAGTGGGGGAGGGGAGAAAAATACTCTATGTGTAATGTTGACTCTACCGCAACAGGACTGCTCTACCGACCGCCTACACAACTCCACGTGGTGAATCACAAGAGATGATGTGAACACTCACTCACTCAAGCACACGCAACGCTCCTTCCCGCTAAAATAAGGCAAAAACAAAAAGAAAAAAAAGAAAAAAACAACTTCGTCATCACACATACACATACAAATGTAAAAGCTCGCACATACATACTCGAAGAATCACTCTCTACAGCTCCCTTATGATAAATTTCTCAGGCATTTTTAATTCACTTAAATGCATATATACAAATTCTCAACAAAACTCATAAAAATATATAATGACCACAATAATAATGCGTTCACATCTCCCTAATGCGCTCTTTTCAAAAAAAGATAATAAAAAAAAAAAAAAAGACAACTAAACCACCTAAAAAAAAAGTTCAATACGCTCTCAAAAAGCAAGAACTTGCCTAAATCATCATTCGCTCAATCACACACTCCCCATCCCCACACCCACATTCATCACTGACATTCGCTTCAATGCCGGATCTCTGCAGTGTGGGCAGGCGGCATGCGTGCTGCATCAGGAAATACAGACAAACAAAGACAAACCCCATCTCCCCTTTCCTTCTTCCCTTCCCCATATATACATATGCATGCATGCACATATATATGTATGTACTTACACAGGCGCTCTCCACGTTACCCGTACTTTGCCCAAATGCCCTCCTGGAATGTGCGCATCGCCTTCACCATCCGTTCCATCTGCTGCTCCGGCGGCAGGATCGTCGTGCGGAAGTGCAGCGTGTTGGGCTGCTGACCAAACCCAGAGCCGGCCACAACAACAACCCCGCTGCTCTCCAGAAGCTCCAACGCCCATCGCGTGTCGGGCCCAAGCTTTCGCCCCTCCTTCGCGTTCAGCTCCTCATTGTGCTGAAAGTACTTCTCCGGCAGCTCAATCGTCGGAAACGCGTACATCGCCCCTTCCACCGGCTGGCAAGAAAAACCGCGAATCGTGCTCAGCTCCTTCGCAAGCAGCAGGGCGCGCTTCTTTAGACTCGCAAAGATCCCATTGTACTCCGCCCAGTATGACTCATAGCTCGCGTCACCGGGCCGCGGTGGCGAGCACATCAGTGCCGTCATCAACTGCCCATTCACGCTGCTGCACGGAACCATGGAGCACATCTTTAACACCTGCTCCCGAACCGGCGCGGGGAAGTTTGTGAGGCAGAAGTACCCGCCGCGGCGCCCGCACTCACCAATGATGCCCTTCGACGTCGAGTGCAGCGAGGCCAGCACCGTGTCCGTGTTGTACGGCGCCGGCAGCCCAAGCACCACTTCCCGGAAGCTCAAGAAACGCTTTCCCGCCGCGTACACGTTCTCCTGGTACACCTCGTCCGCCATCAGCACAATGCCGCGGTCGCAGCAGAATTTCGCCACGGCCTCCATCACGTCGCGATCCAGCACGCCGCCAGTCGGGTTCCCAGGGTTGATCACAACGAGCACGCGCGGGGTCGCATTATTCTTCGCCACGCACTCGTCGTACACCGACGCCAGCTCCTCCACGTTCAGTGCCCAGTTATCCTTCTCACACAGGTAGTACATCGCGGGCGTGCCGCCAAGAAGCGTAAGCTGCGCCGTGTACAGCGGGTACTGCGGAATGGGAACCATCACCGCATCACTCGCGTCACCCACGAGAACCTGCAGCAAAAGACGCACGCCCGAGCTCGCGCCGTCCGTCAGAAAAATAGAGGATGCGTCCACCAGCGGCTTTATCTCGTGGTCGCGTTCATTGATTTGCCGCGCCACGATGTCACGGACAAAGGCGTAGCCCGCAGAGTCCGTGTAGGCGCCCGTGCGATCGCCGATGTGGCGAAGATACTCCCTCGCACGCGCCACCGCATCCGCCGGGAACTGCGACGTAACCTTCTCGTTCTCCAGCAGGAACGGCGCGTCAATCAGCGACATCACCTGCCGGAAGAACGTCAGCGGCTTCTGTTCCAGTGCCTGCGGGTTCCCAATGTTGCAGTACACAATGCTGGAGAAGGGGTACTTGGCCTTCCCCTCCGGTGTCGCCAGGGCCGCCCTGATCTCGTCCGCACGCATGGGGAGCATCCCACGCACCGCATACTCTGCCGCCACCACACGGGGGTTGATGCGAATTTCCTTTCGTGACCCAGACATGATAAAACACAAATGCCTGCTCGCCTCAATTTGTACCTGCCGTTTCTCTCTTCTCCAATTCCCTCTCCTTCTCGCTCCAGTGGATAGATGTATCAAGCAAATGTTTTGCCTTGTTAGGTGTTGTCTGAGCGTCGTTTTATTTCCGTTTCGGTGTGGTGGTGAATGTGGGGACCCGCACCATCGTTGAGAACAGTAATGAAAACAAAAGAGAACGGGAAGAAGAAAAAGAGGGAGTGGGGGAGACTGTGGCAAGACACAAGCCACAACTCACACACAAGTGCGCAGAGGGAGAAGGCAGCATTGAAACAAACACAAAAAAGCGGCCTTCAAAGACATTCATATATTTTTCTTTGTGTGTGTGTTTTTCTTGAGAGATGATCAAAGCCCCGTGTGGGTGCTGCCGGTATCGTCCCATCATCGTCACCACCCCGTTGGCCGCCGCGTAAATCGGCGATGATTGTGGCACGCCCAGCAATACAAACAGAGACACAAGCAACGACGGCGGCGTGGCAGAAAAAAGAAGAAGAAATAAAAATAACAACAGGCACTTCGTGCCTCCTCCACATGAATGGGGGGCAGGGCGGCAAGACACCCGTCACGCCACCACACAACGCAGCCAGTGGGGCCGCAACGTCCGCCAGCAGCCAAAAATAAAAATAAAAAATAAGCCGCTCAGGAAAGCGGCAATGAACAAAAATGATACGGAGATCTCCCACAACCCAAAAAAAAAAAAAAAATCGGACGGGCGGCAAACCTCCCCGTGATCCCCGACGAGCCCTCATCCATGCCGGCCACTCAGACCGCGTCGAACAGGCGCGGGCAGCCAAAGAAGATCGATGTCCTCCCCGATGGAGTAAATAAAACACCGCTGCGCCACCCCCCCCCCCCGGCCTTACCCGCCAGCGCGCCAACGTGCACACATGCATACGCACAGTCAGGTGATGCACAAAAAATCCCCTCCGTTGAGCGGCTCGCACTCGTACCACAGAGGGCGCAACAGCCACAAAAACCCCTGGCAACAGCAGGTGCACATGTGCGCCTTCCCATCAAAACCGCATAAGAAGAAAGCTTCAAACCAAATCCAAAGGTAAGCCATGACGCCACCTCCGCAACATAATATTGGGGAATTCAGGGCGTGGCCATCTCTCAGGTGCATTTCCCATACATAAGTCGACCCGTATTTAGAAGAACAGAGCACATCGTAAGCGACAAGACGCCCACATCCATTGCACCAAGGCGACTAGACGCGCACATGAGAAAAATACACACGTGTGGAAGCATGTCTGCAACGCTCTGTGTAGGTGGTCTACATTAATATTGTTTTTGCTATCGCGATTGCTGTCGCTGATAATGATGTTCACTCGCCGCCCCTCACACACACGCATAAACCTTCGCTACACTTGGAAACTCGATTTGCCTCCGCACGTGGTTACGCCCACGCCGCAATGGCAACAATAAAAGTGGAAAGACATGTGGCGAGCAGCCCAAGAGGGCGGTTTTTGTGTGTGCATGTGTTTCTGCGTCCATCAGTGAATACAAAAATCACATGCAAGGACCACCAAATTACACGCCCGTAATCACGGGCCGCCAGACAACTCCCACACACAACATCGCGCACATCTCGTTTTTTTTTTTTTTCCAAATTATTCATGTCTACGTTTGAAGCACGCTTAAATATGCGCGTGTACGCACCGAATTATTTTTTCGTTTGATTTTTTTACTTTCTTTGGCCCTCCAAAGCCATCACCTCATCCCCGCACTGAATCTCCGTCTTTTCACCCGTCGTTTTGTTTACAACCTTTTTTTCTTTTTTACACCACCACTCGTTTTTTGCTAGTGTTAAATTTATGTGCGCGTGAACACCCCCGTTTTCTCGCTTGCCTCGTAAAGCAGCCAACAGCAATAAAATTCACTCCGTCGTTTTATTTATCATACACAGAACCAAAATCAACAAAAGTATTCTCAGCCAAAGCCCCCAACCCCATCCCCACACCCACATTCATCACTGACATTCGCTTCAATGCCGGATCTCTGCAGTGTGGGCAGGCGGCATGCGTGCTGCATCAGGAAATACAGACAAACAAAGACAAACCCCATCTCCCCTTTCCTTCTTCCCTTCCCCATATATACATATGCATGCATGCACATATATATGTATGTACTTACACAGGCGCTCTCCACGTTACCCGTACTTTGCCCAAATGCCCTCCTGGAATGTGCGCATCGCCTTCACCATCCGTTCCATCTGCTGCTCCGGCGGCAGGATCGTCGTGCGGAAGTGCAGCGTGTTGGGCTGCTGACCAAACCCAGAGCCGGCCACAACAACAACCCCGCTGCTCTCCAGAAGCTCCAACGCCCATCGCGTGTCGGGCCCAAGCTTTCGCCCCTCCTTCGCGTTCAGCTCCTCATTGTGCTGAAAGTACTTCTCCGGCAGCTCAATCGTCGGAAACGCGTACATCGCCCCTTCCACCGGCTGGCAAGAAAAACCGCGAATCGTGCTCAGCTCCTTCGCAAGCAGCAGGGCGCGCTTCTTTAGACTCGCAAAGATCCCATTGTACTCCGCCCAGTATGACTCATAGCTCGCGTCACCGGGCCGCGGTGGCGAGCACATCAGTGCCGTCATCAACTGCCCATTCACGCTGCTGCACGGAACCATGGAGCACATCTTTAACACCTGCTCCCGAACCGGCGCGGGGAAGTTTGTGAGGCAGAAGTACCCGCCGCGGCGCCCGCACTCACCAATGATGCCCTTCGACGTCGAGTGCAGCGAGGCCAGCACCGTGTCCGTGTTGTACGGCGCCGGCAGCCCAAGCACCACTTCCCGGAAGCTCAAGAAACGCTTTCCCGCCGCGTACACGTTCTCCTGGTACACCTCGTCCGCCATCAGCACAATGCCGCGGTCGCAGCAGAATTTCGCCACAGCCTCCATCACGTCGCGATCCAGCACGCCGCCAGTCGGGTTCCCAGGGTTGATCACAACGAGCACGCGCGGAGTCGCATTATTCTTCGCCACGCACTCGTCGTACACCGACGCCAGCTCCTCCACGTTCAGTGCCCAGTTATCCTTCTCACACAGGTAGTACATCGCGGGCGTGCCGCCAAGAAGCGTAAGCTGCGCCGTGTACAGCGGGTACTGCGGAATGGGAACCATCACCGCATCACTCGCGTCACCCACGAGAACCTGCAGCAAAAGACGCACGCCCGAGCTCGCGCCGTCCGTCAGAAAAATAGAGGATGCGTCCACCAGCGGCTTTATCTCGTGGTCGCGTTCATTGATTTGCCGCGCCACGATGTCACGGACAAAGGCGTAGCCCGCAGAGTCCGTGTAGGCGCCCGTGCGATCGCCGATGTGGCGAAGATACTCCCTCGCACGCGCCACCGCATCCGCCGGGTACTGCGACGTAACCTTCTCGTTTTCCAGCAGGAACGGCGCGTCAATCAGCGACATCACCTGCCGGAAGAACGTCAGCGGCTTCTGTTCCAGTGCCTGCGGGTTCCCAATGTTGCAGTACACAATGCTGGGGAAGGGATACTTGGCCTTCCCCTCCGGTGTCGCCAGGGCCGCCCTGATCTCGTCCGCACGCATTGGGAGCATCCCACGCACCGCATACTCTGCCGCCACCACACGGGGGTTGATGCGAATGGCCCTGAATCCAAAAAGAGTTTTGCGCAGCATAAAACAAACGCGGTATGTGTAGGAGGTAGAACTTTAATAACAAACTAGTGCTTTAGCTGTGTTCAGAAGCCCAGTAAAGGGCAAAAAGAAAAAAAAAAAAAAAAGAGCAAAGAAAGAAAAATAATGTTTTGTTGTTGTTATTTAGGAGCTTTCGGCTCTACGGAGCAAGGCAGCAAACTGTATCATTGATAAATGGAGGCAGAAGAGAATAACTGGAGGGCTTTTGTACAGGAGAGTTCACCGGGCAGAAAACAATGGTCACGGTATGTAAATTCACTGCATGCGGACCCCTCACTTTTAATCCGCTTCTCTTCAAAAAATTGACTTGGATCGTCAACTTCAGCATAATTGACCTGGCTCTATGATAAAAAGAAAAAATTTAAAAAAAGGGGGAAAAGGTGTGTGAATCGACAAGATTATCAATTGAACAAGCTCATTTTGTTGTTTGGACGTCATTGAATAATAGGCATTGTCGCAAACCTCTCTTGCAGCAGCAGCAGTCGAGACGGCGGTGCGGGTGCCGCGGTGGACGCCCGCGCCGATGACGAGTGCGATGAGATGTGACCGGTGGCCAAAGAAGATGAAGAGGCCGCAGCGGATGAAGCGTGGCTAATGTCGTGCACCTTTACACCGTCGCCGTTCCTTCCCTCCTTTCGCGTCGGTGGGGCGTCAGTATTGTTCGTGGCGTCCGCGCCGTTTTCGACAGAATAAAGAAGCTGCTGCTGGCGTTGTTCAAGATCTCGCAGGGTTTGACGCATCCGCTGCTCATTTTCCTCCCGCTCAAGAGTGTACCTTTGTATCAGAGCCACTGTTGCTGCGGCTTTGTCAGCGTCGGCGCTACGCCGCTCAACGGGCACCGCCAGAGGAGAACCAACCGAAAAGTGTGAACCGACGTCTCTGTGATCATAATCTCTCGAGGGCAAATTCCGCTGTGGCTGCGAGACGGTCGAGGAATCAAGGTATGAGTTGTTTGAAGTAGATGTAAAGAGTGGAGCTGCGGCCTGCAAAATTGAAGAATTTGTCGAGGTTGCCATAGAAGGCGTGGGAGCAGATATCCTCGTCGGTGCCAAAGCCATTGAGGCACGTATTTTGGTCGTGGGGACGTCCCGAGGCGGCGTGGAACGAGTTATGGGCGATGCACAAGGCATACCGTTTCGAAGCGAGTCCTCGCCAAGATGGGAGTCACCGTTTTTCGCATGTCGCCGGGCACGAGAAGAAGTTGTACGGCGCCGCGGTGTTCGCAAATGGCGATCACCAGTTGCCACAGCGGCAGGATGAAGAGCAGCTGAATCGGAAGCATGCGTTAAAGAAGAAGATGGTTCCGTGCGCGTCACGCACTCCTGCAATACTTCCTGCACGATGGAACGGAGCATATCGGCATCCTTGTCCTCGGCCCCACGGGGCGGGTTTTCGGCGCCTTTCATGGAAGGGCTGCCCGTCAAAGGCGTGTGCTCTATGCTTTCCGCCTGCTGCCACCTTTTGTTCGGTGTGACCCACGCGGAGCGACGTGTCGTATCGCGTCGTGGGGCTGAGGATGTAGACAACGGCAACAAGGGCGGGGGCGGTAATGCCTCCGGAAGCATGCGTTCACGTTCCCTCGCGTCGCGTGCTGCCTCCAGCCGAGCTTGCCACTCCATGCGATCCATCGCAGACCTCCACCGCTCCGCCTCACGCTCCCTCTCCGCGACGGAAGCACTCAGTCGTGTGATCTCCCCCTCCAATCGCACATGCGTTGCATCCCGCTTGGCCGCCGCCTTCTGCAGTGAAGCGATCGTCTCCTGAAGTACCACCTCCTGGTGCTGCGATGCCTCCAATTCCCGTCGGGTACGTACAAGGAGTGCCTCCACTCGCTGGTGTGACTCATGTGCTTTGTCGAAGCGCATATGCTCGCGTATCAGCTCCCCACGCAGAGACTCAATAGTTGCCTCAAGCTGCTGTTTCTCCTGCATCCACACTTCACGTGTACGCTTGGCCTCCTTTTGCGATTCCCGCTGGCAGAGGGCAATCTCACTTTCTAGTCGTTCTCGCTCACGTACATGTTGGTCACAAACTCGTTCCATTTCTTGCAGCTGCGCCTTGTAACTCGTCTCGGTTTGCTCCTGTCGCTGGCGGTACGTCTGCCGCTCCAGGGCCATGTACTCCCCAAGCTGTGCCTTTTCCTTCTGCTCCACACTGAGCGCATCCTGAGCTCGCTGCGTCATCGCTTCCTGTCGTCTCAGAGAACGCTGCAAGTCTTCTATCCGCATCATAAGAGCCTCACTTGCATCCTGCTGACGCCTTACTTCGGCAGCCATGTCGGCAAGACGACCCTCAAGCTGCGAGGTGCTTCGTTGCAGCTCCACTTCACGTAATCGCAGCAGTTCTTCCCTTTCCCGCATCCCGGTTCGAACCTTCTCCTCCGCTTCCCTTCGTGTCTCCTCCAAACGGCACTTCCACGCATCCTCCATTCCCGTAAGCTGCCGCTGCTGCTCCTCCAGCCGTGAGCGTAGAGCTCGTGTCTGTTGCCACTGCACCTCCCGCTCACTGGCAAGAGCGTCGCGTTCGTCAACCGCCGCGGCCAGCTCTTGACGCAGCTGCCGCGTGCGGCGCTCCCATGCATCGTCTTCTTCTTTAATCTTCGACTCCTGCATGGCACTCTTGGCCTTGACGGCGATTAGTTCCTGCTGTTGCGTTTCGTGACGTGTCGTGAGTGCCGCGAGCTCCAACTTTGCCTGCGCTGCATTACGCTGCTCCATCTCGTAGTCTCTGCTCATCTTTTCAAACAGGGTGCGGAACTGCTGCAGCGCACTGTCCTTCCGCGCAACCTCGTCGAGAACCTCGCAAAGGCGATGACATGACGCACACGCGGCCAAAGATGCCGTCGTCGCTGCGGCTTCAGCCACCGGCGGTGTTGCCATTTAGCCTGTGCGCAGGACCCCCCCTCCCACCCGCCCCAAAGAGAACAGGAAGAGGGCAAACAAACACCGACGAGGGCTGCGCCCCCTGCGCTTCGTGCCGCTCTCAGCCTGCCGCTGTGCGGGAGAAGTGGGGAGGAATGAAATCGACGCAGGCGCGCGGTCGCAGAGGCTGGTGACGTTCACGGCGGTCTTCTTTTGTCTCCAGCACCCCGTCACACTCCGCATGACACAACGCAGAAAATGGGAAGAAAGAAAAAGAAAAAAAGAAACGGCACAAATTCCCAACGCAGCAGCCGCGACAACAAGAAAGAGAACAGGCAATCGAACAAAGACATAATAATAATAATAATAATAATAATAATAATAATAATAATAATAATAATAATAATAATATGCCCGTCAATATTACAATTTCCCAACAAAAACAGCAACACATAAAAAGAAGGAAAACAAACCAGGAAAAGAAAACAAAATTTGGTGGCTGCTCAAGGATCAGCCTTCCCTCCCTCTCTTCTACTTTTGGTTTTCCCTCTTCTTCTCTTCCACTCCAATTGTTTTTTTCATGAGCTGACTGTCTGTGTGTCTGTGCGTGTGTATGTCTTTTTTTTTTTTTTTTCGTGCCTTCTTCATGCATGTATGTGAGTTCCATCGTGTCTCTCTGACACAAACAAACACGGAGAAACAATCAGGTCACTTTCTATGCGTTTCCTCCCCCCCTCATTCTCATGGCTGTCTCCACCTGTTCCTGCTGACTTGTCAAGTACTGACGAATCTTATTTAGCTCACGGTATAGGCAGGCAAGCTGTAATGTGTGTTGGCTCCTTCCCTCATCCATCGTCACTCCAGCAACACCACCACTCCCACTGACGCCGGTATCACCGTACTCGGTGGACTTGCGAGCCCCGTTATCCGCCGCCGAGGCCACTGGAATGCCCAGCACGGACGCGAAATTCTCCAGATGCCTCTCAGAACTTGTTAAGCACAAGGCTGCCTGCTCCCAGCGTGTCTCAATGTTTCGCCGCGCCGCAGCGTCCGCCGTGAGCCACTGATCGGCCAAGCTGCTTCTGTAGACGTTGCCACCAGTGCTGGCATTGGTTGCCCCCATCGCCGATGCCATTGTCTGCGGTAGCTGCCCATCCCCTCCTCCTGCGGTTGTTGAATGGTGCGGTTGTGGCTCGTAACTGGGTGATCGAGAAGGAATGTCCAGCAGTTGTCTTGCCTGTTGCAGGTAGTACGGCACCACATGCGGAATGGCAAACAGCACATCCTCCCGTCTTCTTGCCTCTGAGAGGGCGAGTTTCTCGAGGTAGATAACAGCACGATCCAGTCGTCGTATACCCAAATAATGCAACCCAAGGCGATGTACAAGAGGCGGGTAATAATCCGAAGAAGAACTTTCATGCGCCTCAGCACGCTCAAGACACAACACCGCCTCTCCAGTTCGTCCCTCGCGATCCAGACAGTTTGCCACTGCAGACCACATGCGAGGATCCGTGGGCCGTAGCGTTGTGGTATGCCAATAGTAATAGAGTGCGTGGTGGTAAAATTGCAGCAGCTCGTAGATTTGTCCAAGGTTGTACCAACCACGATAGTCACGCGGATCCAAATCAACAGCGGCGCGATAAGCCTCCACTGCAGCTGCACTGTTTTTCGTCTCAAGGTACGCATGGCCAAGTAGTGTCCATGCGGCAAGAAATGTAGGATCCGCTGCCACGGCCCGACGGAAATGCAAAACACCCCGATCGTGTGCGCCCATCAGGACATAATAGTTGCCAACAACATAGTTACTCTCGGCGCGAAAAGGATCAATTTGATAAACCTGCTGCGCAAGACTACTTAAACCAATGCGATCGCCACGGAGAAATAGTACAATAGAGTAGTCGTCCATGGATTCAAGACGATATGGATTCATCTCATGTAATCGTTTGTACAGACTCTGTGCCTTTTCAAGGTCCTTCTTGACGTTGTAGTAGTAGCCAGCAAGATTGGCAAGTAGAAAAAGATTGTTAGGGAACCGCTCTAGCAGGGCCTCCCAGGAGTTCACCAATCGTGGAGAAACGCCACTCTCACCACGTCGTTGATGGTGCTGCGGACGATAATGTTGTTCTTGAGTCTCCAGTGTTGACGTCGTCTGACGGGGTAAACTACCGCAATGAGGGCTTGTGCTTCGCTGGGCCATGGCAGCGGCGGCGGCTGTTGACAAGGAAGGTGGAACAAGCGACATGGGGGCAACATTCAGTGCGGCCTTCGCGGATGCTAAAAATATCTCCGACATAAACCGCGGTTCCAGTGAAGCAATAATTGCTTCAATCTCTTCAATCTGATTTTCGCGGCTGACGAGGGTGCAAAGATCCTCCCAGGCACACCAGAGCATCGGGTGGTTGCAGAGGGCTGCCAAAAAGTAAGTGGCACTCTCTTGCTTCATACCGAGCTCACGCAGCACGACTCCATGCAGCCAACATAAGAAGGGATCACCATACGCCGGGGCACCAACCGCCATTGATGCGGAAGACAGAGGTGTGGGCTTCATGGATGACTTGATTGACGCTGGTGATGACGATAATGAACGCCTCTGCTGTTCAAGCAGAGTGAGCAACCGTCCGCGCAGTGTACGCAAGTGTGGATTACTGCTCTTCCGTGGGTTGCTACTGGTACTTTTAATGCATTCCCCAGCCATGTACAGTGAATAAAGACACAAAAACTGCAGCTGAGGCGGTGGCAACATAGGTGAGGAAGAAGCTGCAGGCAGTGGTGTGGATCGTCCACTCCCTCGCGGCATTGGTGGGTGATCCCTCGCGCATTTCTCACTTTCCACTGGTGTTGATTCTGCAGAAAATTCCTTTAGAGCAATATTGAGTTCATGATGGCAACGTATATACTCGCTCTTCTGCATAAGGCTCAGCGCAACAACAAGGTAACGGTGCGCACGCCCTGTCAGCGGCGGATCCTGCAACGCCGCGACAGCTGGCGATGTCGCTGAAATGCTGTCACGCAGAACGCTGTCTGTAGCGTTAAGTGCAAGTTGCCCAAGCCATGACGCAGTGTCAAAGAGGCCACGCTGCATACATTGGTTCATAGCACGGTCAAGCACCTCCGCTGTTGTGAGAGAACCACGACCCGTGGCATTGCCACCGCCGCTGCTAACAGACTCCTGTCGATGCATCGTTTCAAATTCTCCTCTAAATGGTTGTTGTTGTTGTCGTTGTTTTTATTGCCCTGTCGTGGATTTATTTGTATGAGAGTGTGTGCCGTCCTTTTCGCCTCCTGTTTGCCGGAGCTCGCCACACAGAGACGCACCCACCCTTCGTATGAATCTATCCCGTGTATTACTCTATGAATTTTTGTGTCTGTGTCTGTGTGTAGATGTGTGTAATACTGACAGACAGGCAGGTGCGATGTTTCACGCACAGCAACCAGCAGACAAAAGCGTGCGGCTCGAACAACAAACTTGGACGTGCTCGAGGGAAGCGAAGATGATCACTTTGTTGCAGTTTTTTTTTTGTTGTTGTTGTTGTTAAGAAGGCCAAAAGAAAAAGAATTAAAAAAAAAAGAGGGGAAAAACAATCAAACAAATTCCACGTTTTCATCACGTGAAAAAGAGGGGAAAAGGCAAAAACTGAAGCGTGCGGGAGGAATATAAGAATTACAGGCTTCTCCCACCCCAATACGCATTCAATTGTGTGTGTGTTGCTCAACTCACATGACGTACAAAAAAAAAAAAAAAAAAAAAAAAGGGAGGGGGTGGGAGTTTCATGCCAGTTATCATTGCACAACTCTCGTCAATCACGCACGCAGACAAATGCATTTATTCTTTTTTTCTTTTCTTTTTTTTTTTTTTTCATTTCGCCATTTTTGCGGTCTTATTTCGTGTATGAAAGAAGAAAAGGCGCCTTCCTTCTTTTCTTCCTTCATCCCCCTCTGTTTCTTTTGTTTTGTTTTGTTTTGTTTTTTTCCTTTCTTTCTTTCTTTATTTTCTTATTTTCACCGGTGCGTTGACACGACCACCGACCACCCGCGCCTTCATTTCCCCTCCGCCACCGCACAGTCTTTCGGTCTCAGGCCCGAGCCACAGATACCTTGCGGCACTCCATCCAAAAGTGTTCTCTGATCACCTGTATTTGGAGGGGAAGTTCTTGTCTTTGATGCTGCAGGTTTGTTTTGATCATGGCCGTTATGCTGCCAGCCTGTTTCTTCCCTCCTGTCGGTGTTATCTCCTCCCTCGAGATGGTTTTGCTTCTCCTCCTCCTCGTCGTCTTCGTCGTATGGTGCAATGCCGAGCCACTTCAGTATAGTCGGGGCTGCGTCCATGTGCGTCACTGGCCGCGTCAGTGGCCGCAGGCGTCTATAGCCACGTCTGTTTGATGTGTACGTGGCGAGAAAGAAGGGCACAACTTCATCTTCGTCACCGAAGTTTCCAAACGACTTCCCAACGCCACCGTGATTGCTCGTGCCAACGACAAGCCAGTTTTCCTTCCTGGAGCGTGCACGGTCCTGGACAAAGGCGAGCACTTGTCCCACGAGACTGTCGATAAGGAAGGCCTGCGCGGCGTACTCAAGTGATCCCTGATCGTATGTGAAGTCCCGCAAATTCTCCTCCCCCGCGCGCAGTGCAAGCGCGTTGAAGTTGAATATGAGAAGGCTGTTATCGTAGCTGTTGCCAGCCTCCTGTCCCTCGCTAGAAAGGCCTCCAAAGAGATCGATAAGGCCCCTTGTAAATTCCCGCTCTTCCCTACCATCACGGCCGCTCGAGAGGGTGAGCGCACGCTTGAATAAATTGCAAGATTTAAGGTGTAGGCAAGACATCATGGGCGGAATATCAAAATGATCTACAACATCCGTTAAATTAGCAGCCGGTTGCGTCCTGTTGAATTCATTGGCATCCACGGAATTTACTGAAACGGGTGGAGTGACACACTCTGCATCCAGTACCCCGGGTACATTACACTGCCCCGTCCTGGCGTCCAACCCGTTAAGCAGGCGGGGGCCTCCAAGCGCAGCAGCCCGTTTCTTCGCAAGAGTCACACGGAGAGCAACGCTTGGGAACTGCACGGATGTCGATGAAAGGGCAGCATATGACATCCATGTGTCATTCCGCACTCCATGTCGTCGTGGGGAAACACCTGTGAGAATCGTCGCAATACCGGCACCAGCGGAAATAAACGCTTCACCCGTCACATCATCCTCAACAAGCACAGCACGGGCACATCGTACGTCCTCAAGAGAGGCACACGCCGCGTATACGCCATGTTGTTCCAGCAACATCTGTCGAATGTGTGGCAATCGCTGGCCCTCGAGCAGCTCGTTGAAGGTCGTTCCTTTAAACCCCTCAATAATAAACAGAACAGCGCGCGGCACCCCCTCCACATCCAGTGCTCTGCCATTGGTGAAAAAAACACCGAAGATGGTGCCCAAGAGAAGCGCCATCACAATAAACGGCAGAAACACGACGGTGCAACAACGACCAGCCCGAACCACGTCGGCATCCGCATCCTGCTGGTCCACGATCTCCTGCACAGTTGCTGCCTTCATGGGTGCGCTATCATTCGTTCCAGTAAAATCGAGCGATAACTTGGAGACCTTAAACGGTTGCGAGTGGCCATTGTTCAACGGTGCATCCTTGTTCCCTTGATGCTGCTGCTGCTGCTGCGGATCAAATCGCATTGAGAGTGTCCCACGTCTTTGCTGCTGACTTCACTCTATGAATATATCCTTCAAGGGGGGAGGGTTCGCTGGGAAAAACGGGGATGGAGAGGAACAGAAACAAATACAAAAATAAATAAATTTAAGAAAAGATGCTCCTGCAGTGCAGCCTTAAATATACATTTGTATATATATGTATATATATATTCTGCTCACGTCCATGGCTGCTCCTCCACTCAATATGAGCCTTCAACATATTTTGCGTGGTGTGCCACGGGTGTTTATAACCCTTGCGGTGTCGCAGTAAAAAAGGAAAATGCATAAAAATAAAGGATTAACAATAATAAAAATAATAACAGTGATGGCAATAATAATAATAATAATAAAATGGGTCTCCAGACGATGTGTATATAATTAATTTATTTATTTTCCCCTTTCCCGTCTGTCCGTCTGTATGAGAGGAGAACTCCCTCCCACATATACGCATGGCCACACACGCAGACAGAAAGATATATATACATATACAAAAAGCTGACATCACCCGCCCGTTATTTCATCACCGCAATGTAAGCAAATATTGCCTTGAAAATACACACTGCAGAGAGGCGCTCACTTCATGGCAACTCCATTTCCTCTTCTCTTCTCTTCTCTTCTCTTCTCTTCTCTTCTCTTCTCTTCTCTTCTCCATTTTCTTTTGGGTGGTTGTTGCTTTCCTCCTCCCCCTCCTCCTCAAGAATAAAAACAAAAAAAAAAGACGTATTGGCTTCACACACACACACACAAAAAAAAAAAGGGGGGGGGAACGGGGGGAACTAAAAAACACACAAAATGACAACTTTCACGAAAAACTTCCGTACAAAAAAAAAAATAAAAATAAAAACAAAAATAAAAAGGGATTAAAAGGGGAAGGGGGAGAAAAAAGAAGTTCACACATACGCACATCAACGACAATAACAACAATAAATAAATAAATAAACAACCATCCGTGGTGTAAAAATAAAAATAAAATAAAAATTCAAAAAAGGTTAAAAAGGGGGGAAAGAAAAGAATTACAGTCATCGCACGCACAATTTGTTGACCACATCCATTTGTTTGTTTGTTTGTTTTTACTGTTTTTTTGTGTGTGTTTGTGTGTTTTCCAGCCCCCTTCTCCTCTTTCTCCTCTTTCTTCGTGTGTAATGTGTCTGCTGTGGGGGGGAAGAAGGGGAAAAAAGGACACGCCGCTCACTCCTCGTCTCTCCCTCCCGGTCGTTCATCATTTTGTTCCTCCTGCCACGACAACCGTGTGGAGAGACAAAAGAGTCACTTCTTTTCACTCCCACAAGGAAAGGTATTCCTTGTGTAAATACATACATACATATATTACATATATTACACATGTACGTTGTAGAAATAATCATAAGTACACATCACTTTACCCAGAAAAAAAAAAAAAAAAAAAAAAAAAAAAAGGAGGTCTGCATCCACCAATTAAGAAAAGTGTAAAGTACCGCAGGTAAATGCGCAGCCTTTTTTTTTTTGTGTGTGTGTGTGTTTTTGTTTTTGTTTCGTTTTTCTGATTTTTTTTCTTTTTTTTTCTTTTGAAGTTTAAAATCGCGGAAATAAAAAAGCAACACGCATCACTTTTTTTTTTTTTTTTCTTGTGTGTGTGTGTGTGGATCACTGTACATATATATGCCCTACAATCACCGAGATCAGCTGAAAGGAATTTAAAAAAGAAAGAAAAGGACTCAAACGCCATTTAAAATAAGGCTTGGGTAAACAGCAATGCATATCCCACATGATTTATACCTTCTTTGCAAGCTCCTCCGCGTGCTGCATCTCCAGTAAAGCCTTCTGCAGCTCACCCAGTTGCACCGTCAGGGCACGCACCCCGAAGAGGAATGCCTCCAGACTGTGAATATCTTGATTAGACAGTACAAACTCCTTTCGCTTGTTGTTAAAAAACGTGAGATTTTGAAGCAATTGCGATGTATGTTGCGAAGGATCTGTTGAGCTGCAATCACCAGAGTATTGCGTTGGTGCGATGGCCGAAAAGGAGCCATTCTCCTGAGCCTTTGAAAGCTTCGGCTGGAGTACGGCGGAGGCCTCTGGATATTCCACGGGCACCTTCAGTTTCTCGTCCCCGTCATCACCCTTCTTTTTGCCCTTGGGCGACCCAAAGCTCTTCTCCCGTGACTCCACTTGACTGCCACCATCTGTTGTCCCTTCTTCCGCATTGCTGTTATCCTGCCTACTCCGCCTTTTACCTGCCGCACCCTTCTGCTTGGGAGTGGAGACGTCTGCATCCAAGTCAATCATGGAGCCTTCCAGCTCACCGTACCGGTGCTTCTTGCCCTTCTTCTTGAGGCGTTCATTCTCCTCTTCGGAGGAATTCGACACCAATTCACGTTCCCCAGGGCGTATTGTTCTGCTAAATAAACCGAGAAAAGATCGATTATTAACAAAACTGTCTCTTAGAGTGTTTTTCCTGTCCCTCTTGATGGTATCCTCGGCGTTTTCATCTACCCCGATCTTTTGTCGGTTAGCCAGTGACCGGTTCGCAAGGTATCGTTTCAGCTCCTCCTCCTCCTCCTTTGTGAGGTTGTACATGAGATACCCGCCCTTCTTCTTCTTTTGATTCTCTTGCGGTGGGGGCTCAGCCGAATGCGCCGTGGGGATTGTGCCACCCAAATCCCCTTTGCCTCCCCCCGGCTCATTTGTCCCCGGACCTTTCAATGTCTGCCCCTTTTTGCCAGAGCCGCTCGACCCGCTGTTGCTGCTGACGTTCATGTTGCTCATGCTACTTCCCTTCCCGTCGTCCTCCTCATCCTCCTCATCGGAGACATCGCCGCCGAGTTTGCGACAGATGGTCTGAATGTACACTTCCGAGATGTTCTGCTCCGCCTCCAGTATGCCATGCCGCAACCGAGTGAGGTGACTGGTCGGCACAACAGTGGTCTTGCCAATCGAGAGCAAATAAAGATCAACGGTGGCGTACACCAAGTCAGAGAGATCCTTGGCATGGGGTGAGATGCGCCGCAAAACAACCCAATGCACAGACAACTCTGTGACATCGTCCGCCTTGCTGGACATGAAGGTAAAGTACGCAAAACGCATCATGGACATTATGGACCAGAGACTCCTCTGTGCGTCTATGAGTTTCTTCCAAGAAATCTCTGGAAAACCAGCCCCGACAAGCGTCGGCTCCGTCACAGCACCATTCAAGAAATTGGCCTGACGATCAATCTTCTTGTTCCACTCCTTCAATACATCCGTCACCGCTGTGTTCACCTCACAAACATCTTCTGGCAAATCCAGATTGCGCAACAAACGACATGTCGCCTCACGGAAGCAGCGCAAGCTGACATCAAAGGCCATTTGCACCTTTGCCCGAGCTCGCATTGGCCACAGTACCATCGAAATACAAAAATAAATGAGAATGGCAAACATGTTTTGCTGAATGCGCACAATGGCAGCGGCAGGATTTCTGTATTGCGTGATGACCGAGATGACACTGTTACAAATGGCGTTGCCTGCTGCAAAGTATTCAGGGCTTGTCTGAATATAGGCTCCAAGAAAGGAGAGGATGGCCACAGCTATGTACAAAATAAGACGGCGTGAGTCGGCAATTTGCACGCCCAAAAACGCGGTAAGGGAACCTAGAACAGTTCCAAGCACTCGATTTACTGCATACGTGAAGCTCTGAGCCCCAGTTTGACTGTACACAAAGGCAATAATAGACGCACCCGCAACTGGACTTGTATCACTATTGTGCAGTGCGTACACCTGAAAAATACTAGGAACGGTCATACAAAGCGCCAGCTTAATAGCCTCCTTCGCACGCCGGGTCAAGGAGCGTCCGTGAATCATTGTGGCGATAAGAAGGCGTAAGGCATTAAAAGAACTCTTGCAATCATTTATTGGTGCCTTGAGCCATTCCAAAAAGTTGCTGTTTGCTGATTTTTTCGTAGAAAAGTTGGAGATCTCCTCACAAAGTTCATCCACGCTAAACATGAAGAAGCCAATTAGCACGTCAGATTCATCTGTCTCGTACATTTCATTGTCAAGAATCACATCCTGACGTACTTCTGAAAGTCGATCCTGAAAACGTTCCCGTGCCTCCCTAAACATTTGAATATCTTCCTCCTGCACGGGATGTTTAAAGTCGGATATCTTTAAAATCATACTATCCATCGCGGAGGAAATGATGGCAAGATCCTCCACAATGGCGTTTCCGAAAGAAATACACAACGGGGTCTCAATGCGTTGCGGATTTTCGTTGATGAGCTCCACCACCTGCACCATGGAACTAAGAATTTGATAGATGTTCACCAGGAACTCGTGTCGGACGCTGATGGCGGACATGAAAGAGCCACTATGCGGCTCATAGCCCGCTTCATCAAAAAACGATGCGGCCTTCGTAATGGCCTTCGATGCTGTCGCACTTAACTGCCGCAGCCGAAGAATGTGCAGCTCACGTTCTAACGGGGAGCGTGTCCAGAAGCTAGAGCACGTCCCCTGTACATAGATACTAAGGGAATTTCCAAGGATGGACACATAGTTCTTCGAGAGATCGCTCGACCAGCGAATATTCGGAATGAAGAACGCCGCAAGACCAAAGGCGAGTGCGATGAGAAGTGTGGTGAAGTAGTCCCAAACAAACTTTCTCCCTGTACCATCAGGATTCGACTGTAACTGCATGAGAAAAACCGCGAGACAGTATGCAGTCGTTTTCTTCACCTGTTCAGCAAAGAAGGAGGTCATAAGCACGAGCAGAAAAAGCAGCAGGAGAATCAACCAACTTGAGCGGGGCCCAATCAAAATAACAATCATAAGAATGGCAAGGCTCAGTGCGTATCCCTTCAAGGCAATGATAAATTCCCGTAATCCGGAACCAAAGGTTGGCATTGTGATCCAGAATGCAAGAAATGCTACGGAGGAAGGCAATGGGAAAATGCCTTCCGTTTTCGGCTCCAGGGTAAGAATCATCGTTGGAAGAACCGTGAAGAGTGACGCACGGACAGTCCAGTCCAACTTCTCCCAGAAAAGCGGTGCAGAAAAAATACTAAATGTTTTGGTACCAAATCCACTAATGGGAATAAACGCCCGTTGATCCCATGGGATTGCATGCAAGGCCGTGCTATTCTGCTCCTTAAAGTGCCTCTCCTCGTGCTCCTCTTCATCCCCTTGAATCAGTTGCCCAACCTTATTCTCCTTTCGGTTATTATCACCACCAGCTCCACCACCAGCTCCACCACCAGCTCCACCACCAGCTCCACCACCAGCTCCACCACCAGCTCCACCACCAGCACCACCACCAGCACCACCACCAGCACCACCACTAGCGCCACCAGCACTACCACGACTAAGTTGCGGCGATCCCTTTTTCGTTCCAGGCGAATCTGAAACCAAAGAAGGCAAGGCAAAATCATTGGCGAATAAGGGTGGGTGTCGCGATTTTTCGTGCTTCGCCCCCGAAAAGAGTGACATGAACATGTTCTCAGCGTGGTTTTCCACCTTTGATGACTTTGTGTTGGTCGATCCAAGCGAAGCCACACCACCTGTACTGCTTTTGTTCTCGTACGGTCTGTTGGAATGGGCGTATGAAGTGCCTAAGGCTAATTTTTGTGTAGAACCTCGGCGCGCGCTATTTCTTGCCCGCACGTGCACGTGCCGCCCGGAAAATTGTTCTGACATAGCACCCCAACTGGATGGATTATTTCCTGTCCTGGGTGTCACGGGCGATTCGCTACCACGGTCCGTCGTGCGGGTTCCGTTGGGGGAGAGTAAGAAATTTACTGACTGAGGATTTACAATGTACCCCTGTCCAGGTGGACCTGATTGTCCAAGGGCCTTAACATCAGCAGCGCGCAGACGACCTGTTTGCGGCTTCCATTGCCAGGCACTTCGGTTCGAATCTGGGTAGTAAAATGAGTCTAAACGCCTTTCCGAAATACCCAAAGCATGATCTCGCTGCAGCCTCTCCGCCGCAGAAAGCCAATTGGGTCTATTCATTCGCGCTCCAGTCTCCGCTCCAGCATGTCCCCAAACTTGAGTATTTCTGCGTTGTCCAGCTGTACTGAAGGCATGTGGTGTCCGAAAAATACCAGAGGAAGAAATCACGCGTCCAGTGGTGGGTGAAACGGGGCGTGACGGCAACTGCGCTTGCCCGGGATGGCTTCCACTGGAACCATTCATTAAAGCTAAAATATCACCTACAGACTTCGTACGCCTCGGGCCACTTCTCTTGCCGTCAGCTTCTGCAGACCCCGTGGCTCCCAACGGGGGCGGAGAGCTTGGAGACGCCTTTGCCTTTTTGTTGCCGCCCATAGGTAAAGCATCTCCTTCAAGCGGTGAAGAAACTAGTGGGAATCCACGACTTGAGAAGTTTCCTGAGGTTGGAGCCTCTTCAGGTAAAAAAACAGTGACGGAAGAAGGTGGTCTACTCGAACGAGGCGCTGCTGCCGATGCACTTTTTAGCTCTCCTTCGGTGCCGCCTGGAACATTCTGGGGAAAAAAAAACTGAGGCATCGGCCGTGATGCCTTTGCTGACGCCATGGGTTGTTTCTCCAGCTCAATTGCAGATGGTCTGCGTCGCAAGTTATCAGCTACCTGTCCATCGGGTCCATCATTCATTTTTGTAGAAAAAAAACTCGGGTTCTCGGTGATGCTACCTGGTCCACGAATGTTGTCACTCCCTGGGGCCATCGTACTCGCAAGAGAATTGGCAAGCCCGGGTCCACTGCCACCACCACCTCCTCCTCCAATTAAATCATTAAGGTGGCCGTCAAGAAGAAATTGCTCAATGGCCACAGAACGCGCGGTGTCTCTGTGTGGACGCCCGGACGATCCCATCCCTGATGATCCCAATGAGTGCCCACCTAATGCATTTTCCTGATAAGATATCGGCAAGGTTTGACTCGCACCTGCCTCTATCTCCGGTTGTGATTTCTCGGACATATCCCTCTAGTCGTATTGGTGATAATCCCCTGATGGAAACTTCTTTTAAATAAATAAATATATATATATATTACTCTTTTCTTCGTTGTATACGCGATGAGCAACAATCGCTTCTGCGTCCCTCTGTTTTGGTAGTAGTAGTAGTAGTAGTAGTAGTAGTAGTAGTAGTAGTAGTAATTTCTTTTATATGATTATCCTACTTTGCTTGGAAATGGGGAAATTCTCGCCCTGTCCCCGTCAGAATACAAAGAAGGTCAAATATTGCTGTGTACACAGCCCCACCGCCACCACCACCACCGCCAGCAGTAACAAATATCCTATCAGATAAAAAAAAGGCGTAATAAAAAAAGAAAAAAGCGGATGCCTATATATATATATACAGTGAGAGAGAGAGAGAGAGATAAATATTGTGTATGGCTGGGTTGCCTGCTTCTTAGTTGCTACCTCTTCTTTGACTTTTTTTTTGACTTCACTATTTGAGTAATAGGCCTTTGTATTTTGTTTTTCCCTCAAGTTGAAGCTTGATGGATCTCTTCCTGTTCAGTTCTCTTTGATGCAAACACAAAGTTATTGTCAAAACAAGAAAAAAAAAGAAAAAAAAACATATAAATAATAATAATAATAAAAATAATAACTTTTGCAGGCAACTAAGAGAATGCCCAAGAAAAAAAAAAAAAAACGCATGAGACGCCACAGTGCCCACCCCAAGAGGATTACGCCACCAATAAACAAGTAGGAAGAAAAAACAACAACGACGACAATAATAAAAACAACTGCTACTGCCATGGATTCTTCGTTCCCCGGCACCCAACTACTCCCTGCCAATAAAACCATATAAACTTTTGCGCCAAGCTATTGCTGCAGAATATTGAAGAATTTCATTTCAAAATTTGCTTTTGTTGCAACGCAGCCATTGCGAGTGCCGTGTTTCCTGTGCGCCACTGGTAGGTAAAGTACATATTAAACCTCGCAGCCCGCTGCAATGCCAAGGTACATTGTTCAGGGACTTTGAACTCATATGCCACTTGTTCATACAGTGGCACAGCAAGGTGATGCAAACCGAGATATTGTAGTGCCCGAGCACAGTTGTATACCGCCTCACCCATCCGCCCAATGTCAACAGCACGTACCAGCTCCTGGTATAGGGAAAGATAATGCCATCCAGCAATCACGCAAGCCTCACGCGCTCGGATCCTTTTTTGATGGCTAATAAGCATATATGACAAACCAACAAGAAAGCAGAGAAGGATATCATTAGGACGCTTCTGCAAGGCTGCGAGGTACAAGTTAAGGGCGCGGACAAAGGAACGGCGAAGGAAATAACGATTTCCAAGTAGAACAAGCGTCTCTGGGCCAGCCTGATTACGGTCCGCAACAAGACGAAGCAGAATTGCGCTTCCATTTTCCACGCGGTTCAACAATCCATATAATAGTTCTACTACCTGGTTCTTTTCCTCGTCACTACACTGCTCTTGTAACAGGCGGACTCCTACACGGTATGCATCTTCGCTCTCCTTTGATGCCAGAGCTGCGCGCAGTACAGCCAGTCGCAGCGGTCGCTCGAGAACACCAAAATGTCGAAACATCATCTTTCGCGGGCACCGCGTTAGCACAAGAAATGCAAATTCTTTCGCCTCAGTAAACTTCCCAATGGCAGTATAACAGCTGATCACGGTAACGGCAAGCTCCACAAAACCGACTCGCCCAAGCACTCCCAGGGCGTCGCGGAACGTGACGCGTAACATGGAAGAAGAAAATTGACCGACACCCAAACCACCACCACTAGCAGCAGCAGCAGCAGCATTCATCGGGGAAGGAATAGCAACGTTTTTTTCCCATGGATTCCGTGGTGCAATCGCAGCATCATTGCTAGACGCCTTCATAAACAACTGTTGCATTACTGGATCACTAAACTGCTTGCTTACCTCCTCCAAAGATGGAAGTTCATACTGCGTTGTAGCATCACCCTCATCGTCATTATTCAACATCGCTTCCTCCTCCAATTCTTCCAAATCCCGTTCGTCACAGAATTCTTCCTTTATTTGTATCACTTCTCCACGACGTAACTTCTCCGCATCACCCATTTTCCCAAGGCGCACGTTCTCGTTATTAATAACGTTATTGCTTTCATCTTCACCGTTATCATTGTCATCCTTTTCGTCCTTCCAGAATGAGTCTGCACAGCGGCGTGTAACCTCTCCAACGCGTTGACGTCGCCTTGCTTCTCGTATTTGCTCTTCTTCTTCTTCCATATTATTTTTTGTCCCCTCCAGGTCATTGTTGTCGTTGTCATTTATGCAATGTTTATTCTCCTTTCCGCTCTCCAAGCGAGCTCGCTTCAGACCCTTTTTCGTGCGATTAAAGCGGAAGATTGTTGAACTGTCTTTCGAACGCTCCTCATCAAAACAAAACCAACCGGCCGCCGTTGACGCCGCTGCGGAGGCGCCATAGAAGGAAGTTGTCAGCGGCGCATTGCCACGTTTAGCCAAGTTAGTGCGAAATACCGCGCTAGACGCTTTGATGGACGTTGCAAGGGTATGTGAAAGTCGTCCCGCGGAAGATGTTGCAGTCCCCAGGCACGGTCCATTCACAATATCGGAGATGGCCGATGGAGGGATGATAGCAGAACTAGCCCTTGAAAGAGTAGGCATAAATAGTGTTTTTGTCGTGCGTCGCGAAGATCCCGGCGCGACCGAATCTGTATCGCCGTCTTCCTCACCGGAGAGGATAAGCTCAAAGATGGAAACCCCCAGCGCAATGGCCTCGACATATTTTTCAACCCGAGCAAAAATACGCACGAGTTCCGCACCGAGTTGGATTCGTTCAATTGGTTGCTCGTCTTCACGAGGTGTGATAACCATAACGGCACGATCTGCATCTTTCATCTCATACATATACATGCGGCCAAGAGCAAGACGAGCCTGCAGATTTCTTGGGTCTATTTCCAATACGCGGGAAAAGGCGTTGTATGCCGCCTCAGAGTTCCCCAAAGAGGCTTCACACTGACCTTCTGCGAAGAGAGTGGCCGCAAAGACGGTTTTGACCTCAGCCGCCTCCTCATCGTCCAACATTTTCCTCTCTCCCTTACTGGCATTATTGTTATTATTATTATCGGTATTATCACCATTACCATTATCAGCATTAGCTATGCCAGTAAACCTTGATAGAAAAAATTCATGGTAGCGGCGCAATGTTTGAAAAAGCATGCGGGCCTCCGCGTGTAAACCCACCCGTTGCAATGCATTGGCGGCATCGTACAAAACATCACCATATTCTGCCATGGAGCAAGTATCAATGAGGTGCTGGAACACCTCACGACACTGCTGTTCTAGACCCCCCAAGAATGCATACGCAATTCCAAGGCGAACAAGGAGGTCTGGAGGCAATTCTAGTAAAGGAACTTGTAGACAACCGGCGGTGAATTCTAAAAGGCGTATGGTATCAAAAAACTTCCCCTCCTCATTGAGAAGTTCCGCATGTACATTGACAAGCGTAAGAAAGTTCCTCTTTGACGCCGGGGTCCGAAGCTCAATGGTGTCTCCATAGAGCGAGTTGACCACCGTCGATGGCATCGAACCCGCAGTTTTGGAAGGGACGCCATCTCCACTACTGGTAAGGTTTGAAAAGTCAAAGTCTTTGTCTTCATCCTCGTCCTCAGCCGGTGGCAGAGGCGTTGTGGGAACAAAAAAAGGTGCAGCATCCGTCTCTATTCTCTGCTGCCGTTCTTGTCGGTGTTGCTCCTCATCCCCCCTCACCTTCTCCGTTTCAACGAAACCTGCAAAATTTCCATCATTATTGGTATCATTGTTATCATCATCGCCAAAAAAACGAACCCGTTTTGAGATTCTTCGCCTGACAGGGGGAGGGGCCTCGCCGCCTCCGTCTGTAGACATTTTGGCTCTATCGGAGACAGCACCAGAGAATCCTAACCTCGTTTCCTCTGCATTCACGACCATTTTTGGACGAAAAGTATTTTTCAAGCTGGATTCAATCAAACGGTGCAGGGAATTCCACCGGCCCAGTTGAAAAAACAAGGAAGACAATAATGAAAACACTTCAAAATCGCGGCAACGACTTCCATTCCATAACGGGACTAAAATGTTAGCTGCTCGCTTAAATTCCCCAAGACCGATGTAAAGATCAGCCAATTGTAGCTGCAGCGTGCGGTATCGAGTTTTGTCTTTCGTCTCTAGTGCTGAAAGCCGTTGTAAACACACGGCAGATTTATAATACAACTCCTCCTGCAGGAACTCATGTAAAAGCTCTTCCCACAAGACAGTATCGTTCGCCAAAAACGCCTGCAATAGTCGAAAATCACTTGCTCGATCCCGTTGGCCCTTGGAGTCGGCGATAACCGAAAGAAGTGCAAATAGATGATCGGTGGGATGGATGCGCAGCGCCAGTGTTGCCTCTCGTTCGGCTCCATCCTTATCATTCCCAAGAAATAGGTTTTGTGCTTTCGCCACGTGTTTTTCAAAGCGTTCGTGAAGCTCCGCATTAGCAAATGCGGACTTCCGCGAACGTCTACGCCTTTTTGGCTCCGTATGCCTCTCTATAACTCCAGTAAAAGAGTCATCTTGATTCGATGTCATTTTGCCTCTTTAAATTATCAATGGTGTTGAAGGTCGCAAAAATGAATTGCCACGAAGAGCTGCTGAGCATAAAAGGAATCTTATTATTATTATTATTATTAATTCCTTCTTTTGTGCCCTCCCTTTCCTTTTTTTTTTTTTTTTTTTGTTCCTTTTTGTTGTTGTTTGTTTTGCTTTGCTTTCCCACCTCCCCGAAAAGCAAGCAAGGCCACTTTATTCTTCACTCGTAAGCTATTTCAGTGTATCGCTGCTTAATTGAAGCGCTTTCCGCCACCATACACAGAGAGAAACAAAAATACAAAAAGTACGATTTTTTTTTGCGACGCTATACAACTATTTCTACGCACTCTCTATTAATTTTTTTTTTTTTCCTCTGTGTGTGTGTGTGTGATTGTGTGTAAAAGAATGAAATAAAATAGGGTAAGGCAGTATCAAAAAAATTTCCGATTAAAAAAAAGAAGCATTGTATGAAAACACAATGGGTAAACCGCCATTACCGCAAATATATATATATAATTATGTGCAACGTTTCCCATCCAATTCAGCCGGTGCTTTGTCACAGAGCAAAACAAATGAATAATTTATATACATACATATATATATATATATATATATATATATATATCAATTTCCTTCAAATGGATAGATGGGAATGGAGTCGCTTAGAATTCAATTTTATTAATCTTTACTTCATTTCTTCTCCTTTTTTGTTGTTGTTTTTCTTACCAATTCCTCTACTTTTCTTCTCATCTACTCCCTCATTTCACACACAAACACACACACACACAAAAAAAAAAAAAAAGCTTTTCCCGAGCACTCGGTTTTCCTCTTTTTTTTTTTGTTGTTGTTCTTTTTGTACAAACAAGAAAATGCACGCGTGCGTGAGTGTCGGTCTCGGTGCAGGTGTGGGATATATTTCCGTACTGTGTATGAGTGTTATAAATTATTTCTTTGCACCCTTTTCTTTCTTCCATTCGGTGCAGAACAAAAAGTATATAAAGAAAAAAAAAAAAAAAAAAGGAGTAAGAGCTTCTGCAGTGAGAAGACAAAAAAGTAAATAGGAGGAAAAAAAAAAAAGAAGGGCACGCAAACACACTACAGTCACGGCCACTTTTTCCACTATTCACCCATGCACAAAGGGTCTATCTCATTCAGAACTCCACATCACACAGTTACACACACGCAAACCTCCTACTAGCACTATTACTAAATCTCTGTCCATCTTGAGGATCTTGATACATAATCTCAGTGTTCATGCCGTCTCGTTCCATCACTTTTATGGCTTTGCGCCGCCCAGCTTACCGTAGAAGTGAAGCAGAATGACGCTGAGGACAAACACTGCCGTTCCGACAATGACATTTAAAGGCTGGATCTCAAAACCCGTCAAATCTAAGTCGTTCACGGCGGGGCGAGCTCCCATCTTCTTCTGCAAAGCCTTCATAACTCTTCTCTGTCACTTGCTTCTTTGGTTATTCCGTTGCCAATCACCTAGTGGATCACCAGTTACCCGCAGAAAAAGACAAGAAGAAAAGAAGGTTGAGTTAGAAAAAAGAAAAGAAAAAACTAAGGTGAGGGCAAAACAAAAAAAAAAAAAAAAAAATGCAAAAAATATAAGAAAAAAATTTCGGTGTCGCACTGGCGAAGAGAAGCAAGGTGCCCCCTCTTCACACAAACACACACACACACACACCTTCTCTAATTACTTCCGAAACATAGCAAATAATAGTAATTAATAATAATAATGAAAAAAACTGGCTCTACTGTAGACAACACGGAAACTCAAAAGAAAAGAAAGCAGTTTTTTTTTTACTTTTCGTGTTTACCACACTGACTCAAACAGCTGAATTTGAAGGGGCTATTTGTTCCACTTTCTCCATTTGCGTCAAATAAGGAATAGGATCCGACAGAGAGGTGAATTTCGTCTCCTCTAGGAGCGCCATGCGCTCTGAAGTTAGTTCAGCAATTTGCTTCTCTTTATCAAGAAGAATACGCAAGAGTTCTTTGCAGAGAAGTGACTCCTGCCCCTCAATCTCTTCGAATTGATAAGCTGGATGAAGCTGTACGGTAAAAGCCGCATCAGAAAGTGCCTTTGTAAGGGAGCGACCATATGATGAAGCATCATTCGCCAAAAATTCCGTTTTTTGTGCAACTACAGCGGGAAGGTTGGTGTTTCGGGTTTCACAACTTGAAGTTCCTCCATCACCCTCCGTCCATTCCTCTGTTTCACGTTGTGTCTCCCCGTCAAACTCCTCTTTATTTCCTTCCATTACTCTTTTTGCAGAATTATCTTGCTTCTCTTTATTCATCCGAAACACATGGCCATCATCAGGATCAAACTCAGGAATCATCGAGAAAGCAACGGATGGATCGCTAACATTAATGGTTGAGTTTGCGGTCACGTTTTCAACAAAACCCTTATCCGTTGGCGACTCGTCACGAAACAGACGCAATGACTTGGATTTTTCACGAACAAGAGAAAATTTCGAAACATTAATCCCAGATGTGTATTCCTCACCTTCTTTTAACTGAGGTACAGGTGGTGGCTGTCGACGTGGCGTTGGAGTCATAAAAATGGATTTCTGCGATTGTGTATCCAGTAAAAAGTCTTCTCTATATTTTGCCGCAGGCAAATCTTTTTTTCCTGACGGTGAAAATGATGCATTAGAAGCATTTTTAAGATTCTCCAGTTGTTGTTTCAGAGCCATGCACATACCCTGTGCTGCGTCCAATTCGCTTCTTGTACGGTCATGATTCAAACGTTCTTGCTCCAATTCCATTCTTAATTGTTCTAGTTCTTCTCTTTCTCTTTCATAATTCGTTAATTGTTCTGATAAAATACGCTTCTGCCATTCCATTTGCTCCTCTCGTTCTTTTGCAAGACTCTCAGCGTATCGACTTTCTAACCCCTGTAACTCTATCTGAAAACGCGATTCCAACTCTACCTTTTCGGTATGAAGCAAATGGAGCTGCGATCGCAGTTCGTTCAATTCGCTATCCTGATCACGGACAGTGGCGTGGCACACACGCAAATTACGTTGTAAATCAATATAATCTAGTATCGCCTGACGACCATGAATACAGTGCGTATCATAACACGTTGAAGGTGTACTTGCGTCCCCATTCTCCTTTATATGCATGAACTTCTGTCCGTTGGATGCACCATCTCGAACCAGTACTGGAGGACATGATGTAGTCATCCGCCGGCACTGTTGTGCTCGACACCGCCTAGAATCCATAACCTCATTGGGTGCCTCACTTGAGGAAACGCTTCGTTTCCCTTGGGCATGTACATTGCCTGTAGACGGCATTATATAAATCTTCGAAGAAGCTTTTAAAGAATTGGACGATGTTAGAGCCTTAGAACCTGAGTGATTCTGGCCCCCGTTCACATCTCGTTCGACAGCCTTTTTATTGTGGATTGGTTCACTTCGTTTGTAACGATCCATCAAAGGAGTGATCATGGGAACATTATCCCGATAACCCTTCACTCGGGGCCTCGCTCGAGAAGAGCTTCTTACATCCCCATTATCTTGTCCTACATTGTTTCCCTGTGAGGTTGAGTTTTTCAAATAGCTTTCCTCAGTGTTTGAAGGCACAGGCGATGCATGACGCTTAAATAGCATGGTAGGGTAATGGTTGTAACCACCAAAGGGAGACCTATATGGCGCCGATAAGCTCCAATCCTCACTTTTTGTAACAACCGTATTAGTTGTACCCTTTCCATCAAATACTTTCAGCATTAATTGCCTTCCCAAAACCAATTTTTTTTTTTTTTTTTTTTTTTTTTCAAAATCAAAGAAAATGCGCAAAAAACAGGGTAACATAACCAGAACACAGAGGTTTCAATTCTCATGCGTACGGAAACAAACAAGCAAAAAAAAAAAGGCAACGACCATCGTGGTCATGATTAATGGACCGCTTTCTTTTTTTTTTTTTTTTTTTTTTTTTTTTTTCATATACCCAAAAAGCCTCCAAAAAAAGAAAAACAAATGCACATAAAATCATCCTCTTTTGCTCCTTCCCAAGATCCCGTCTTTTTACCCTTATTATTTCCGGATTGATACATATTCCCCTCCTCCCCCTCCTTTTTTGGTAAATTCAAAAAGAAATTTTCTTTACAAGTGAGAGCGTTCGTTGAATAGCTCAATGAGACCATTTGTTGAAGAATCATGGTTTGTAACCTTTTGGCCAGGCTGAAGTTGTAGAAGAATGGACTTGGCAAGTAATTTCCCCAGTTCCACACCCCATTGATCATAGCTGTTAATTCCCCAAATAGCTCCTTGGACAAGAACTTTGTGCTCATACATGGCAATAATAGCACCCAATGCCCGTGGAGTGAGAGCCTTTACCAACAAGGAGTTGCTTGGACGTCCCCCAGTGAACGTTTTTTGTGGTATCAACAATTGAATCTCATCCTCAGACTTTCCTCCCGCGGATTCCAGTTCCCTTTTAACCTCCTCAGGGGTCTTACCAATCATCAGTGCCTCTGTCTGAGCAAAAAAGTTGCTCATCAAAATTCGGTGATGTTCTCCAATATAATTTTGAGTTTGAATCGCGCCGATGAAGTCGCACGGAATTAACTTTGTCCCTTGATGAATAAGTTGATAAAAAGCATGTTGGCCGTTGGTGCCAGCTTCCCCAAAAATAATAGGACCAGTGTGCGTTGACACCATTCGGCCGTTTTTGGTGGCACCCTTTCCATTGCTTTCCATGTCAAGCTGTTGAAGGTACGCTGGCAACCTCCATAAGTATTGATCATATGGTAGGATAGCTTGGGTTTCACTTCCAAAGAAGTTATTGTACCAAATACCAACCAAAGCCAAAATAATAGGGAGATTGTTTTCCGTGGGTGCATTGATAAAGTGTTCATCCATGATGTGTGCACCAGTTAACAACTCCACAAAATTGTCGTACCCAATTGAAATCATGACAGATAAACCAATGGCGGACCACAATGAGTATCGGCCACCGACCCAGTCCCAAAATTGGAACATATTCTCTTCATCAATACCAAATTCTTTGACTTTTTCCGCATTTGTTGAAAGCGCAACAAAGTGCTTTGCAACAGCACCAGCTTCTGAAATACCCCGAGAACTTAAAAACTTCAAAAACTCATTCCGTGCGGACAAAGCGTTCGTGATGGTTTCTTGTGTAGTGAATGTTTTGCTGGCAATTATAAAAAGAGTTGATTCCAAGTCGACCAAATTCAAGACTTCAGACAAGTGTGTCCCATCAATATTAGAAACAAAATGCATGGATATTCTCCGATCTGAAAAAGGCCTCAAAGCTTCACATGCCATCATGGGACCGAGATCACTGCCTCCAATCCCAATATTCACAACATGGCGGATAGGTTTTCCTGACTGACCTTTCCATTCACCTCTCCTGACCTTTTCTGATAGTTTCTTCATTTGTTCAAGTACCTTGTTTACCAAGGGCATAACGTCATGTCCATTCACAAAAATGGGACGATTGCTTCGATTTCGCAAAGCAATATGAAGCACTGAACGATTTTCGGCCGTATTAACCTTCTCTCCAGCAAACAATGCCCGCATAAACGCTCGAATACCTCTCTCTTCAACCAACTTAAAAAGAACGTCTTTTATTTCATCATTTATGTGTGTCTTTGAGTAATCCAAAAAAACGAAGTTTTTGTCACTGCTTCTCAAATCCACTTCAAGCGAGTATCGTTGGAAACGATCCTTACATTCGTCGAAATTCTTCAAAATGCTCTCGCTTCCGTGGATCTCGTATAATTCTTGAAGACGACGCCAGGAGGGGCACGAAGTCAAGCTTGTGTCAGCATCAACACCAAGTGGCCTCATCCTTCGTGTTATTTCGTGTGGCATATTGAAAGATGCGACAGCCATGCTGGTATTCGCGGGTGCCGCATTGCTTTCGTTCAAGTGAACTGTCAAATCCTTCAGGTATTGATCTTTCATTTTTCTCCCGATCTTCCTTTTAACTCAATTTATGGTGTCTGTATACTGCTTTTAAATTTGAAAAGTATCTATTATGTACTCTTGTTTTTCTTTTTTTTTTTTTTTTTTTTTTTTTTTTTGTTGTTGTTGTTGCTGTTGTTTACTAGCTTTTTTCGTCGAAAAGAATACAATAAAAAAAAAAAGAAGGGCTTCCCTTCTGTCAGATCACTGCGGGGAGGGGGAGGAAAGGAATTAGTATCAAGGTATCTACAAAATGAGCATGTGTAAGTATGCACGTATAGGTTTGTGGAAATGCAAAAGAAAAAAGTTCAAATAATCCCTCAACGTGTGTCTTGAAGTTGTTCTCGTTTTAAACTACTTTAACGTATACCAAGAGCTCTGGTGATTTTCTCCAAAACGAAGTCCCTCTCAGCGTCGTAGACACCCCCTTTGCTCGGAATCTCAAGAATGCAAGGAATAGGTTCTTTTTGTTGTTCAATCAAATGACGAATGTCATTCGCTATGTGCTGACATATCACAATAACACCAACTGCGTCATTTGCACACATATTGGTAAATGCTGCCTCGATATCAACCAGTGGTGTGTTTGGATTCACAACTACGTAGTTTGGTTGTTCAACATTCTTTTTATCTCCACTCATCTGGTTCAAAATCGCTCGATTATCTCCGGTACCCGCCAAAAGAAAACCGGTGACTGTGTCTTCATCCCCAATAATACCAACGATGAGCTCATCTCTGTTCTTATAACGGATTGTGGCCATTATAGTGTTAGAAATCTTGCACTTTGCTATAAATTAAAAAGAAAAAAAGAAAAACAAAAAAGAATTGGCGAAATTATCGCAAGGATAATCAAAACAACTTTGCAAAACCGAGCCAAATGGTACATATGCAAAAAAAAAAGTTTCAAGAAAAAAAAAACTGTATTTGCTCTCGGGGTTAATCCCCACGAAAAGCAGGCAACTTTGAATCCCAATCAACGTAGTTTGGATCCTTCTTTTGTCGCTCGCCAAAATCGTCTCGCAGTAATTCGAGGGAAATTCGAACCACATTATCCACTTCTGCCCTCCCATCAAAAACACCCTGAAGAGTAACGGCTTCTGCGTCATATTTCAGAGAGGTTCCAGCCAAGAGGTGGTTAAGAAGTAAATCCTCATCGACAAGAAACATCTCCTCCTCTCGCATACACAAGCCTTGGCGTCTTGTCATGAAGTTTGCCTTCGGCTCCTGAACCACTGAAAGAAATCCATTTAGTCTTTCCTCAGCTCTCCCGTCCTTGTTAAATGAAAGAAAGGTCCGACGCATGCTACTAAAAAAAAAAAAAAAAAAAATTTGTAAAAAATAACATTCAAGATATATATATATATAGGTTCAGAAAACCAAAAACAATATAAATATTCATATATATTTTCCACCCATCCACCTAAAAAAAGTCCTTTTTTCCCGTTTCGTGAACTTTCCCTTTAAAAAAAAACAACGAAAAAGGTCCAATCGTCATGCGAGTGGTATTTCCCATTTTTGAGGCACCCTCATGGTCCTCTACAGTCACACTAACTAGCGGTCGTAACGATCAGGAAGACGGAGCCATTGAACTGTTTGCTGAGGCGACGTCACATGAGTTTTCCTAAAACGAGCCACTGGGCATTCCACCATCACTTGCTCTCCGAGCTGTTCAATTTGTTTTGGAGTTGCCTGTGGTGCATCCACAAAAACTTTTACGCCACCTTCTGGTGTCTTTTCAAAACGGATTTCTCGCATATCAATCCCTTGACGTCGCGCAATGTCATGTGCATGAGCCTCGCTACACCACTCCAGGGCCTTATCAAACAGTCCACCTAATGGGCCACCGAATGGACCACTCCAATTTCCTCCCTCGGAACCACGTCCACCTCCAAATGAGCCAAAACCCTGAGAACCTGACGAAAACCCGCTCGAAAATTTTGTGGGTAAACCATTTGAAAACGATCCAAAACCAAATCCACTATTCAAAAAAGAAACCCCTCCTCTATCCCCTGAACAGCTTCCTGCATTATCGCACCGAGTTCTGTCGCCAAACAATGAACCAAACGTCTTTAAACTGTCAAGCCCCTTAAAGCAGCGAACGGTTGTTAATTGCAACATAATTATGTCCTAAATATCACTTTTTCTTGCACTAAGTGCGATGAAATAATTTAAAAAAGTGAATAAACAAACAAACATATACAAAAATTTAGCAGCGTTACATACCACAACCAAACGAAGCCAATTCGACCCCCCGCCGCTGTCAAAAGATTGCCAACTTCTTTTTCAGGAGGTGGCGTCAAACCAAAGCGGCTCAAAGTTTCAAAAATTGGGTCACCAAAAAATATATATATATAATAACGTCCGCATGCTCGATCCTCCTGAAAAATAAAAGCGGAAGACCCCTGCCCATTCCAAGCTACCACGCCCCAAAGCAAAAGTCATAAAAACAACCGTTCGAAAAGCAAATACGGGAACAAAGAAATGCACGCAACGAAACAAAACAATTCCAAATCGCTTGACCTACCCTACCCGACCCGCCTCCCGCACACCGTCCGCTGCAGTTTGCGTCGTGTTCGCCTTTCTTCGTTCTCCGGGGAGGGGATGCCCAGCACAATCAGATACCCCCGCCGGCTCCACGTGTCCAGAACACTGCGCGGGATGTAAGCAAGTGCTGCGTCATCCGCTGCGGCCGCGCGCGGGTGGCGAAGGTTGTTTGGCCCCGGTGCGCCATCATCGGCGGCGGTGTCGAACCTGAAGGAAAGAGCAGTCGTGGCCACAATGAAGAGAAACAGCAGCACGGCAACCCGCCTCAGCTTCCGCCTCATCGTCGGCAGTTTCTTTTTCGCCATGGTCGCTGTTGGTGCGAGAGACTAAGAAAAAAAGAAAAGGGGCAGAGAGCGCGTTTGAGGACGTGAGGCATTTTCTCTTATTTTTTTTCTTCTTGTTCTCTCAAACGAGCGTAATGGCCCGCACGACGCCCACAATCGCAGAGCGCGTCCACCCGCGAAGCGGGGACGTGGAGGAGAGCCTCGGCTCCGGAGAGAAAGCCGCGGTGGAAGGCGCGAAACGCACACACACGCCGCGCGCCCGTCCCCGGGCCAGCGCGGCAACCCGTCGCTGCCGAGAACAAACAAAAACCAACAAATCAGTAAACCATGCAGCCCACAAACAAGGAAAGGGAGGGAGGGGGACCGGCCAGGAGCACCGACGTTGCGCCGCCGCTGTGGGGGGCTTTGTGCCTCCTCGCCGCGTGGTAGTGCTGTTTGGGAAGCGCCTTCCCATCCCGATGAAAAACCGCGCCAACATTTTCGTGCAGCACGGCATCCTCGCTTCTCCGATGTTCACGCGGTGTTTTTGCCCAGGCGCCTGCAGAGCCGGGCGGTGGAGTAGACGCCGACATGTCTCATGGCACGGTTCGCGTTGGCTGGCTTTCGCGATCTCCGGTTCGTCCGTCATCGCCGTGGCGCCAAAAACCGCATGTTTGACGGCGATGTCCAACCGGTGGTGATCCCATCGGGGTGTCTTCGCTGAGCGACGTGCGCTTCCTCGGCGGTCTGACGCCTCTTGTGCGCCCAAATCCGTTTATTAACGCCACACTTTCGCCGATTCCGTGACGGCGTTTTGGGCACACGGCGCGCTGTTCCTTGGCGGCGCCCCTCCTTCGCGGAGCCGAGGTTTTCGCGGGGTTTGTCCTTCCTCCTTTGGAGGTGCGGCCCCCACGGCGTGCGGGTGTCCTATCCGTGTTTTTGTTGCCGTGTCTTTCTTACGGTCCGGGTCGCCCGAACCGGAAGTGAGGAGCCAATCCCCCGGCATTACCCGCCCGTTTGTCGCAGAAGGGGCTTTGAAGGGGCGCCTTGGTCTCGGGTGCCGGCTGCGGCGCTGTGTGGGGGCGTTCGTTTGCGCGCGCGTGTTGGATGCTAGCCTCGCTTTCGTCGGGGCCTCGAACCCACAGGGCGTGCGTTGGAGCGCGGTGGGCGCAGCCGGATCGTCCTCTTCCCCAGGGACGCTCCCTACTTGTCGGAGCGGTTGTGATCGTGGAGGTGTCGAAGACAAAGCCTGAGTCCGGCTTCTCGTTTGCCCGACGCCGTACGGGAACTGCGGGGAGACGGCGTCGGCCTGGGCCGCGCGGTCTGTGGCGGAAGCGCGATCGGTGCGCCGTGTCTCGCTCTAGTCCTCGCTGCGGTGACGAGTGGCGCTTCCAGCGGGAGGAGGAGGCATTTCCGTGCGAGGCTTTTTGCGTGCCTGTTGTGGGGCGTCCGGGCCGCACCGACGGCATCGGCCCGGAGCGGCGAGTCGCAGCAGTCATAGCAGTCATCCGTATTTGTCTGAAACCCCGGTGCGGAGGCGGACCAATGCGGCCTCTTCCCCACGAGCGGGGCGGAGTCCGTGCGCGTGGGCCCCAGTCGCCTGTTAGAGTGGAGCGGTGGGTTTCGCCCCTGAGCCGTCGGGCTCGAATAATACGTTTGGCGAGTGCGGCCATGCCGGTGCTCCATGTGTCTGTGGGCCGTGTGTGTTCGGGTGCCCTCTTCGATTTCGCGTCGCGGTCCCCGTTCTTGGACACGTCGCGGCGGCAAAGGACAAGCTGCGTCCGTACGCGCGCTCCGTGGAGCAGGAGGATCCAGGGCCCATGAGGCATCGGGTCGGATACTGTAGGAGGACCCTTTTGCAGGGCGCCAAAGAGAGCGGGCCGTGAAGATTGACACTCTGTACGGCGCAGTGCTTCTCTGCGGGGTGGTGCTCAACAGATTTCTAGACCGATAGGTGGGGCGATGCGTTCGGCTCCGTGGCGGCGATGTGTCGGTCCGCCGCCGGCCCCGGCAATGCTGAGCGGCGTTCCCTTCAGGTAGCGCATCGCCGCCGCTCCCGATTTGACGCCGAGTTCCGCAGAGCCGTCTGCCCACGCCTGGTGGCACTTTCCTTCTGGGCGTGGCGACGGGCCTTTGCGCCGGAAGCGGCGGGCGATCCGGCAGTCACACGGTCGGGGCTCGAATTCGTCGGGTCCATCTGCGGCGGCGCCGTCGCGAGAGGCGTGGGAACGCGCTCGGGCTGCGGGCCGCGGGCTTCTCACCGAAGCGCAGGGCGCCGGGCCATGATGGGGTCATGTGGTTTTCTGGCGGGGCGCTGTGGGTGGCAGACGGCGGAGGCACCGGACCGCAAAGCACCACCACGCGTCTCGCGTCGGAGCGCATACCGGAAGCCGCGCGCCAGCGCTGTGTCGGGGAGGGGCCGCGGCTTCACGTCCAACACGGCATCCTCCATTCGGCTGCCTTTCGGTATTCCCGCAACGATTCTCACACGACCTGTATGTGTGCGAATCCGGCGTGGGGCGGGACGCTGGGAAGGCCACCCCGTATACCACACTCCGATGCCGTGCATGGCCTTCGCCCGCGCCGGTGCAGGGCAGAACGCCCGCAGGATGTCTCTCTTAGTTCCCCACGCGACGGGCGGAATCGGTGCCATTCGTGGTGGGCGCTGGTTTGCTTCCTCGGGGAGTTCCGCCACGCGCGCCCATTCCACGGAATTCCGGAAATTGACGCCCAGGAGGGTCGGCATGCGCTCCATGGTGGCTGGGCCCCCTCGCGGGTGAGGCGCGGTGGGGCCATTGTGCCGGCGCTCGGCTTCATGAGGCGTTCTCTGTTCCACTCTGCCGCGGCGTTCCGGCCTTCTTTTGAGGCCGAGGTGATCATGTCCCTGTCGCCGTGCCGTGTGATAGGGGCGCGTTCAAAAGTCGAACGCTAAGGGAGTTCATGACGATGATGGCGTGATGGGACCTACCGCCGTTTCTTGCGGCGCTCCCCGTGCGGGGGTCTTGGGGGAGAATGAAGGTTTTTCGACGCGCACCACAAAGCTTGCGATGCTGAGAAATGCTGCTGGCCAGCGCGCGATGTGCTTGGAGATCAACAGCCGCCGCGTTTCCAAGATGACTTTGTCACGGTCTGCCGCGTCGAGGGCTTTGGCGACGACCAAAAAGACAGCCGCCGTGCGGTGTTGCGGGCCATCGCGGCGCATGGCGTCCCTGAGGCGCAGCAATCGGTCAAGGGTGGAATTGTCGGGCCAACAACAAGATCGCAGCAGGGCCAACTGGTCAGCGTGACGGGCCGGTGGGGTCGCGGTCGGATGCCGTTTTCTTTGGCTTGAGGAAGGGGATGGCGACAACCACGCGTCGCCAATCCCGCCGGACGGCTTCTGTACACAGGCGTCTATTGAGCAGCCGGAAGACGGCACGCCGCGCCGCACGGCCTAGATGGCGCGGCTCCTTTCCACGTATTCCGTCGGAGCCGGGTGCCGGTCCCAAGAGGCAACAGCCGTGGGGTGCGTTTGGGCTCTGCCATGGTTGTGGGGGGCGGGGTTCCTCGCATTCGTCGGGGTCGGTGGCGGAAAGCAGTGCTTTGGGTGCCGTGCTGCTCCCGCCGCCCACGGCTTTGTGTGGCTGGCGTTCCGGTGTGTGCTGAGCACGGTGCCGTCCGCTTTCGTGGCTGGCGTGCTCGGGGCGAGGCGCATACACACGGCACGCCGCTTGCAGGCTGTTGTCGCCCGTGGCCTCGGGTTTGGAGCGGAGCGCGCGCCAGCAGCTTTTGGGTGCTTCGCGCAGCGCTTCCCTGCGTCGGAGCCTGGGTAGCTGGCTGTTTTCTGCGTGGGGGCGGCTGGCGACTCCCTGCGGGGACCGTTGTGTCGGTGGCTTTCCGCATTCCTGACGCAATGTGCTTCTCTATGCTACCCATTTTGCCTAATTCTTGCGGGATTCTGCAGAGCTGTTTGGACATTCCGCCGCGCTTATTCCAATTCGCCTTCCTCCGTGCTGGTAGTGTCCGGTTAAGCTTCGGTACCGCTGCGGGTGTTTTGTCGTCCCCGAGCTGGACATGAAGGAGGGCGATGCGGCGGCCACTGTCCGGCGAGGGCTGCGCTGTCCAGTGGATGACGACACAGCCCTTAGACGGGGCGATGCCGGGTGCTGTGCTGCCCTGTCGCTCGGTGCACCTCGTGCGCTCCCCGGCGTCGACAAACTGGGATACATTCTCGACGCACCGCTGCGCAACGGTATCGCCACGGGAGTCTGATGGGACGCTGCGATCCCAAGCCTCTCTGTGCGCGCGGACGCCTGCGCCCTATTAGTTGCGGCCCGTCCTCGCAGAGCTGCTCATCCAAATCCTCGGCCCCCAAGCCATTGGCAGAGGAGGGAGGGAGACGTACCGACGACACCGTCAGTTTCACTCCTGCCTCTGGGTGGCCGGTCGCTCGCGCAGGCCCAACGCCGGAAAAAAACGGACACGCCGCCGCCAAGACAGGTGCGAGCGGTCCCGTGGTGCTGGAACCCTGGCGGGCTGAAACCGGTGGATTCAGGGTGGGGGAGTTCTTCTTCACACCCAACGAAAAAAACACGGTTTCGTCATATCACTTCATGCTCGGCGCCAGGCGCTTCGCCAGTGTGAGGCAGAGGGTTCCGCCGCAACCCCCGAAGACAGGGACAAGGATTCTCTTCCACGTCTCCGCTCGGCAGGGTGGACGCGCTCCTGAGGGAAGCAGGCGCGCAGGCCATCGGATTTATTTGAAGGTCCATAAAGAGAAAACACACATACAAAAATAAACCGTAAAGACGCCGCGCGTGTAGAACATCCAACCAATAATGTCGATAACAGCGAAGTGGGGGCCGTTGACTGCAAGCCATGCGACTATTTGGGCCTCGTCCTGCGGTGAAGAAACGGTATCCTGAACTGTGGCACCCACCGTGCGGTCCGAGTCCTTGCACGGCAGCTTTATCACGATGCACGAATGATAGGGGTAGCTTTCCTCCGTGTACACGGTGCCGTTATTCCGATCCACGATCCACTTGAAGGCCCCCAACGGCCAGCCACCACCGCAGCCAAAGTTAGTGTCGTCGCACGACACGAGCATCTGCTCCGACAGTCTCGTCAGCGGGTGGCCGGCGAGAAACCACTGGCTCTCAACGTTGCCAATGGCGGCGAAGGCCCAGCACGAGCCGCACAGTCCCTGGTTCTTGACGGCTGTCACGGCGCCTTCCTTGCGCCAATCCTTTGCCGCGGGCGCGCCAACAACCTCCACGTCCACCGGCACTCTCGCGCGCTCCTGCGCCGCCGCAAAGTGCGCCGCGCCGTTGTGGTAGCGGGACCGGAATTCCTCGCGCGTGAGGTCCGAGAAGGGCGTGACGCCGAAGGTCGCGTGTGGGTTTGCCGCGGCGTGCAGCCTCGCAAGAAACAGGTTCTCCCTGAACACGCTCAGGCGGAACGCCTCCTCCGCGGCGCTCTCGTACACCCTGCCGTGCTTCTGCTTGAATTCTGCGAATTGCGACGCCAGCGTCTCCTCCGCATGCAGGCTCGCCGTCGCCGCGGGGACGAGGCACGCCATGACGACCAGGACGGCCGCGAGCAACAGCGCACGCGCCCAGCCAGACATTACTGTTTGTGTGGGTGTGTTTCCTTCCTTGTGTGCCTTCAACAGCGTCACCTTCAGACTGTGGTGGCGTGCGGGCGTTGACGTGGAGAGAAGAAGCATGCGCGCGTGTATGTGCACGCCGCGGTAAAGGAGCGTTGCCACGCTACCCCATCCCGCATGGTCGGGTGACAGTCGGGGACGGCGGTGGGTTCAGCCACAGTGAGGAATGCTCGGGCGCTCAACAGAAGCATATAATAGAAAAAAAGCATGCACAGAGCAAACCAATAAACAATCCACTCCACTGGGGCTTATTTGCCCAATAATAATGAGAACCAATCTTTGCCCGCACCGCGGCCGGATCCCTAAACGGCCGATGGCGACCCAAAGTCGTGGAGTTAAAATGGGCGAAGAAGTAAAGACGGCGGTTTTAACCCGACACCGGCACCAGGCGTATACAAATTTCTTTTGACCCCCGCCATCGTGAGACGCCGCGCTCTATTTTGATCGGATTCGCGTTTACCGTTTTCGAACTGGTAGGCTTCGGGCTCTTCCAGCCGCAAGACGCCGCAGGGTGGGGATCAAAAAGCGGGCGGGCGGGACGGCAAAAGCAAAAACAATTAAAAATTGTCCGGACACCACGGTGCGTTCCCTGCTTCCGGAACCGCGCCAGTCGACGATTCATAAAATAGGGACAAACATTCCAATTGTTTTTTGTCTTTTGCCTTTCTGGCGGGATTGGGCGAGGCAAAAAGAAGGAAAAGAAGGGCTGCGGCAACGGTTTCGGGATCAGGAAACGCACCGTGGTGCGTCGCGCCTTGCGCAAAGATTCCTAGCGGCAAAGCCGCATGGTACCCCGGAATGTGCCCGGCACGCTCTAAACGTGTTGCTTTCGTTTTCCAGAGGACAACGCAAATGCGCTAGATTGTTCGAGGAGCAAAAGAAACACTTCGTAAGCTATAAATGCGTGTATCCAATCCGAATAGTGCGTTGAACAATTAAGCGAGGAAGGGACGGACGAATTCGTTAGCAAGATTGCGATCAAAAATTCCCCATTTGGTTTCGAAACTATTTTTACGAGGTTACGTTCTTATTGGGGACTGTTGTGTATATCTTCTCGGCCATTTAGCTAAGATCAAGTTTTCAAGCTGTTCTTATCAGATTAATTCCTGATATGGGCTTCGTCCCAGGAATAGAAACCGCTGATCTCTCAAGTGTTCCTCCGGAGTTTCGCGTGTCCGGATGGAGCGCTTCCTTTTCCAAAATTGCGTTCGCTTTTTCCTTTTTTATGCAAGCCGAAAATAGGCAAAATATCCGTCTGGACCGCAGGCCGGACTCCGTCTTTATCTCCGACCAAACATTATAGGTAAAAGGGGCAACGCAGAAGCAGGTAGATCCCCCAATGTCCTCTGACAAAATGCGGATTCTGTTGTCCACTCGAGTGCTCTTTTGTACTCGGTTAGGATCTGAAATATTATTATTGACGCGGCTTTTCCTATCCCTCCAGCAATGAAGTCGCACCCTGTCGCGGTGCTGGGGCTTTGGTTGCGTATATCAACTGTGTAGCAGGGCGTTGCGGCGAGCACGACGGAGAGCAATACGACTTCACCCCTCGAGAAGGTTCCACGCCATGCCCGGTGCGGGGAGGTGAGGCGGTCTGCCTGCAGACTGTCGGACAAAACTGCACGACCGTTTCGCTGCGATCGCTCCGTTGATATCACCCGTGGCGGTGACGTCCACAAGAACCCTGGCCCGAGGAGGATGGCTACATCAATATTTGGCAGCTTAACGTTGCAAGCCTCTCGTCCGTAAAAAAGATTGCATTTGCTGCGCGACTGGAGCAGCGTCCACCTGACATCGTTCTTCTCCAGGAAACAAATACTCGAAGTGCCACAGCGGCAAAACTATCCGGCTGTAATGGCTTTCTTCGCGCCGCACTGGGCGCGCTGGTGGCGTTGCCACTCTGGTGCGCCACTCTCTGCCGTGCGGGCGCCTGACGCTCACTGGCACTGACCTCCTGGAGTCCATTGCTCTCCGTGTATTTCCACAGGGCTGTCCCAGCACCTGCGTGGTGAATCTCCACAGCCCTCCCACAGCAACCTTTAAGAGCTCTTCGTTTATTAGTACCATTCGTCGCTCAGGCCCCGCAGCGATTATCGCGGGTAAACTGAATTTACATCATGGACTCTGGGACAGACACCTTCCTTCAACGACTGGAGGAGAAAAATTCGTTGCTATTTTAATTGATTTCAATTTTGAACTGGCAAATGACCCGACACAGGCAACACGGATCGCACATCGTAATGTCCCGTCCCCTGACGTGACTGCGTATCGCGTGCTACGTGTCCCCCACTGGCAATCCACCCCCTACGTGGATTCGGACCACTGCTTGATATCTTACTTGGTGGGGATGGAAGACCGCATCCCGCGAATAGCCAATACGCTGCCTCAACGGAAGAAATCCACCTTTGCCCTGCGCAAAGCGGATTGGCCTGCTTTCACCTCGTTGTGAAAAACACTCCTTGCCGCCGCGTCCGCATGGTTGGAAATCCTCAGAGGCATCGTACGAGCAGCTGAGCGCCATACCCCGCGCGGCAGCCGTGACAACCCCAAAACAATCTGGACAAACGAAATGGAACAAGCCGAGTCCGCCGCAGAAGCAGCACACGAAGCACACACATTGCCTCGCCCGGAGAAAGCCTGGTTCGAGCCGAATTCATCCAAAAAGTGGTGGTATAAAATCAAGCCTTACGCCGTGGCTTCGCTGTGCTTTTGGAAGCCCGCGCGAAAAAACTTGGGGCCTCACCCCACACTGGCGATATCTCCGCGGTGTGGCGGCGCCGCGCCCTCATCCTCTGGAATCGGTTGTGCTCCGCACTGATCTTGGCCGCGTATGCGCCCTGCCTCGGCAACAGGCAAATCTGCTTGTCCGTCATTTTTTACGAGTTTCACGTGCCACATCACCTTGTACTGCTGCTGCTGCTCGCTGCACTCCTTTGAACTCTGGTGGCTGGGAAATGGATCGGCCTCTCACGCCGTATGAACTTGACGTGACCATCCGTGACTCCTTGCTCGGCTCGGCCCCTGGCCCCGACAACATGTTGAATGAATTTCTTCACCGTCTCGGGCCCGTTGCGCGCGGCACACTTAGAACGATGATCAACAACTCCCTCGCAAATGGCAGCCTGCCCGGCTCCTGGAATACGGTGGAAGCCATTCCCATTCCAAGCCTGGGAAGGATCCATGCCGCCTAGAGAGTTACAGAACTATCAAATCACTCTCTATTTTACCAAAGTTAACCGAAGGAATGATTCACCGCCGTCTGTCAGCGTTATTGCCGCACCACCCACGTCAATTTCGGATTTACACCTTCGCGTTCTACATCGGACGTGGTGAAACTTGTTATCGATGAAATTACTTGTGGATTGAATGAGTTTGGCATTGTGGAGTATGAGCGCCCTGGAAGCGGCGCCCCACACGACACCCTCGTCGCCATCGCTCGTTCGTAGTCTCGATTGATTTTTCGACTGCGTTCGACACCGTTGACCATGGGAAGTTATTCGGCATGCTTGACAGACTCCCGCGCCTTGGCCCTCGAACCAAACGCTGGCTGCACAACTACCTGCGGGGCCGCTATGTTAGGGTATGCGCTCGCGAACAGCACTCCCGGAAACAACTCACCTCAACTGGAGTACCGCAAGGCAGCGTCCCGGGACCCCAACTCTTCCTCTACTGTGTGGATGACCTGCTGCGCCGCCTGCACAACATCTATTCTGCCTCCGCATTCATGTACGCTGACGAACACACACTTGTTGCCTCAGGCGCAGACATCCATGCATGTGCTGCGGCAATGCAACCCGCCCTGTCACTTATAACGAAATGGGCTACCGAGCACAACCTGAAGATCAGCGCGGACAGGAGCGAGCCGCTCTATTCTGCGACTCCCCACACCGGCGGTCTGACGAGGACACCGCGGACCGTCGTCTGGGCGATGGAAACCCAGGCTGGAGGTCCCACCCGGTGCGTCTGCCCGGAAATGCGATTGATCGGGCCCTCAATTTTGGTGTGCACGCCACCGCCGCTGCAAGGCAGATCGTGCCACGCCGCCATCAGCCGCGTCTGGTCGTACAGGTGGGCGCGTCCCATCACACCATGCGATCCTTTTTGGTCGCATACGTTTATAGTGTGCTATTTCATAACGGTGGGGCAATTTTCCCGTACCTCGCTCCCACCTGCCTCCATAATGCGGAAGTACGGTACCGCGGAAGTAGTGAAGCGTCCCTTGGCCCAAGCACACATAGAGAAAATACGTCTTTCTACTTGGAATCCAATCTTCTCCCGCTCCGGAAGATACTTTGGCTCCGTGCGATCACGCAACGCAAACGCTATACACGCCTCCACGACCACGGGGATTTGCGTTCCCTTATCTACTCGGAACCGATGCCGCCTTCCATGCATGGGAAAGCGGCGACATCGATCCCGCTTCCGAGAGATGCTGTTATTAATGGATTGCAACGCGTCTGTGTAATTACTGGGATACCACACAACCACATTCGCGCGCCTCTTGCCCAACATTGAATTTTTCCCTGGGACACTGTGAACTGCAACAAAGTGAGATTTTATCAGCCACTGTTTGCCAAAGACGCCTCTGACGATGTCAGGCGCACGGCTTTTGATTCTACTCACTCCTCTTTGGAGGATTCTGGCTTTAAATTGTGGACGGACGGTTCTTCATCTCTCGCTGAACTCGCATCCGGATCCGCTGCGCTATTATGCGGCTCCACAAAGACAATTGATGTCCCTGTGGAGGTCCATCGTGCAGCAGCTGGCAGGCTCGCATGCTCATAGAGAGCCGAGTGCCTTGCCATTGAAAATTGGTTTAGACGTCTCATACTTTCTTGTCTGGAAAAATCCCAATCGCCCACACGAATACTGGTGGCGACGGACTCCCTTTCGTTAATTGAGGCGCTCCGCGTCGGCCCGTTGGCCGCGCGAGACTGTGCCACTGAAGCGATTTGAATTATCTTGCTTTCCTTGGTGAAGCGAGGCCACCACGTAGGCTTTATATTCTCCCCATCAAAATGCGGCATTCCACGCGATGAGGCCGCTGTCTAAGAAGCCAC